CGTCTGGCCTGTTTTGGTGCAATGATCGATGATGCCCATCTCGACTAGGAAACAAGCTTAAATGTCGACTTCTTGGTTTGTGCCACAAAACACGCTGGGGAAATGTGAGCACAAGCACTGGCACTGGCACTGACAAACGGTTCCACCAACCTGTATCGATCGTCTCACGGCAGCCTTGGAACATAGCTGAATAAGTCAATTGAAGAATAAATTTATGGACACACGCAGCTAGGGCTGAACATCTAGAATCAATTCGAAGCGCGCGGCCCTGCGTCTGTAGTTGGAAAAAGATGATTTCTATATCTTCACATACATTGATCATTGTACATCCTCCCATAGGCCACTATAAACCCAAATATCACACACTCACGAATTACGACAACTAAATTCCAAGTAAGCGGGAAAAGTATCCACAATCCCCGTTCCTTGAAATACTTCTCCTTCGCCTTCCCTCTGCATAATCATTTCAAATAAAACCATGTTCGCACGTTTCACCCTTCACTCACACAATCAGCACCCCTTTCACGATACCTGGCCTTGATTACGATAGCTCAGGGTAGGCAGGTAGCTAATCTACTCGCCTACTCTATTCACAGCAATCCTTCAATTCATGGATAATCATTCAAGCGATGCGCTCAATGGGAAGACAATCCCTACCAGACAACCTCAACTCCCTGAACACACGTTTACATCACACCGCATGCTTACGCTCCCCGGATTGTCGTGCGCGTCGTTCCCCGTACCAGATTTTTCGGCGCAACGTACTGCTGACAATGCGATATAAAATGATACAAGAATCCTGCCCTGCTTGGCGTGAGGCATGGGGTAAATAGGAGATGAAAAAATTATGAGATCGTAAGTTGGTTTATGGAGATTTTCCGCGAGTGGCTTCGGAGTGGCTCCCGTATGAGAAATGTGGCGGGAGGGCCTGAGATTTGTCTGGTTGATGTTGTGAATAGGAGATGTTGTGTGATAGGAGTCCATCAGGGGAAAGCGGGTAGAAACGGAGAGGGCGAATGCTGATTGCTTTGAGGGTATTGTGGAATAGGGAAGGCTTTATCGCGTGATTTGACGTGAATACATCGAAAGAGATGCAGAGCGATTGTTTGGTGATGACTGTCCGGGGTAAATTTTACCTCATCCAGAAATAGCAGAAGAAGTATTTGTATACTCGTCGCTATTGCTGGTCACAAAGCTTCTGATATTAATCACAACATCTGAAAAGGGAGATGTTCAACACATGTCACATGACCTTTAGCATGCCGTCAAAGATGCACATTTACAGCATAACCTTCCCGATTCGATTTTAGCAAGCAATCAACTTAGTGCTTCGGTTCAGTTGTAGTTAGAATTCCTGGGCGCGATGAGAGATTAAAATGCCATAACAAATGCACCCTTACTGATGATCAAGGCGGCGCAAAAAGTAGATGTGCACATAGTAAAAACAAATATCTTATGGTTATTCAGCAAATACCATAGCTTAATCCCATGTAAGCATCGTCATCCCTCCTCCAGAACAGACGATTGATCTCGTCCAGTTCATGCACCTACCCTCCCAGCTCCGTTCAAAATAAGCATTCAAACTCATCACGAAGTAGAACTAGTTCGCACATGCGCGAAGTGAAATGTCTGTATTCGAACACTAACGCTCAAAACAAATTCGGCTCGAACTCAATGTGGAAGTTGTGGGAAGATATGAAACGATCTATGTTTGGATTAGGAAATAGGCGGGATAAGAATTGTGTCATACCTCTTAAGTTGAGATTTCAGGTTTGAGAAGCGACAGGGGGAGTACGGGACGGACGGCGGGGGTTACACATTGTGTTACTTGAGACTAGGTGAAACTTTGGAGATGCTCGATGTTTCTTCTTTCTGTTGAGATGAAGTTGTGGGGGTTTGGGAGTGCGTGTCTGGGTTTCGATTTGTATATTTCATTCTTTACTTTTTTAGGTTAGGTGGGAGGTATCATCGTAAACGAGGTTAAAGGGCATCAATGAGTTAGAACTTAAGTAAGATGGGCTGAGAAGACACAATGAAAAATCAAGTGATCCGAAAGGTAACAAGAAACGTTATCAATTGTAATGTGCCCAGGACTTTGTATCACGAGACAAATATGAGGGTCGTGAATCATCGATCTTCACGGGAGGAGTCATGGAAATGCGGAGACAGTGCAATCTCAACCTATCAAAGCTATAGAGACGCATTATGGTTCTGAATATCAGATAGCGAGTGCATGGAGCAGGCTATGTGATGTCTATGAAACACGCGGGACGGGAGGAAAAAAGGTTATCATGACTTCATACCTCATGCCAATTCTATATAGATATTCGACGAATTTTCAATAGCTTTGGTTGTCGTTCCACTAAATTGTAGGTCAGTACTGTAGTCAACATAATCATGGGACTTTAACGTACGTAAAGGGTATCGTGAAATACTTCCGGACCATTTGCATACAATTCCCATCCAAATTTCATTCTCACATACTGTATTAGATGACTCGCGACCTTGATATGCCCCACATCGGTTGGGTGGTACGCTGGCCCAATATCATTGTGTTGCATCAAGCCGGTGGTGTTGAAATAAGATACGAATGGAGCAGAAGGTCGATGAGACGAATATGTGGAATTGGTATGCGGATTGTACAATGTTGGATTGGACAAGTATTCCTTGGAGTTGAAATGTTGATATATGTTGTAAATTTCAGAGGCAAATCCTTGAGCTTGCGCGTAAGAATTTCCATAGGCAAAGAACCCCTCCCAGAGAGACTAATCGTGTCAGTGATGTTCATACGCGGCCTGTAAAAATGGACGTACCATCAGAATTATTTGAGCATTGGGCCAGACAGCATGAATACCTTCAATCAGTAAGGTATACTGAGCGAAATATTCAGAACTAGTAACATTGATCGCCCCATTGCTGTCATTAGTCCCCAAGTTAATCACTACAATATCCGCATCATCTTGCTTGGAGAAATCCCAAAGTTCTGGTTTATCACCCCATATTTGAGTGGCACGAGGACTAGTATCAGAAGTATAGTACCATTGGTGAAACATTCCTCTGTTATTCCCCCAACATAATTGGTCGACCAAGCAAATGCCCGGATATGCTGTAATAGAATACTCTGTGTTTCCAAGACCGGCTCCCATACCATACGCAAAGCTTGAGAGTCCTTCCAGAGTAGCTGTATAGCCTGAAGAAAGAGAATCACCAATGAATTCGATAGTCCTCGAAGATTTAGGAATCTTGATCAGGCTTTCACCTTTACTCAAATGGACGGCGGATATCTGGACACCATACGCCCAATTTGTGACTCTGAGCTCAAAAGTTGATGGGTTTATAGGCCAGCCGACATCGATGGCAGGAGATTCTGGACTGACTAGTAAATGCGTGGCATTTGTAGTGATGTTTGTGAGCTGCCAATCCTGTCCATTCACTCGATATCCAATCAAAACAGTGTCCGAAGTCAAAGGCCCAAAAGTAATGGCGACTTCCTCTCCCGTGAATCCAAATTTGAGTCCGGGTGCTCTGAGGCTTGTTTAGTATTCTCCCGCCTTGTGGATAAAATTCAGAAGAGATAACTTACGACCACCAAGAGACATGTTTACTATCCCATCTTCCTTTGTAGGAGAGTTCTGGCGCGCTGGGAGGGTAATCAGTGAAGTTATGGTTACTGAGTTCTATCTTCGTGTCTGGATAATTTGTGATGCGGACTTGATCATTCTGCCAAATTGTTGCAGTTACCACGCAGGAAAGAGATAGGATTATACTTGAAATCATAGACTTCATTTTGACAGTGCGAGAGTTACACAAATAACAACAGAAGGAATCGCAGAAATCACATTGCTAAGAAGCCACTACTTATAAGACTGCAGATATTTTGAAGCAATATTGGCAAGGTCACGATCGACTGCGGGGTAATTCTCCAGCGAGCGGAAACAGGACATTTTGTTTTCCCGAGGCGGCTGTATTGTAGGTGCTATCCAGACTTTCTGAAGAAGATTCGCAGTAGCGAGAACACATCTCGGGACTGATGTACCGAGTTCTGTCAATCACAATCACGTAGCTGCTCATGCACTACATGGGAGTATCTACACCGGAAGATCGAGCCGCACTCGCGAAGGTGTACACATGTACATGTATATATCGTGTCAATGGGGCCATTGAATATTGACACGATATGCATTTTCTTCCCTTGCTCCACAAGTTTCTTCTCCGGTAGATAAAGGGCATAGTGTGAGATTCTTGTATCGACAAGAACAGTGATGTTGGTATGGATGTTAATTTTGATGTTGATGAGTGGTGACAGTTTTCAGGTTGATAAGATCCATGGATGCAGATGATATGACACTTGCATAATTTTATGAATAATTATGCAAAAAAAATTATGTATGTACCACCATACTCAATCTTTCTTAGCACCGAATGACTACTTCAATTATCCATATTTGGCGGGAGGAAGGTCGCACACAGAACGACCATCGTTGAACTTCTATTCTCAACCACTCATCACCATTACTTTCATTCTTTCCCGTGTATAATTATACTTGTTTAATTGAATTATCCTTTAATACTAGACCACCTTCCTAACGGAAATCTACCCATACTTTATACTCTCGTGCGGAAATCACCTTGAATCAAAATACCGTAGAGGAGGGAACAAGTAAACGAAAAGAGCCTACTTATCGTTCTCAGCTGATCTGCTCACTCATATATAAAAAGAAAGGCATCCAAAATACCGGAACCGATTGTGGATCTTATATTACCTGGTTTGACTGTCTGTCGTCAAAGCTCAACTATCGCGGAACCAAACTTTCAATCTACACTATCACCAAGCTAAGGGGGAAGGGACTCCTAGAAAATGATCTTTCCTGAATCACGACTACCATGAAGTTTACAGCGCCTTCACAGTTCTCTGTGAGGGTGTCGAAATCATCTAGTAGACTTCTGTTATCGCTTGGCATCATCTAGAATTCATCGCACTACCAAGAGGTCTAGAACCAATGGCCTCACCTGCCCCATCTGTGCCAGATACCCAGCTTAACTTAACAGCTGATGAGATTGCTCTCCTTCGACACCATCAAGTCCAAGCCGCTGTAACCGCAGGCTCCAGCTCTTCTCGCGCAGCCTCGCGAGCCTCGTCACAAGGTCTCCTCCTCCTCGATACCACCTCACTCGCAGCTCTTGGGCGTCATTTTGACCATCTCATATCACAAATCAGCGCGAGGCTTGACTATCTATCTGAGCAATCTGCCATTGTTGCACAGCAACAATACGATAATGCGGGGAACGCGATTGCTATGGCGGATGCGGAGATTGCACGGTTTCATGACATACTCAGGCAAATCGATGAGCTGGAATTGGATTTTGACCGTATACGTCATATCAGGGATATTGTGAGGAGTTACCGACAGAGAGTTGAAGAAATAGAACAAGCTGTGGATAGGAGCGCTAGCGGGCATACAAGTGGCAGTAGACATCGACATAGGCATCATCATGAGAGCTCTGGCAGTTCGAGAAGACATCGAAGATGAAACCGCTAGGCATACAATAGTATAATTGAGTTGGAGAGCAGAGCAAGAACTCTGGTATCGGAATTCTTCTATACTTGACCTGATGGTATAATGGAGGTGAAGGGGAAGCGGGCGGTCGTATTGCTTGAATGGACTAAAACGGGAATCGGTGGAGAAACCAGGCTCGGACACACTGGGAAGAAATATTTGCCTCACGGCTGGAGAAGGGATAGCCTCGCGGCCGGCGTTCGATTTGAAGTCTTTGGTTTTTTGACATTATTTTTGAGGATAGCGCCAATACCCATTTTTCGGTAAAGGGAAAGTTTCAGATCTCGAATCTAGATATTCGAGAGTTTATTTCATGAATTTGGGTCGGAGCGAGCGATTGACTTGTCATATTGAAAATGTGTAATTTATCATTCTTAAATGTATAATTTTCCGGAGATTTTTACTCTTGATTGAACGGCTCGATCATTTTCGTTGGACTGGCAAGATTAGTGACTAAGAGTCATATCGAGCCCCATTTGAGATTCTCTTTTATGTGTCAATTCATGTGTTTCGTCTTGATATGATCACCGGTGACGATAATGACATCTGGGGCCGCAATGAGATGGATAAACAATACCAGGGCATTTGAGATGACCTCATCTAACTACAGCACTTAGGACGAATAGAAATCTCACTACAGCACTCATCCAAACCTGCATATCTAACATGCCAATGAAATTAAAGATTGAAAGTGTTCTTTTCTGAATAACAAAAGGCTCCCTTACTTGTTTCTCCATTTACCAAAATTTTTGAAGATCCAAATCGCCAAGATCTATAGCGATGAAGATGATCAAAAGGGTAGTCAAAGACCATTTCTTACCCCTACCTCAACTGAAGGAGGGAGGAGGAAAGAAGCTTTCGTGGCTGTATATCACATTGCCGTGCGTTCGAGAATAGCCTCTTGCTGAAAGTATTCGTTCTGGTTTCCTTTCTTGGAGGCCCTTTTGCATGAGGGCTTTAGATGGGAAGGTAAAGACATAGGTTGATTACCCTGGTGTAGCTGAGGACGGAGATCACACTTCGATACCATATTCTCAAGTGGGATTTTGATGGGTCAAAAGCTTGGCTGCTAAGTTTTGTATTGCTGTTGATCACAGTAATTTTCTATTTTTAAGAGATACATCTACATATCAGCTATTTTGTTCCTCATCGATCGAACCGCATTCCTCCCATTCCTCTCCCTCATAGTCGCTGTTCAATCACACATTCTAATACCATCTCAACTAGTCTGTTATTTACCTAATGGCAATCTACACCTGTGCTGCTTGTCATCCCACCCCGCCGTCGCCCACCAGAAAAATCTGCATCAAAAATGCAAAAAAAGAATGAACATACAACAGTGGGGATTCGCTGGTGGTCACCCACCCAACTACTAATCCACCGATCTGAAGCTTGTGTATGGCAGAGCGGACGGGATGCCCAATTCTCTTCAGTCTATGGTCGTATGTGACAGAAAGTGGCGATCTGAGGTATATATTATAGTTGTGAAGAGACTAGTAGCTTGTGCAGAGTCTGACGACAGTCCGGCCCCCTATGATGCATCTCGTAACCTGAACTGGATCTTCACTTCAAAATATTTCCCCAAATACAAATTAATACTATTGCGACTACTACTAGCTAGTCAGGATTGGAAGCGGCAATCCCTATTCGCCTTGGAGTGCGAGAACGCATCATAGTGCGAGGACGCCCTAATGAACGCGCTAATTTATAGCCCTCTTCCACTTTAGCCCAGTTACGTCTAAAATGCAATCGATATAGAAGTGTCAGAATGCCTTCTGCGCCGTCCAATTCATCTCGCCCTGTGGAAATAGTCGCAAATACCCCAGACTCAAGCAGTCTGCCTGTTAAGATTGGTGGATCAATGAGTTCCCATGATCTTGAGTGGAGAGACTCCGAAAGAGGCCTCTGCAGTTTTGAAGGCTTGAAGAATTGCTGTTCGATTGGACCTCGCGACTCGGCAGACAATAGTCCTATTTGATCCCAGACGTCGTATGAAAGCGTCGAGGATTTTCGATCTAAATAGTAGCTCACAAATCCAATCATCCAATACTGATTGGGATCTTCATCAATCTTTCTAGGGCCGAAAGGATTTAACGTGTTCACTGACTTAAGACCAAAGAACCTGCTCATGGTTCCCGGCACGATAATATCATGTATATCATGTAAATAACCGGAACTCATCGCCCTAATGACACCGGTGGTACGCGATAAGAGAGTTGCAACTATTACCCATGGATCATGCTGGAGATGAAGAAGCCCATGGCAGTATGAAATTATGGTTTGGGCATCCGTAGCATCTCCACAGCGACTGGAAGATCAGGGAATCAGTATGTAACGATCAAGAATATCTTTCAAAGCAATCGAGCAAATGGAAGGATCAAAACCCATTTTGATAATTCAAGGCTAGACACAGAAATAGAGTTTGAAATCAGGATAAACAAGGTATGAAGAACAAAGAGGGTTGTGGATTAGTGAAACATACGGATCGTGAGGATGGAGGATGTCAAGCATCTGTGTCATTGATGGCGAAGATCTGCCAGATACACAAATCATTTTGTTCTCGACGCCCAGATAGGTTGCCATATTAAGGCTATGCACAAAATGCGTAGCCCAGAATTGAGCAATAGGGCCCTGCATTTCGGCACCATCGAGTTCTCGGGAGGGAGGCTGGGCCCCAACGCTACGTTTGCAAAGTACTTGCAACATAAACAGAGAGACATTATCGCGCCTGACTTCTTTACCTTTGTCTTGGAAGACTTCCTCAACGATTGATTCAACTTTGAAGTGCTGATGATTACCCGTCGTTTTCAGACTTTCATAAAATTCTGGTAAACGATCCCAGTCATGTGAAATCAGCGGTTTTGCAATTTCAGCACAATATTTTTCGATCCAGACACCCAATTCATGATGGTTCATCGCGAACGCAGATTCGTCTTTTGTCCGTTGGTCTTGCCGTCTTTGAATACATGTCTCGAGTTGTCTTAGGGCCCCTTCGCTTGTCATTACGATGTCGTTGATAATGTCCAATACTTGCTCTTCCTCGCGAGATATCTTTTGATCTTGTGATGCAAGAGGCTTATACAACATGTCGTGCTCGATTTCAGACCACACATGCATTATCAAAGTCCCGATTTGAATTTCAACTTTGATGTCTTTCCAAGGGGACAATTTGATGGGTGGGATGTCCTCAGGTGCGAGTTTCACAATGAGGTGCATCGCTCTATAGCCTGGAAACTCTCCCTTTACGAGGTCTGCTGCTTTTCCAGCAGCACCAGGCTCATCAAGGTCCTCGATGCACTTTTCGAGCTTCTGTACAATTTCAGAATCCTGATCTTTGCGTCATTTGCTGGTGACTTGTAGTCGATTACTTAGTAGGCTTGCAACTCGCTCTACATCTCCTGGAAAGTAAAGCGAGATGCGAAGGCTACCAAAGTCGTGTAAAGCATCAAGAATTTCTCGAGGGCCCTGAAATGGTCCTATCTCATCCTCATATTGCTCTTGGCCCAAAATCCGGCACCAGTCCGCCCAACTCCAACCCTTTGATTGAACTACAGTTCGAGAGTGTTGACGAGCTATTCGTTCTTTCTGGCGTCGCCGAAGAGTCCCTTCAGCGGACTTCCATGTCTTGCTCCGATGTGTCATCGGAAGATGGCGTATATTTCCTGATGTTAGAGCCTTGTTGCAGATGTCAATGACTTGTGTAGTGTGAGCTTCCATTGTATCTAACTTGCTGTCAAATAAAAATCGGACAGTTTCTAAGTCATGTTGGAAGCGATCCTCCAACGTATCTTGAGACGCCATGACAGGAAATGGTATAATCATTATCAAGGAAGCCGGACTGTATTTGCGACTGAAGAAAATGGTCAGTAAGATCAAGTATATCCAACGTGTGGGGTAGGTAGAGGCTTACCTCAGCCCTGAGCCTCAATGTTACCCTGTTTGACACCCCTGAAACAATAAGAGCCTAGTGGATACAAAGTGATTCGCTGGGAGAAATTCGTTATCGCCGTTTTTGGGACGTTCAAAGCTACGTGTAGCCTGCACTTTGACGCCAGACCAAGCTAGCTGCCATTTGGCATTGCCAGGAAAGGTGAAGGAGAAATATGATTTATTGTTCAGTGAGAAGGAGAAAAGTGTCAGCAATGAATGAATATCCATCAGGTAACAACCTCCAGAGATTCAAATCAGCAAAAGTCTGAAACTCCAAGGACGAGAGGCGATAACAAACAACCGAGACATTTCATCCTCTATCGAGAATATAACAACTTGCTATTTTCTTTCTAAATATTCACCAAAGGCTTTTCACATACTTCAGTCCAAAGTGAATATGCTCAATGCCAACTATAAAAATCCTATATGCATAATGAATGCCTGTTGCGTTGTTGATTTGACTTCAGAAATAACAATGTGAAAGTTGAAAACAAGATTTGTGAAGGTGATTAGCAAGACGTCAGTTTTTTACTTTAGAGGCTATCGGTTATCAGGGGCGGTGACTGCAATTCTGAATGGGATCGAGTTACTGTTGTATAAGAGGGTATGGTGAAAATACTGATATTGAAGAGAGAGAGAGGGGAAGCCTCAGAACAATTGGCAAAGACAATGTATAAAACTTGTGGAAAAGTGATTCTGAACATTTTTTAGTCTGTACATCCAGGACTCTGGTCACCATAACGTGTTGGATAAGGCCATCAAATGATTTAATTGAATTTGGAAGAGTGTAAGATCACGTGGAGGAACAAAGGCATCAGGGAAGTAGACTGCGAAATTCATGACATTATCATATTCGTAAATGGAGTCTACAAGCGCTTCATGAGCTCCAAAAAAATGACCCCGCAACTCCTAAATAGATCCATCAGTATTCCGCGCCCTCATCATCATCGCTCATTCCATTACGTTCTTCAAACACCAAGAATGGCGTTTCTTCAGTCCCATCAGAAACTCTTTTCCACTCCTCCTCAACATCTACTAGGACTTGATCGTTGAAGGCGAGATCTAGCTTGTCTTTGCTTCCTTGCTGCTCGTAGTATACGCTATAAAGCACTTGCCCACTATCACCCTCCGCTGTCGCAAGAAACTTGGAGATGGCATCATCTAAAAGGAGCTTTCCAGCCTGTGTGGTCGAAGATTCAGGAAGGAGAGTAGTGGCGTAGAGGATGCCTTAATCAATTGTCAGCTGCTTGTTTATCCAAAAGCGTGTGAATGAATTGGAAATAGAAGTAACATGATCAGAAAGTTTTTATATTATCTTCAATGGAATTCAGACAATGTAGATAAGTTTTAAAGTTTGTTCATCATATAATGCGTATGTGGGTAGATACGAGAAAGGGTGATACTGACATTGACCTACTGGGCATTCGCCAGTTTCGCTAGAATGAGCCATAATATACACCGGATAATCCTGACTGAAATCGGATGCTACCAGAACTTTCTCTGGGAAAACGGTCACCGATACGGCAGAGGTCGGGGAGCCTTCCACTGTACTAGTGAAAAGGGATGCCAAAGGTGATGATACAACGGCCATAGCTTTGACAACCCGGATTCCAGCGTGGGGTGCATCATGATCGATTCGAGTAATATATCTGGTTTTAACATTCTCATCATTCGATAAATCGACTTCATGTGTAGTGACACCTCCAGCCCCAATAGACTTGGTACCGCGGATGCCAGTCCCAAGAACATACACGCCACCGCCTACTGCACCAGCTCTGCACGCAACTTGCGCAATTTCAGCGCCACCACCCCATTTTGGTACGACAGCTCCAAATCCAGGACCAAAGACGCCGATCGATGTCAGATGTCTCTGAATTCTTGGCAGCGCATACTCTACACTTGTTCCCTCAAGTGTATCGAGTGATAAAGTCAGGGCTCCAATGAGTGTCTGCAATCTCTGCGGAAGCTTAAACTCATCCGCGAGGAACTTTGACAATCCCATCTCAACTTTGCTTTGCCAAACCTCAACTTGATTCTCATAATCCACGACAAATTTCAAGAATTTCATCAGTGATCGCTTGGCGCGATTATCGATACTATTGTCTTGGAAGATATCTTCTCGACCTGACGGCAGACGTTTCAGTGCTGCATCATCATATAAGAACCAGCTACCAACAGCTTGGAATTCGAGTTGTTTGTAAACTTTTGAAGAGACGAGGGTGGATAGGAGTGGCGATCGCGTGTATATTATTTGTGGTGAAAGGGTGAGATTGTATGCTCTCGAGAAGCCTAACTTCTCTTTGAGGGTAGAGTTGTACGTCGCAGAAGCATTGCTGAAAGTTGATGTGCCGCTCTGCGTATGGGCCCGCTCTACCCAAGCGTCTGTTTCTTGCAGACTAAAGGCTGCTTCTTCGTCTCCATAGTATTCATTACTATCGACGTGTAATATCTTTTTGTTCGAACGGGAGAGGGCTCTTCATGATACTATGTTAGTTAGTTTCCTTCTTGAGATTACCGCGCGTTCCGCGACCAAGCTCCACAACAGGGTGTGGGGTGTTGTGCACTTACAAGGCAAGCAACGAGTGCTTCAAACCAGTTCCTTCAATCACCAAGTCCCATTGCGTTTCGCTCAGCGATTCCATTTTTTTCGATCACGAAAAGTTTGTGCAATTTATAATTGAAGCTTGGTGGGTCAATCCTTGAGCTTACTAGCCCGATCGCTAAAACCTTACCAAGCCCAACAGGGTTTAGTGTCTGACATCTTGAGCTTTGATAAACTTCTCACGAAACTTTTTTTCTTCCTTTTTTTCAATCAGTCGTCCGACACAATTCAAATCTTCTCATTTCTCATGAAGATGCGGTCGTACGGAAAAGTCTTTCAGTAGATTTTTCTAGTTGGACGAAAGACCAATTCAGCGTCCTGTATCTACTGCTCTGGAAACTATGTTCTGAAGGAAGCGGTTCGTAAAGGTGTGCTACATATCAAATGACGACGGGAAAATATTCAAAGGGCTGGAATTTGTTTTCGGTGCCTTGGGTATTTTTAGGCATGAAAGGAAAGGTTCCTCAATCAGTGACAGTTGCAAAGTCTGTATCTCAAGGTTCTCCAGTTGCAGATGCAGATGCTGCAGGTTTTCGACATGCAGTATAACGGCACACGTTGACGTGGTTCCGAATCTTGAGGATTACAAAAGCCGTACCTCTCTCTGGTCGACATGGATATAGTGACTACAGCGTGCTATTTGCTTGTCTATCGGAGAGTCAGGTCTAACGGTCGTCCCTTCACCTAATAGGCCTCGTTGTACTGCATTGCTGCCCCATAAATCTCGCCGCAGATTTACACAGCATCTAGGCACTTCTTTTTATGTAGCACTCAAATTCAAACGTTAACTCATGAATGTGTTGTTTGTGATCATTAAATGTTTGAGATTATAAATAGTGCCGACTGATGAGCCTGCGATAGATTACAAATAATAGTTTGGTATGTACTCCAAACGGAGATGCCCACAAATGCCCGCCTTGATGCCATTGGTATAAGATATGTTGGGATTCTGGCCCTCTCCCGTTGACCCAAACACCGGTCCGTCAAAAATATATTGATCGTATGATCATCCACTCCGTACAACCTGCCCACGATTAATTCAAATCAAATGGCATAATTCTCCGTATGTAAAAATATTTCGTCTTTACTGTCATCGCCCCAGATATCCGCTTGCAGCTTAGCCACCGTAGTTGCTACATTAATACGCATTTCAGGAGGGCCGCAAACGAAAACGCATGTTCTCCTCCCAAAGATACCATGCCCGTCAGGTCCTCCGGTGGCCATCTCTTTCAACATATATCCTAGATCAGGTCGACCATATTCAGTAGTCCAACCCTCCTTCTTCTTAGGTGCGACAAAAGCAAAACGCATCAGATTCTTCTGGAATAAGGTAGGTGTTGAAGGAAAGCCAAAGTCAAAGGTTGGATCTGGAATGCTGTGTTGAAAATTTGACTGTGGAATTTGAAGCTTTAATTCTTCAGATCTTTGCCGCAAATGAGCAGGTTGTGGGGGCTTCAGAGAGGGCGTAGTTTCTACCTCATTTGACAACTTGGGTGTATCTTTTGCTGGAGGTGTAGGTGCAAATTCTCGAGGTGCGAATTGGTCTGAGAGTTGACCTTCCTCTGAGGATTGCATGTCAGCATTATACGCTTCTGCTGGATCGTCAATGTGGTCCTGAGGATTATAACTATTGCGTGCTGTATCAGGAACAAAGCTAGCTCGATTGGGATTCGCTGAAGGCGGAGCGTATTGAAAATGAGGAGCATCCAGCTTTTGTGGTGGTACTGGAAAATGGAATGATTCTTTAGAATCGCTTTGTGGTTTCGTAGCAAATCCTAGTGGCGACAAGAATTTTCGAGTGGCGTCGTGAGAATCTGGGGAGAGTGTTGCTAACAGAGAACGTCTTTTTTCTGAGTTCTTTGACTTAGACTCTGTTGTGGGTGGTGGAGGAAATGAAGTTTGTACATTGGGGTATACTCTTGGCTGTAGATGTTTCGAGTGTGGCAACGATGTTATAGCATCTTCATCTTCCATTCTTAACTCCCTTTCCCTCTCTTCATTGCCTTGAGCTTCATCACGAATGAGAGCCGAGTTTCGTTTAGACGCAATGCCCGCTACAAAACCGTCTAATTTATCGTGGAATGCTGTGCTTAGCGGTCTTTGAGCTCGTCCGGCAACATCTATCTTTGAGTATCGCTTTGCAGTCGTCACAAAAAATTGACAATTGATAGTGTCAGGAGGTGCATATTCCCGGCAAATTCTAAGCTCCTCTCTGAACCAATCCATGGATTCCAGTCTTTTTAATGCCCACACAACTTCAATCTTTTGAGTGACTGCCTTACCGTCCCTCATCCTCTTGATTAGATTTAGTAATTGTGAAACGATTGCCGTGATACCACTCCCACCAGCGAACAAAATGACAGTGTCGAATGCGGCAAGTTCTCGTTGCATACCGCCGTATGGCCCGTCTAGATAAGCACGATATGTTTTGAAGGGGCCATTGTGGGTCGCAGTTTCGAGAACTTTCTTAGTAAAACCTCCAAATGGTCTGAATACCATGGTACAGTCCCTATATTGCTCTCCATACTCGGATGGGAAGTCTTCACTGCAAAGAGAAGAAATGGTAAAGGGATGGTTTTCGAATACGGAAATTCCAGGCATACGGAGATAGACGTATTGACCGGGTCTCCACTTCATTTGCGTTGGAACGGTGACCTTGATTGCATTCTCAGCCATCAGCGTGATAGCAGCTTCGTCACCAATCAAAAATGAATTTCTCCATGGTTTTGCCCAGTTTAAGTTACCAACACGTGTAAGATAAGCTAAAGCCCATATGGCGACGGTTGCATAAAGGTAGTTCCAGGAAGTGAGATAGTTATTGGTATGCCAAAACAGCATTGCCACATAAACAACCGCTGCGGGGATATGGAGAACTACAAATAGTTCATATGCGAGCCTTCGGACGATTGGCAAGGATCCAATAACGAGCCATCCGAGTGGTGCCAGGCAAGCGATTCCAGTCCCATAGATAATGCCACGGCTGGCTGGAAAAAGTTTTCCGAAAACTGTCATTCCTCCATCATCCCATACAGGTTGTATGTAAAAGGGAATCGTGTGCACAAGAGCCAAGAAGAGACACAAGTAGCCTCCCCATCGATGAAAGACGCCAAGTCGGTCATGACCTATTCCTGTTATCCAAGATATTAAATTGGACTTCATAGCTGTGAGAATCAACCATGGGGTCATCGCCACAGACATCATTCCTGCTCTAACAGCCAGTGGGGGGGATCCATAGCGAATGCTTTCCCAATAGAGAGGCTGGGGCAAGAAACATTGAAGTGTTACAAAGATAAGGCCAATTATCAGCAAAGCGACAACCGCCAAGGATGGAAATGCGGTGATAAGCTTTTTCTTGTATCGGAGTTCTGGAATTGGACGATAGAACACCCATCTAAACAGTGCTAATGTGTCATTTATCAATGCAATTGATGACCAGTGAGACCCCTTTGTTACAGCGATATATGGCTTCTCGTCAAGAGTCGTCGCAGGGAAAAATTGCTGTTCTGATCCCCCAGTATGAATATTCGTCATAGTATATTCATCATGCTGTTGTTGGTAGTAGCGTACTAATTGCTTCTCAACTTCATTTTTGTGGTACGCTTGTCGCAGCTTGTCGGTCCAAAGGTGGTATGCTCTAGTTATTGCGACTAGGCAGACTATAATCACCGGAAAGTAAGTCCATGCCAGCGCGTACTTCCCAGCTTTATTCCATGGGTCCAGCGTATTAGCTGCGATCAAGCCGGGAGGACTAGTAGCCGTGAACGGAATGTTAATCCGTTTTGCGAGACTCTGAACGGCGTGAGATGCAGCCCCTACGGCAGATGCTCCCTTCGATGTAAGATCAACCATTGAAAATCTGGAGATGAATCAAGTTCCCTAAGAAATCGAGATATAAGCTGACTTGTATCCAAACCATCCAGTTCGAAATCGATATAAGTCGGCTTACACTTGTCCGAGCAGCGTGTGTTCAAGGAACTCGACAGATTAGTTTCAAAGCGGTCGAGACCTCAAATGGATGAATCTAGCATATATGACGAACATCGAGTCTTGCAAAGCGTAATGTCATTTGACTAGTTCGGTGTGTCTCAGAGAGGTTGAATTTGCTAGCTGAAGAGAAATCCAGATTTTTCAAGAGACGCAAGTGCTTTAAACAGAAAATGGTGATGATAAAACACTTGAATAGCCTCAGAGGGCAAGATATATTGAAATATCACAAGGTTATCGGTGTGAGGAATGCTCGATAGTTAGTATGCCAAGGTCCACAATGTTCCTGCAGGTGGAGTAAATCCGTCACCTTATCACCTGCAACCACTGATTTATTGCATCCGGTCACCTCGAAATATGCGCACACCCGGAACCAAATAGCGTTCAGTGACAGAAAGAGTTAGCAAAATCAAGGCGAAGATCTCGAATACCCTTATACTTTGATATGATGGGTGGCAATATGGAATTGATGGAACATAGTGTACGGTATTGGTAATTGTTGGCAGAAATTGCGGCTTGTTCTATATTGGTATTGGTCGTGCCACCCCCAGGATGATGGCAGCGAATCCAGGATTTGGACCCCAAAACGGATATGCCTGTCTTGATCTAGGAAGATGCCGCGGTTTCCGTTATCGAATATCATGCAAGTGATTCCCGCCTAATAAATGATATACAGAGGGAAGTATTTCAAGGACGTGCGTAAATAATCTGAGGAGTTGATAACAACAATACTTGCGCAAAGGCTATTCAATGTGACTGATTGCATTGTTGCTTTATGCCCAACAGGAAACGAAGAAGAGTAATCTATACAGCACAATCTCAGCATTGTGAGTGTGATACACTTGCATGGCCGAGGGCACATGCTGAAAAGGCATCGCTGAGCAGAGTTCAAGGCCAAGATTTTTCCTATGGTCCGAAAGGGATTGGCCAATTAAACTTCAAGGATGGCTTTCTCCAATGAGACATAAAAAACGTGCCCCCCGCCATTGTGTAATTTTGCAAAATTTTGTGATGATTCTGTAGTTGGCTCAACCAACCATCACGCGTATATCAATTTTTTTGAAGGTTGCAGTGCATGTTGAGCGCCAACAGACGCACGTTGATTGCTTCGCTTACATTTTAGTTGCTGATAGGGGCCCCTGCAACTTTCAATATCACCGGCTTGGTAGGGTTGTACAGTTCAGGTCACATTTGTATAACCATCTGCCGGATAAACTCGATTCTGTATCGGAAGTACATGGCCATTGCCCAATTATCATCTTCAAAAGTTTGTAAAACCAATGTCAGATCGTTGATGAGATCCCGATATTCGGGATATTGGAGGAAGTTGAGGTATAACATGTTGGAACCGCTCATGATTCATTAACACTTCGCCTGCCGCTTCATCACAAACAATAACGAATAGCTTGCCAGTACTGACCGATGTGTGCATACTATCGTCGAATTGGGATATTTGAAAACTTACATAATCTAGAACTATTTGGTTTTGCCTCAATCCAGCCATGTGCTCCGATACATTTCCGTTAGACCCCAGAGTTATATCTTGAAATGGAATATTTAACCTCCAATATCTTTCAATGAATGAAGGTTGAAAGCGCTTATCAGTGATTCCCGTCTCCGAATTAACATGATCGGCAGTTGATGACAGTCGACTTCCTAGCAAAACCGAGTCATTGAATTTGTGATGGAGAGAAAACTTGACTGCACCCCATAAAGATTGCGTCTGCGAAGAGAGGAAACTTATTTCAGTGGCCCAGTTAGAACATCGACTGGACTTATCTTAGTCCTTGGGCCTCCATTTGATCTCCTTCACCAAGGGATGATCTGCTGCTGAAGTGGGGACAGCTGAGACAATTTCACACCCCTCATTTATCTCTCGTCTCTTCCCTGCAGGTACGCTCGAGGTACGAAAGTTGACGAAGGCTTCTCTCTGAACCGAATATGACACCTTCCCTTCAGGTCTTAATCTGAAAATTCAAAAATGAGAGCGGTGAGATGCGAGCATTGCACTGCTTCGTAACCATATGGTGCTATGGCAGATGGATGAGATGAATTTTTTTGGCAGTCTAGAACCAGCATTGACAATTCTCAGCCTCGTCCTAACAAATTTACAGCCTAGCGCCCAGCGATCCTTTCATTGGCTAAGGTGACACGGCCACAGCCGCAACTAGTTATTTTAGCTCCAAAAGGAAAAAAAGTTCAGCCGACGACATTTGATTGATAAACTAAAGCTTCCGCCTCGTGATAATTAATTCGGAGTGGATAGATAATACAACCTTCAACAATGACATCTACAGCTCAACCCACTCTTTCATTTCCTCGCGAGACTTTCGCAAAGCTCTCTCCTCACCCATACCTTCTTGCACATCTCCAACCAAGCTCTCCAACCAATTCATCAAAACGGGCAAACGGTCGATCGCCAACCCAATTTCGCGCTCCACATATCAATACCGGTTCACTCACACATGCTGAAGGTAGCGCAGTCGTGCGTATAGGAGACACTGCTGTTGTTTGCGGAGTTCGAGGTGAAATCCTACTTGCCAGCAATGTTGGAACGTACCGAGTCGATAAATCCACCACCGCTCCCTCGTCGCGACCAGGTTACAATGAAGCAAAAGAATTGGATTTACTAGTTCCAAACATCGAGCTAGCTACAGGATGTTCGCCTGCATTCCTACCTGGTCAACCACCGAGCACATTGGCACAAAGCTTAAGCACAAGAATATATTCATTATTACATAGCTCGCGCATGGTAGATGATGAGGACTTAAGGATTTGGTATCAATCGCCAGATCTAAGCGATCAGGATAGAATGGAAGATGATGAAGAACCAGAAACGGTCGAACCCGAAGTCAAGGCATTTTGGACTTTATATATCGACATTTTGTTCATTTCGCTCGATGGAAATCCACTTGATGCTGCTTGGGCCGCTGTTGTATCTGCTTTGAGGAATGTGAGATTGCCAAAGGCACATTGGGACGCCGATCGGGAGATGATACTTTGCGATGACGAGGTATCATTGTCGAAAAAACTAACTTTGAGAGGACTGCCAATCGCTGTCACATTCTTAGTATTCAGGGCAAAAGAGCAAAAGCGCGGAAAGGACAAGAAATTCTGGATATTGGCAGATCCGGATACATTTGAGGAGGGATTGTGTGACGAGTCAATCACGATGATTGTTGATTGCAAAGCAGACAAGCCAAAAATACTGGGGCTGTCAAAAGTTGGTGGAACTACCGTAGGAAAGGATGAGATGAAGCATGTTTTGGAGCTGGCTGAGACAAGATGGCATGAGTTAAGTCCGTTGCTCAATGGATGATTGTACAAAATTAATTAAAGAGATTTGATATGGTAGTAATCATTCTCTTAGTGAAGAATGAGCACAGAGTTCAGAGCCATATTCAGACACCAAGATTTTGCAACAGGCTTACTTTGGTTACAAAAGTTTCTTCCCACACCCCTGAGTGTATAATACTGACCGTCACCTATTTCTGCACTCTTGCCGATCTTTCATTAACTATAGGTCAGTATCAATGTATCCCAAAGCTTCCATTTGAAGCATTGCCACCTGTCATCTCAGCAGCAAAATGCACATCGTCGTAGATGTTTTTGTTTGTGATACAAGAAACAAGAGACATTTCTTGACTTCGAGAATCGAAGTCCGTTCTCGCGAAATATTGAGGTGTTATATGCCCAAATTTACGATCACATGTTCGTCCTGAAGCCGAATCACGGAGGAATAGCTGCATGAAGCAATCAATTTGTGCGTCTATGTAGGTGAATTTCACGATCCACTTCGCCCTCCTATATACTGTTATGTGTCTATAAGTCGTGAGACGTCTCCCTGATGAATATCAATCATCGTGGTTTCCAAATATCTTATTGATATGTCATTTCTTGCTTTCATTCCATATTGCATGTGGAGAGCATCAGGGTCCTATTAAGATTTTAAGAAAGTAAATGGTATAAACGTGTACGCGTTCGAATTTGATCATATTCAAGACCCCTTGATTTACTAGTTTTCGGTAGGATTTTGAGAATTCACTTCAGGTGTATGCTATGTTTCCTTCATAGTTTAACGCCTGCAAGGGCAATTGTATAATGGGCAATCGCTGTGCCGCCATTATGATGACTCTTTGGTCGTCGGATGACTCTACGCAACGAAAGTCATGAATCACTTATTTGTACCACGGGGGTGTACGCACCTCAATTATATCGTACATGTACGTTGGCATCTCATTCTCTCATTCTTCAAAGTACCTCCGAAAATCCTCCTCTCACATTTTAAATTCTATAGCTTAAAGCACTAAACATACACGAAATGCAGCTCAACTTGTTTCAGCGGCGCCATAAAATCAGAATTGCTGGGCTAGTCCTGTACTTTCTCGTCATACCGTTGTTCATTACCATCTTCATGTTCGTGTCGCTTTCTGGCCTGTTTATTCTCAAATTAGAAGATGGTATCAAGAGCGGCGAAAAAAATCCTTCTACTCATGATCATGTGGAATTCTACGTAACGAAGACCTGCCTTGTTCACGGCCAATCTGGGTCGGCAGCACACAATATTACATGCTCCGTGCAGCCTTCAGGTATGTCGGACATAATTATCTTGTTTGGTTCCGAAGAAATCACAAAATGACGAAATCTGACGACTCTCTACAGATGTATTACCTCAAATTATCCCACCGGGAATGCAAGACGTGGTTTCTAGGGTTCTAGAGATGGGAAAGAATAGACTCTTGACATACTTCCTTTTGTCGACAATGTCAATAATCGCTTCAGTGCCCATCATCTTCATATTCAAGCTCTCCACAATTAGGAAACAATGTATCGCTCTATCGGTTTGCAATCTTGTTAGACACCCAACTTCCATTTCCTGTTGACACTACCTTCTAACTCAGATATGCAATCAGATAACCTCTATATTTCTCATACTAGCCACGACGAGTATCTCCCAACTGCCTTCACAAGTCTTGAACACCGTTGCTGCAACTGTGTCATCAAACAAAATATTGGTGGTAAGAGGAATTCGGCTCTTGTTTGTAAGCTGCCTGACTACAATTGTTAGTTGTGTTATCTTGTGTGCTTTTGTTGTTCTTGGCTGGAAAAAGATCTGGAGGGATGAAGACGAAAATTGGATTTGGGAACATATACATAAATACTGCTGTTGTGGTTCTCGTTCCTAGAAAGAAAGGATCAGCCTATTTATTTGCAGATTTTGAAGTTTAGTACCATACAATTGACATACTTTTTGATGTTTCCTGTAAATAACATTTCGTGATTTTAGATACTCCAACACAGCACATGTGATCTTTCCATCAATGCAAAGTTATTATTGCACATATCTTCGGGTTCATACTTCCAGACCTATTCTCAAAAGCGTGATACAATTAAATAGTGTGTACACAGAGAAAAATGAAGCAGGGCCTCCATTCATTTAAATTTGACGCGAAAGCCACTTCCCTGCTGCTTATTTATATTTTTATACTGTGTTGCCATAACAATCATTCTTCTCCTCCTTATAATTTCTCAATATCAATCTTTTCATCGACGCATGCTCACATGAACTCGCAAGTGCGGATAACGGGACTGAGTGAACTTTGAGGGGTGTATGACTTGATTTGGAGTTAGGAACTTGATAGTACATCTCGTCTAATCAAACTCTTTGTTACAAAGAGTAGGATATACCTATTCTCGCCGAGTATCACATCATTGCGAAAAATGGCACCTTCTGCTCAGCCCCTTTTCCTCTGATCGAAATTCTATATACAGGCTATCTGTCTTTTCCTGATTCACCTACACATGAGTGTATTAACACTAGACTCTGTAAGTTTAGATTGAGCAGAAGTGAATAAAATCAGTGTGTAATCTCTCGATTCGGGTCAATACGAATTTTAAGATGATGTGTGTAGACTTAAAGCTCCTTGCCATAACCCTTCATAGCCCTGTTCAACTGTATCTTCTCTCACACAACTATCTTTCATCCCCAGAAATCAGTTTCGAATAGCCAAGCAAATATAACAGTTCGCGTTATGGCTGATAAAGCCCAAGACGAAGCGGAAAGGGTCGCTTTAAATCCATCCTCAGGAGAAGGCACCGCTCCCAAAGATAATGTGCGAGGAGGGAAGCCAGGAATATGGCAGTCAGGAAAAAACTGCTTTTCGTACTTCTCCACCCTCAGCGTCTTCACGATCACCACTCTACTTATGATTCCTGGCCTCGCTCTTGCGTGCTATCATCAAAGAGCACTTCAACTCCTTACGCTCACTACTACATCCACTGCTCCTAGTAGAGTTGGTGGAGGGTTGAATGTAACAAATGGAGATGGAGATAATCTCACCTATAAGATATATCTATGGTATTATTGTATCTCGGGAGTTACTGCTAGATATGGCAATCTTGTGAACATAACGGATAGATGCCATCAGTCAAGACAAGGTATGTGCCTCCCGTTTTCTTTTCCTTGGTATGAAATCGTATGTCTAACAGCCTTTTCTTCAACGCAGCATTAACTTATCACATTCTCCCCACCCTTAACTCGACCTTTACACCTCCGCTTCCTGGATACGATGCCTCTGGTCCTATCATGTCGATAAACAATCTCTTTCAGAACTACGCGTATCCGGCTTTCGCCTCCTACGTCGCCGCCATTCTTCTTCTAATCATATTTGCCAGTCTTTTTAACTGGTGGTTCGGTGCTACCGCTACGTCACATAAGAAAACCCTTATGCTCGCACTTTCCGTAAGTTTCCCATTCTTTCTCTCTCCCTGCAGAACTCACTCATCCCCAATCCATCTCCTAACATATCATCCCCTAGATCTTCACAGGTTGTTTCGCCACGCTTGCAGCACTCCAAACCTTTCTCTGCTACCAGACCATCTACATCCTCAATCACACCATGGAACATTCCAAATCCACTCTAAACATATCCATTACACCCGGTTTTCTCTATCTCATCATCATCCATATCTTCTGGATCATCCTCCTTCTCAACATCTCCATCATCCCCATCTCAACATGCATCAAGCGCCGCCGCGCGAAGCGACAACTCCAAGCCCTAGAAGCCGATGCACACGAGCTCAAAGAAAACGAAACTTTAAACAGCGACACTAAAGTTCGTAGTACTCCAGCGGAGCCTGCTGATTCGGAGTCCAGTGATGATGGTTATGACATGCCTCCTCGTGGTGCGCCTCAATATAGTGTGCCTATATATCCTCATCCCGGTATGCAGAATCAGGGATATTATGGTCATGGCTATGGTGCGCAAATGCCCATGCTTGATCCCATGCAGGACAGGATGTATCAACCGCAGTCTGGAAGACGCAAGAACAAGGGGAAGCGAGAACAAGGAAGGGATCAGGAAGTGTAACACTTAGAGGATTTGGTGGTTGAAAACTGTGTTTCTGCAATACTATGATTCTTTATTATGTTACCTTTTGGTTGAACTCCTAGATTAGGGATGGCTCGAAGGAGTCGGTTGAGTCAAATACATGGCACGAATCTCCAAATCTTTTTCTTTAGTTGAACTTTCGATACGATATTTGAGAATGACTCGGAAGAGTCAGATAGAAGTTAAATACAAGTCATACCTTTTAATGATTCATGAATTGCAATCCATAGATTCTAGTTCGAGGGACTCTTACAATGTTTTGCCTTCAACTTTTACTTCTCTGCTTCTTTACCACTTCCACTTCCGCAATTCTCTACCAAACATAGATATCATAACCCAAATACCAACTCCAACAAACACACAACAACCAAGACTCAAATACCATCTATCATGTTAAAATGCCTCCACATCCCTAAAGAAAAACGCCAAGGTCCTGCCCGTAGATACTACCACAGTCTCTGCACCGTCACCGCCACCTCCATCATCGTCATCATATTCATTCTCGTATCCCTAGTGTACCAATTCCCGGGAAGAAACAACTCGATTCTCGACTTCGAAACCCCAAGCATAACATATAAAATCTACGTCTTCCAATACTGCGTATCTAGCGGCCTCGAAAACGACAGCGGGGTCGATAAAAACCCGAATGCGAAAGATGGATTGGGGTGTCATTTAGATCTTAACCGTAAGAGATATTCCTCCTTTTCCAATCCCGGTTTTGAAGTTCATTACTACATCACTATCTATATCTTAAATAATCACACATGCACGAAAAAATCATAAAACTAACCTAAGATCACAAATCCCAGCCCTCGGCTATATCGTCGCTACAACAAACATACAAGCAGAACCCAGCGATCTCACCACCTTCTACGCATTAATGACCGTCGCATTCGCCTTCTACTACGTTGGTTGTCACGTAATCGTTCTCACAATCTATCTCTGGTGGCGATGGTATAACCGGCAGTTTAACCCTGGCGAAAAAGTTCCCAAGAAAAGTTTCACAAAATTGATGATCGCGTGCTTTGTACGTATCCCCCCTATTCATCCCACCCAATCCCCACCCCCTTACCAAAAAAAGAAAAGAACAAAAAAAAACTAAAATCTATCACGCCAGATCGGACTAACCATCTTCTGCATCCCCGCCTCCTGCCTAACCCACGCCTCCTACCTCGGTAGCGGAATCGCCGGCGGCGGAATCCCCAAATCCTATTCCAAAATCGGGAATCTCTACATGCTCTTCGTGCATTCTCTCTGGCTCTGGTATCTCGCCTCTCTCCTCATCATTTTTCTGCTCCGCAGAAAAGATTATCCCAAACTGCCTAAAGAGAAGAAGGAACAGGAAGAAGAGAAGTCGGTAGATACGGAATCGGTTTCGGGTTCGGGTTCGTCTTATGGAACTGAGTGGGATTATGGCTCGGATCCTGTGGGTCCGACTTATTGGCCGTCGGGACACTATAAGTGATGGGGTTAGTTGTGTACGATGTTGAGGAGTCGAAGTTTCTTTCATAGATGCGTACATAGGATATCGTTTTTTTTAGAGTTTGCTTATCTCGATGAGTAGAATATACACATATATTCATAATAATCGATGCAGGAATTCCGTGGGCCTCTACACTAGCGAAAGGTATTGGTGACACCACACAATTAACGTCCAAGTCATCGATCCTATGCTTTTGATAAATGTTAGTCTCATAAGCGACCCCCCCCCCAAAAGAAATCGTACCCTCTTAGCTCTACCAAAACCATCCCCATCCCCATCCCGATACCATAATCTCTCCCCCCCCACCCCCTCCCTCCCCCTCCAAATCCATATATACATAACCCTATCAAACATCTCACTTGAGAATTTGAGAACTCAAGGACTTGACATCAGTCAATTGCCTAACTCAACACTCACACCCACACTTCCACATTCCCCTCCATAGCACCACCATACCATACCATCCTATCCTTTCCCATCCCATCCCAAAACCTAAACACATCACATCCTCTATCAAAGCCCTCAGCATACATGCCCCAACATGCCCCAACATCCACAATCTCCCATCCGTCGACCCGACCCGAAATAAATATACTTCAGAAGTGTTCATCTCGAAGGAAATAACAACCAACCTCCCCACTAACCAAAGGTCCAAATTTCATTGCTTATATCCTCCGAATCCACACATAATGAATGATTAGCACTAGCCAGCTCAGTAGCATTTATTTGACTTCTGTCGACACAATAGTTGCATCGCAAACATGGATAATTTCATCTTACATCTCACACCTCACCAACCCGTGCAACACTCATCGAACACAAAGTCCTACCAGTTGCCAATCAAATCAATTTATTGAGTGTACGTGTGCATTGTCATCTACTACTAGGTTTCTCCTTTCTACCCAACAATCCACCCCTGCCGCTATCATCCGCCCCTAAACCTTTGACCATCGACTCTACATTACTCTCGTACTCGATTTGATTCCAACAACTCTCTCTTTCCTTAATACCGTCTAATCTCTAACCAAATCCACGAGAATGGGCAAACCTGAGTCCATTCAGTCCAGTCACTAACCCTAACTGTATTTCTCAAGACCCTTTCCAGCCCTCAAATCTCACTGGCATTAAAAAAGATTTCCTATCTTCCACGACCCCCTCCAACCTCCCTTGAGCTACGAGGTTGTTCATGTGTACTCCCATACGCCTATGAAATCAAATAACAATTTGTGGGCCATTCGACCCCTCAAAATAATTCAAGAAAAGAAAGATTCTTCATGATGTAAGAATCAAAGTCGAAGCTCAAGTGAAAAAAAAAAAATCAAAGCTTTCTAGTCCGAGAGTTCATGCAGAGTATCGTATCCAAACTCGGGGACGTTAGGCAAGAGTGATATGCCACACGAAGGTAATAGCAATGCAGGAAAAGGAGAACAAATAATGGTAATCACGCGTGCTCGATGAGTGTTAACTCAGACGCAGGCGTCTAGGTCCTTGTTATCCAGAGTGCAATAAAGAGACAAATGACAAACTTGATGTCGATTGGTAATTCAAAGCAACTGAGGTGTTGGTGTTGGCAATGGCTTGTTCTCAACCCTTGGCTTTCGTGGCCCTCCCTTCAAACTCTTAACTCTAGACAAGAACCCTCCTCCACCGTTGGATACGGGAGGCCTGGAAGATTCCCCAATGCTATCGCTAGTGACACGTCTTTCGATCCCTGGGGGGTTAGAAGGAGCACGAGAGCGACCGGGTCTTGGTGGCAGTTCAGCAAAGGTAACTGTTTCCTCCTTGATGGTATCGTCGCCCTTGCCAAATTCATTGAAAAATGGATTAGCTTCATTAGTCCTACTTCCGCCGGGTGTGTATCCGTCTGGAGAAGTGGCGTTGTACATGCCTTCTGGGCTAGTCATTCTCCCAGAAGGTCCGTAGTCGCGCCGGCTATTGATGCCGCGGATCTTCTGTGCCAATGACTTCTTTCGAGATAGCCCGCCATCCATACCCAATTGCTCATTCTGGTTCTTTTGAACAGCGGAACGAGAGGCTGGAGCACCTTCGAGGAAAGTAGAAGTTCCCAGGCCCATGGATTCTTCACCATGAACTGGCTCAACACGTGTGGTTGCACTTTCAATGGCAGATTCTGTGCGGCTAGGCATTCCCGGGCGATGAGTATAAGGTTCAAAATTATCGACTTTATCTCCCCCACGGGAATAATCAAGATGTGCTTCTGCGTCATTATTGCCCATAAATGTTGCATGATCAGGTTTCTTGTTCAGAGGTCCTCCACCACCAAGTGAATTGTTGGCTGAATCTTTAGCGAAGGCTTGCATTGGTGCACGACGACTTCCTGCTCGATTGCGGTCTGGGTTACAGGCATCGAATGGCCCATCATGATGGAATGCTATAGGCCAGTTAGTGGTGTTATTAGAGAATGATAAATTTTCTACACTTACTGCCAATTCCGAAAATGCTGGTAGCATCTAATTGATCAATAACATCGAGAGATGCCTTCTTCTTGGCCTTTTCTGTAGCGCGCTTACGATCACGATATCTTTTTTCTTTCTCTAAGCGTCTACGTTGATCTTCTGGATCAAGTAATTTGGGCTTTCGTTCCATGATAGATGTGTCGGAGTTACGTCTTGCTCTTTGTTTTGGGCTATCGTTGGGGTCGGCAAAAATATCTAATACTTCTTCTTCGCGTGGCCTGCTGCTCAAAGATGGCTTTGCAGCTGCTCTTCTCGCACGCATTGCCTCTTCCTGTGACCTCATTGGTCTATGTCCCGATGGCCTTCCCGGAGGGATGTTCTCTGCCTGTGGTCGGGTTGTGCCTGTGTTTGAGCGTACCATCCCCGGTTTGTTATTCCTGTTTGGAATAGGTTTATCTCCGATTGTCAGTTCGTCCTGCATTGTTGATGTCAGCAAAACGTTCTTATGTAGCCATATTTATTGTAGGTTGGCTTCCTCCTGAAGTGTGTTCTCATAATCTCGTTGGCTAGATATAAAGCCCGAAGAACACAAAAAGGGGATTCATGGTTTGAGACGAACGTACAAATAAATCCGCTGCGTTTCCTGTTAGAGCTGGCCCTGGGGAAGTCGGGCTTGTTCGAGAAAATGCCATCGTGTCTGGTGCTGTTTGGTTCGTAGTTGAAGAATCGAGAAATGGATTTCGAGATAGAGGTCTTGGAGGAGGTTCTCGGGGGGAACGTTGGGTAGAAGAAGGCATAGCTGGAGACACGACTCGATTTCTAAAGGGGTTGTTCGATGATAGATTGGCTGAAAGTCCAGGCGATCGATTGGCTGTTTAGAGAATAAGATTCAGATATCAGTCTATGTATTCATGCTTGTCGTTGACGGGGAATGATAGGAAGAGTGAAACGCTGAACATCCAACTTGATACAGGCCAGCCGTGATAAGTGGGGATGACAGTTTTGTCGTCGCAGACTTGCGGCGCATAGATTACAAGATTGATTTGAGCTTACCATCAAAATCTGGTTGGATAGAGCTTAACGACATTGTGGCAATGATTGTGATGACGACACAGATCCCAGAATTAATTACTGTAATAAGTTGTGATGAGTTGATTAAAGGAATCAGGGGAGTGTGATCCGGTTTATTTTTCAATTTGACGTCGTTGTATTGGTGTGGAAAGCAAATAAAGTTTTCGATTCGTCGTTCCTCTTTTAGAGGGATGTTTGAAAGTTTGATAGGGTTCTTTCTAGTCCAGGGAAAACAAGAGGTAGGTGGGTGATGGATGACGATGACTGGTTGTTGGTAAGGTATTAGGAGGTTGATTGATTTGGAGGAGTGAGTCCGTTTCTTGGAGATTGGGATGAGATGGTTTTGATGATTCTTGTTGGTTCCTCTAGCTCTCCCGCTTCTAGAGCAACTTGTACACGAGTACTGCACTATATCGTACTGTAATTGAATCAAGAGGAAACCACCTGGATGAGCAAGGTAAAAGAGAACAGACCGATCGATTTTGGTCCGTGTCAGGATAAACGGTGAATTCCTTAGCGACCGAGGCCCAAGCAAGCACTCACTACCTCTGTGGTGTGTAAATTTGTGTTTGAGACGTGTAAAATCGATTGGATGCCAATATCAATACTAATGACAATATTGATCTGATATTCCTGTTCCCCCCTTAAGCTTAAGAAAGGCGTCGTGTCGTCCTCTCTTCTTTTCCTTGGTCCTTTCACTTTAAGTCTCAGGATTAATTGCTCGCAATCAAACAAATTAAAATCCTTTGGGGAACCTCAAAGATGGTAAGGAAGGGATAGGAGGGGGAGGGAAAGAAATGTGGATAGAGATGGGACAGGATGTGAGATGCGAAAATGCTTGATGTACAATCGTAATCTTATATCCCCGTTCGTCTCCCTTGATACCCTCCGCTGAAATTGAATTCACAGCCGAATTTGATTCGAGGAATTTGTATCAAGTGTGGATTCGATTTCGACTGCTGGACGATCTTCAAATTTAGTAATTGTGGTTCTCTACCAAATTCCTTGTCAAATCTGCAAAGTATAAGTAGGGAACCGAGGGTTGAGAAATTGTTCAGGAGTCGATAATAATGTGGATTGGTAAGTTGTGGGGGTTTGAATCGAAAAGCAAATGAAGGGCGAAATGAAGTTTGAAGTTCCAGATGTTTGATTAATCAATGGCAGGATGAATGGGGTGAGAATGAGGGTGTAGCTTGTATGGAGGTATAGATGTATGAATTTGACCGTTTCCTCTTTCGTTGGAATGAAGGAGATAAAGAGGTCGAGGGAGCGAGGGATAGAGGGCGAGAAGGAGAGAAGGAGAGGACGACGAGGAGGGGGAGAAGTGGAAGTTTTAATGCGGAATCCACGGTGTATAAAAAGCGGGGAGTAGCTGTTCGTCCGTCCTCTCGTATCTCTTCTCTTTTTCCAATAATGATGATTATGTAGGTAGGTAGGTACAGTATGATAATCTGATTGTAGGTGTGATGTGACTGACGTGATTGCGTATATTGCAATCGTCCCTTGGAAAGATAATCTATTCCCTTTTTAATGATTTCGATCAACAGAATCTACCCAGGTAGGTATGTATTCCAAATTATCCAAACGGGTAGCAGAGTAGGTCGGTAGGCAAAGTTCTTTTTGGTACGATGACGATGTCTTTGGATATGACAATGCAACTTTCTTATTTGGTAATCGGGTATGAAAACGATAGTTAGGCGAAGAACGATTGATATTATTATGTAGTATTTCCTACTGTGGATGTGTATTGTGCCGTGTCGTTGTAAATGAGGTTATTGAAAGAAGCTGTGTAGAAACTGTACGGAGTATGTTGTAATGAAAGAGAAGATTGAAGATTAATGAAGTCTCTGTAGGTAGGTAGGTAGGTAGGTAGGTAGATAGATAGGTAGGTAGATGAGTAGGTAGATAAGTAGCTAGTATAGAGGGGCAGAGGTAAAGAGGAGAACCTTTCTTCCTTCTTTGGTAAATTATGAATGGATCAAAACATCAGATGAGCAGCTGATGAAGGTATCTCTTGACCTTTTGAATCACACTTCCACCAGTTCCTTCTATATTTGGTAATTGTCTAGTATCTACTATGTAATATGTAATATGTAATATGTAATATCTATCTAATATCTGATAGATATTGCAAAGTATGGATTGTATAATGGATACCAAACACCTCATACCTCCCTCCCTACCTCCCTACCTCCCTACCTCCCTACATCCTACACTCCTTTGGATTTGATATCTCTTCAATCTTCTTTCCTTATTACCATTCACTCATTACCCATTCCCTATTCCCTATTCCCTATTCCCTATGTATGTAGCACTTTTCTTTTTGCATCAATATCCAATGCCAATATAAAAATTTCTAGAAGGGGTTTGGACCCGGACAAGGAAGCTACTTGGAAAGTTCGGGGAAACCTTGCTAATATTTTGATACCATCATCCGAACGAAATATGAAAATCTTACCAAAATAATGCAAAGCCTCAACTCCTAGAAGCAGATACGACTCTGTACAAATCCGAATGCAACCTCAAAAGGAGCTGCCACCATAAAATACATGGTACACTCGAAAAATCTATTACTCTATTGACTACCTAGTACTCTTGAGCTATCGTAGGTACCTTTCTATAGATCCCACCGAGGAATCCCAATATTGATTTTGTCAGAGGAAGGATTGATCATATCTTTTGGGCTGAATAGCTCGAAAATAGTCCCGCCTAGCGAAGAAGCATAAGAGTCTATTAAAAGCACTACCCATAGTCAGTAATAGTAGTAGTATTTGGCAAAAGCCACTGACTTCTGAGCCACCCCAACCGAGAGTCTGTGGAGGAACACTTGCCTGGATGAGTATAGTTTGGCGTCATTAAACTTGACCGTCTCCAAAGTAACCGGCTGATGGTATCCAGTAGCAAGTCAAGATCGTACCTACCTCAGACACTACTACGTATTGCTATCAGACCTTATCCCGATTGTTCGAAAGAGCTTCCTCAAGATGGGGAAGGGAGGAGAGGGTTTGGCAGTTGGCGTATCTCAAGACTCGTGAAAGATCATAGAGGAGTAGCGGTCCTAGTGTATCTATCATCAGTGTCAATCGATGATGCCAAGAATTGGACATATCTGAAGATTCTAGATTCTTGTGGGTTGAAGATTCAACACAGAATAAATGGATCGATTCCTATTCAAGTTCCCACCCATCAACATTTCTATTGCCGAAATTTGGTTGTAATGGCTAGACTGAACAGTGAACACACACATATTTGACAGCAATGCCCAATGCCCAATGCCGAGAACTGGAGATTCTGAACATCCAAGTGGATCTCCTAGCCAGCATCGCCAGGGAGGAAAGATCTCAAGAGGGGTTGGGAATAGGGGACCTATGATAGCTCCAGGTACAAGAGTCAAGTCTCCACTCTACTTGGTTAGTTTGATGTTCCTGATGTTCCTCATTTTAAGCTTCAAAGCACCAACCAAATTTCATGAAAAAAGGTCTAATTCTATAAGACCGACGAGACAGATAGAGTATGAAGCATGACAGCTTCATGCAACGAGAATCCATTAAAAAATCTAGAAAAGTCCTCGAAAACCTAGATTCATGCAAAAGTTCTTCTCGGGCATTGACAGATTAATTGTAATCCATTATTCAGAAAATACTGACCTGGTGGTTGTTTTCTTGGGATGAATTAGACAAGTACATACTCTCCTACCTAACCTTACCGACTAATCGATTATTGTAAGGCCAAAATCCTGCCTAGTTCTTATCAAGCTTTCATCAAAGCTTTATCAGTCAATTAGATCTACAGCCTTGTACATCACAATCAAACAAATTCATTCCCTTCCATCCATCATACTATCATCCCCACGCATCGAATCGTAAGCTTGAACTCAATCTCCGCTATCCAATTTCTCTATCGATTCAAACTTTACCGACGTCATTACACCTTCATCTTCCATTCCGCCTGTTCCACTGCCAAAGGTTCCGCGAAACATCCGCATATTTCGCGATTTCCCCGGGCACCATCAATTACCATCCCTTGCTTCACAGGTACATCTCGCGCAACTCATAATACGCAACCCGAAAACAAAATGACGACGATCAATTCCCCTCCGGAAGACGTTAAGATGGAGGATGGTACCAGGCTAGCCCCTTCTGTATCTGGGGAGAATGAGGAACCAAAATTTGGAGGGTTTACAAGGTTTGAAATCGAACTTGAGGTATGTTGGAGAATTTAAATGTTTTCTTGAGTTCAAGAGAGAGGACTCGTGGGACAAAGGGATTTTCTGGAATTGGTAGAGCTGCAAATGTCCGCATATGAGGGCTCGAACATCCATTCCCTTTGAATTCGAATTTCACCTCTACGTTTCCTAATTGTTCTCCTTCGAATCTCCATCCAACCATTGCCCACCTGCTAACTCACTTTAGTTCATAAATGCCATCTCATCGCCCTACTACCTAATGCACCTAGCCTCCCTCTCCTCTGGCACTCTCCTCAGCTCCCCACCATTCATCGCCTACCTCAAATACTTACAATACTTTACCCAACCCCCATATCTCAAGTTCCTCTCCTATCCTGGACCTAGTCTGAGACACCTAGAATTATTACAAAATGAGAATTTCAGAAGGGATTGTTTGAGTATAGATGTCATAAGTATGCTCGCCAGTGAGGATATGGCAGCAGTAGAGAGGTGGCAGAGGGAATGATGCAGTGGAGGGAACGGAGAAATCACTAAGTCATCAATCTTCCATATGTAAACCCATCAGGCTTGATTGCGAGAGCATCTGTTTTCAAACGGCTTTGCGTTCGCTCGCTTTGTATCAACAGATCCATTATAGGACAGATGCAGATCTGACTCGCGCTCCTCCGCGTCTTAAAGGCCACCAATACCGCTAGAGGAAGGTTTACCAGTAGTGAGTTGAAGTGTTGGGACATCAGGCTTACCCGAAGTCATTGTCGATGAGGGAAAAGTGTTTTGCGATATACCAGGAGTTCTAGGCTTGAGATACGAAGTATTTGAATACATCGAAGTTGTTACGTTGGAGAATGAGTATGACTGAGAAGTAAAGGCTTCTTCTTTAATGCTTCTTAGTTAAAAAGTGTCTATAAATATATAATCTACACCCATATGCAAGCTACTGATCTCACGAGGTATATTAACCATTACGCCGTATTGCAAAATCCCAGCCCAGATGTCCTGCGCCATATGTGCTCAAAACTTTGCTAAGTTTCTTAGCATAACCTGCGCGACAAATCCCTTCGTGAACTAACATCTAACATGTTTTTCATGTCGACATCCCCAAACTTCGTAGCAAAGATAATTCTGCAAACCTGCCCCCATTGATCTAGTTCTCTCTCCATTGGTTTGCACATGTCATACACTACAACCAAATTGTTAGCCTCATCCCTCTTTCATCATAATCATTCACGGCCGCCTTCCTTTTTCCTCCTCGTCTTCTCCCCAATCCCTCTCGTTACCAAAAATTGCTACCACTATCCCTGCTTGCAAACTCCAACCAAGCCAAGTAACGAACAAAACAAAAAAAACTTACCCTGTAAAATCCTGTCATCGGTTCATCCGCACTGCGAATCTGCACAAACCTCGCGGCAGCCACCATACCATTACACTCACTATTGGCGCATTGCTTAGGATAAGTATCGGCATTGGCCCAGGCATCTTTGCCTCCAAACACATCTTCTTTTTCTTCGCGCACAAAGGTTTTGCGATCGAAGATGGAGCGGGTGAGGATGTATTGGTAGGGACAGGTGAGACATTCGAGACGGTTTGCGCCGGTGAGATCTTGTGTCGAGGTGGGCGTGGGAGTCGAGGAATGAGGAGTTACGGAGACGGTGAGGATGTTGCTGCAGGAGGGGCAGACTGGTGAGTGAGAAACGTCAGTTGGGGAGAGAGAGGGAGAGGGAGGAGAAAGGAGGGGCGTACAGAGAAGCATTTTGATGGTTTGGGATTGATATCGGATTTTCGAAGTGCTGGGTAGGTATTCCTTTCTTTCTTTTTTCTCGCAATTTGTTTCCTGCGAAATTTTCTAATCTCTCACAGATCACATTTATCAGCTCTTACGAAATTCCTGAATCCTATGGTTTCTTCAACGTCGCGCGCAATTTCACAAGTCAAATAATCTCAAGCTCTTTCTTTATCAATTTTATCAACCTCATCATAGGAACTTTTTTCCCGCTCATTCGCTTACATAATTTCAACCCACCATTACACCGCACAATCTCATCACACTCCCCAATCACAATGCTCCCAGCGAAAGCGTCCTCGGACCCAAACCTAAAAACTCCACCGATCGGTCCTACCCTCACACGGCTGAGCACCATGGGGCAGGCTCGAAGAACAGGGATGCTAGGCTCTGGGCTGAAAAATGTTGGCCTGTTGTTACAGAGTCGGTGCGTTTCGTTTGGAGGAGTGGATGGATTGATTGATGGGTGTTTGGAGAAGCGCTGGACTTTCTACTTCCTATACCTACTTTACATATAATATTTACCATACCGAACGTGCATACACACGGAGCATTGGCAAGATCGGATCAGTTACTGTTTTTTCTCTCTCGTCTTATTATTTTTATCGTTTGAAGAGGAGACGTATCGGTCTTTCGTCTGAATTGTTTGGGAAGGAAGGATTTGCTTTTACGAAGTTACGAGGATACGGAATTTGAGGAAGAAGAGGATTTGGTCTTCGATTGTTTGAGTTGGTTTACGCAGTGGTGTACGCTGCTTTGTTGGTGACTTCGTTTGAACTTTTTGAGGTCTTCGGATTGTGAGGCTTGGAATTGTGGTACTTTGGACGAAAGGAGAAGAGAAGGGAAAGATCAGATAAAATGACGGATCCGAGAGATGTTGACTACGAAGAGGAGGAAACGCCCATTGATGAGCAACTCATATCTGCCATAAAGTACAATTCGGTTGGAACCTTCAACACAGTCTTAGAACGCTTCGATAGCCCGGAAGCTGCTGTTGAATACCTGAATACACACGCCTTGGCATACAGATACCAGGGTCGAGATGTAAAAAAGGAAGCTGGAAATGTTGCTGCTCATGTTGCTGCCTCTCTTGGACAAGGTAAGATACTTCTTGCATCTATCTTCAGATCTTAAATTTAAGTTTCCGAGATTGAAAGGAAAATGCAATGTTGTTAACATAAAACTTTCCACATAGATAAAATAATCGATGAGCTTCTCGGTCAAGATGGATTTGAATGTGATCCCCGCAATAGCATCGGTGATACACCTCTCCACTGCGCCGTTAGATGGATCAACAAAGAAGGTCGGGTCGATAAAATGGGACGAAGTGTTTGGGACGACGGTCTTGAAATGATCAAGATGATGCTCCGCGACGGTAGCGACCCGCGAATTCGCAACAAAGATGGCCATAGAGCCGAAGATTTAGTCAACCCTGAAAACACCCAACTGAAAAAACTTTTTGCAGACTTCGAATATGAGCCACCTTCAGATGAAGAGGAAGAGGAAGAGCCTGCTTCTAAGAAGAACGGATATGATTATGCTGATTTGGTTGATGGTGATGCCGGGAATGATGATGATGTTGGGAGTGTATACAGTGGGAGTGATAGTGAAGAGGAACAAGAGTGGCAAAGACGCCGTGCTGAGAAGTCTGGCAAATAAGTCTGGCCTTGCGTTCCTCAATCATCTTCTCTTCTTCTTGCATTTTGGGGTTGGAATTGGACGATTGCTATACTGGGACTGTAGATACATACAATTGTATGGATATGTCGACTGTACATGATGGAATTTCAGCAATGGAAGATGAGACGATCACTTACATTAGCTTGGATTTTCGAAGAGTGGACTGGTTTTAGATGCATGTCATCTTTATGTTGTATTGTATACACTCAATTATCTATACAGATAGAAATGAAAACCCTTGTTAGATTAGCCCTGTTGTCCCGCCTTTGCTATGTTTACTCGCTTCACGTCGCTTGGCTTTGCTCAAGTTGAATTATCGGCCAAGTGGTATTGCAAACGATTTGAAAAAACATATTAAATCTTACTTTAAGCGACCTGCATCATGAGACTAGACAAAATAATTCATAAAAGGTTACTCATTGATTACAACTGAAGTATATGGTTACACAAGTTCTCATGCGAAATCTTAAATTAACACTAAATGTTCCCTTTTCCATCCCTCTAGATCTGCCCAATTATGTGCATCACGAAACTTTGTTACATTTACATGCTTGGAGTATAACCTAACATAACCAACACGACGATAAGTGGTTGTGTTAACCGCAGCTCTAGTCTCCGTCTCATTCTTCTCGTCTTGTGCTTCATGTTTGACTTTATCCTTATTTCCAGCTTGAGCCTCAACATTCAAGTTTTGATCACCGTCCGCTTCATTTGCAACCCCATCTCTAGCTTGTGATGCGTCCTCGATTTTCTCGTTGTCATCTTCGTTACCGCTTTTCGACATAATATCCTGGTTTGTTGCATACTCTTTCAATATTAGACCATGTGCTTGCCGTGTCTGCGTTGCCACAAACATAATCTTATACCTCGTATTATTAGCCTTGTGTATATTTTGCTTATCCATATTCGCGCTCGCTCGAGGCAAACTCGTCCTCTCGTGTTGCGGACTAAACAAAAACATTGCTGAACTCCCCACCCTGCACACAAATAATGCGTTGGTTCGTCGTCCTTTCCCAGTTACTCGTGTATCCCAGTGTATATATCCGCAACACCTACTATTATCATGCATCACCAATCGATCCATGCCCCTTGCTACCATCAAACTACCTTGGATTTCCAACGATGCATCTTTGATCTCACCATAGGGATTCTGCCCCGCAAGCACGACACGGTGGGACAAGAGTTCAGGATCAATAGACGTGGATTGGAAAGGATTGCTTGCGAACGTCGATGGATGGAACACTACTTTCCCGTTCGTCGTAGCCCACGACCAAGTAGGTGCCCTCTCAACAGAAGGAACAGCATCATCCCCATAATACCACACCAATCCTTCCCGAAAATGACTCGTCCAAATCCCTGCTATGTATTTCGAGTTCGGATACCCATTGCTTTGCAGAATATCACGAACCAGCGTAACGATACCCGAAAAGGCGGGGAATTTATCTCGCAAAAACGAGAGATGTCGTGAACAGTAGTCTACGACCATCTGTTTGTGATATTCTACGATTATGTTGGCGCTGGTACGCTTTTGTATTGCCGAGGGCGTCTGATCTTTATCGACGAAAACGTAGGGACTTCTTATTGTGTCAGATTTCTTGAGTCCTTGCGGTTCATGTATCTGATCTCTGATCTTTTCGTAACGGAATGCGCGTTTATAAAAAGGGGCTCGTGATCGCAGACCATCTGCTGATGCGAGGTGGTGGAGACATTGCCAGTAAATTTGCATTCGCCCATAATACAAGGTCCTCGCGGACAAAACCTCCTCTTGGAAAGTCCACCCTCTGTCTGCGAGCGGTCCGTCCTGTAGCAGATGATCGAGCTGTTCGCGATGATTGTCTCGGAGCACAAGATCGATGTGGTCGTCTGGTGGACTATCTTTGGATAGTTTTAAACTGATGCTGAGACCTGTAAGATCGTAGTCCAGAAATACTTTCAGGATGCCGTCGGTGGAATTCGACGAGGCCGCAGCTGCGATGGTTAAAGTCGCATCGCGATATACATCCCCCATGTGTTTAGATTCGACTTCCCAGTCCTCGCTTGAGTCCTGTATGATACACAAACAGTCGATCCATAGGAACTGAAATCCCAGTCCTCGAGTAATGAGGATCGCATCTCGGAAGTTCGGCGGTAAGCCCATCAGCGCAATCTTTTTACCAAAATATTTCGCAGTCGTTTTGTTGAGTTTGGAGAGATCACTGATTTTACCACCCCAACAATGGCTTAGTGCAATATATTTGCCCATCATACCATGTGTCGATAGAAGATATGGTTCTTGGGCGTCGGAACCAACATGAATTACCCTCGTAGGTAACGGTCTATCTCCTATCATCGGACACTCATAATGTGTCGAACCGCACGTATTTATCCAACTTTGAGCAATCTCGAAATTCGTTTTCGATCCCAGATTAGGATCAAGAGCATGATGCCCAATTTCTATCCCTTCGACTGATTTTATTTGCCCTATATCAAATAACACAATGATCCATCAGTATTCTCTCTTGATATTCAAACAGCGAAGTAAGTACCTTACCTCTCCGCTTCTGCAACGACAACGTCAATACCACCTTTTCACTCCTCTCTCTTAAATAAAATACCAACTTATCATAAGCACTATCCTTCTCCACCCCCTCATCAGCACCCCTCTTTACCTCCGCCTGAATCTCCACATCCAATCCCCTTCCTCCCTCTCCCTCTATCTCCAGCATCTCAGCCTTATACGTCTTCACAATCCCTCCATCCAACACAAAAACCCCATCTAACGCTCTCTCCAAAACCTTACAAAGCTCGCAGCCGGCTTCGGCGGCGGACACAATCTCATCATATCTAGAGTGATGGTGGAAGCGACGGGGAACATAGGATTCTGCTTCTTGTCGATGTTGGAGGGCTTCCCAGTTGGCTTTCGCCAGGAGAATAAGATCGGTCACATTAATACTATCACATAGAGCACACAGCATACCGTTCTCTCTCTCTCTCTCTCTTTTTCTCTCTCTATATTCCCTCTCTCACCAGACCCAATAACCCTAATCAGCTTCTCAAAGCAAAGCCCAAAGCAAAGCACAAACCAACAATCAAACCAAAACAAACCAAAACATAAATCAGATAACAATCACAAAAAGCAATCTCCAAAATCCAAACACTCCATACATTCAAGGAACAAGTATCCTAATTATTCTCCACCATCATCTCCTCTTCCCTCCCTTCCCGGTCCGTACCGTAACCCTACCGTGGCAAAAAACCCACACACACACACACACATCCTTACATACCCATGTTGCATGCATATATCCATGAGATGACATGACATGGGCGTCTACGGTATTTTATCTGGATTCCGCATATCGTATTACGATCAAGATCAATATCTATATCTGTATCGTGCGAGTATGTATGTATGTATGTATGGATGTATGTATGTATGTATGTATGTATGTATGTGCGGCACAGTAGTATAGTATAGCATGGTAATCTATTGTATGCATGCATGCAGTTAATCCTCCTCCCCCTCTCTCTCCAATCCGTAGATAGGGGGAATAGTATTCTTATTCCTATTCCTCTTTTCAAGTTCCATAGATCTTCACATCCTCATTCGATATTCTGATATTACTTAGTTTGCCATTTTCGATACCGTTCTCTCTTCCATCTTTCATTATACTATTATACTATGCAATCCCATCCCATCTTTTACGCCCGAACAAGCCCAAACCCAATAACCTGAAAACTCTCTTAATAGATCCCCTGAATTCTACAATTACTTATCTACCTACCTACCTACAAACCATTTCCTCATAACTTACCATTCATTATACCCAACCGCACACACACACACACACACACACACATACACACATATATGTTAATTTCTCCCCTCTATCCCTCACTACTCAATACTCACTCACCCACTCACCCATCCACCCCTCAGCCTCAGCGCTTAACCCCAAACCCAAACCCAAACCCACCCAACCACCCCTCTCCTCTCCTCAGAGCCCTCTCCTCAGAGCCCTCTCCTCAGAGCCCTCTCCTCAGAGCCCTCTCCTCAGAGCCCTCTCCTCAGAGTCCTCACACATCAAGTCTTCACACCTCACACCACACATCAAACCCCCAAACCCACACCAACAAGTGGATCCCGACACCCGACACCCGACACCCAACCCAACACCCAGCTCTCCTCATTCGTCCACTCATTTTCCATCCCGTACTCTGTGCTGCATCTCAAACACATACTACTTACTCTGTATACCAATCAAATCCTCCACTCCTCTAACCGCAGAAACGCGGGCCCCTGCCGATAACCGCTTTTTCGTTTTTCGTTTCCCTCGTGCATGTAAGTATAACCGCATCGAATCGAAATGAATATATTGGGTACGAATTAGATGATTGGATGATGGAATGAGTGGGTTATTTCTCACGTTGCATTCATTCATTCATTCCTTATTATTACAACATCTACTTTCTACCCTTTTTAGGTGGTCAAATTCGAGGGATTAGCACATCAGGATTGTAAAGGCATGGGAATATGTAATATAATAGGTATCTAATAGGTAAAGGTATCATAAGAAAACTCAGGTACGTCATTCATCTCATCTTATACCATCCACCCACCCACCAGACGAAAGCAAATAAACAGCCAGTAGACAATAATAAGGGTATCTCAACGCCACAAAACATGCATCTCCATCCCTCATCCCCATCCTCCGGTCCAATCATTCAATCCAATCTAACCCAATCTATCCGCTCCCCTTCCACCATCAAATTATCAACACAACCAAATCCCCCAAACCAGCACTCCCACCAACGCCCCCCAGCTCCCCAATTTCGCTTTCTCCGACAATCCCTCTCCCGCCGTACTCTTCACTGCCATTTCATTAATATACGTCTCATTCATCGCGGCCTCAATAATATCCTTTGTGACTTTCCCCGCACTAGCTATTTTCCTCATCTGATCCCCTAGCACCTTCAAAATATTCGTACTCCTTCCTATTGGACAAAACACAATTTCCCATCCACCTCCCGTAGGAATAACGAACGTGGATGTTTGATCATCAAATGGATAGCCATATGCATCTGGACAGATAGTATTTGCAGCATTTGCAAAATCATTGCGAGGACATAATTGAGGTTGATCATAAGCACCTGTGCAGCAATCTGACGCCTTATTATCTTTAGCACAGGCGGAAAGACAGGGATCGAATGTCGGACGTTGGATTTTGTCGTCCGGGTAAGGGTAGACGCCATCGCCTGGTTTGTCGGGTGGAGTCTTTTGAAGATTCCATGGGCACCAACTCATAGCTGCGTCGTTGGTAACTGTACTCTCCAATGGAATGGGATAAGTGGAATTTGAGGAGTTGCCATTGGTACCTGTGGTAGCTGGGGGCGCGAGATAACCGCTTGAGGCGATACAAGCGGCATTTACAAGATTCGGTGGGATGGCCTGGAGTGCGGCATTTTCACCAGGAATATATATAATTCCCATAGGAACATTGTAGCCATCCACTAGAGAAATGTCGTAGAAAGTCTGAGAACCTCCATTTCCCGCCAAATCAAACTCCGCTAGAGTAACAGGAGTTTCTCCCTATAACAGTGAGTAACTATCCAGATGTGATCATAATGGGAAGACTTACAGTAATAGAACAATCCAACAAACCACCACAATCACCGGTAACACAAGCAGAACCAGAACCATCATTTCCGGCAGCATTACTAGCTCCATTACCTCCAACCGCAAAACTACAATTGGTGCGCCCCCAAACTCTTCCTTGCCAGTCAGCACTGACTGTCAAGGACTTGCTCTCCCCAGTTTGTAGAGCAAATCCTCCTACTCCAGCACCAGTTCCTGCTTGAGTACCAATTCCAGGCCATATCGTTTCAGGACACATGTTGCTTATTATTAGTGGGATTGCTCCATCTCTCTTCTTAGGCGGACCTTTGCGAACAGGTCGATTGGGGTCCCAATTTGGTTTCCAGGTAGCTCTGTTGCGATAGTATGTATGCGCATCTGCAATAGGAAGCACAGCAAGACATATACTAGCAGCTAGGAGTTTTCTAGACATCGAGGAAGATCTTCGCGATCGATGCGATTTGGTAGAACTCATCATGTCCTGTGCTTTTTCGCACTTCATCATGAATTCGTCCTCAAAATATGTTTTCATTCAGTTCGTAAAGACGTAACTCGCATTTACATCCGTAAAAAGTTCGTAGAGAAAGAATGCAAAGTATGAAAGCGAACAAAAACAAGCCAGAGAAAGATAAAGGTATAATAGAATCAACGATCCTGGATCGCCACGGATTATTCCTTGATATCGTGGATAAGATGAAGCAAGATTTCTTCGACTTGGTTGAATTGGCCTGGTTGGTCTCGTCTGATATTGTTATTCTCCTCCGATCTGATGTGAATGGATATGGTTGGTCAGAAACTTCCCAAACAAATCGTTTCAACACCAATCACTTAATCCCTTCTAAACCAAGACCAAACTTCTCAGGTCCAGTTTTCCAAATCAGAGTTCAAAGTTGCAATTATGGAGAAAAGCCGACGACCAGTCAAGTAGATGAAACCCAGACGAGATCTTCCAGGTAAACAGGCAGTGGAGCAGGAACCCTTCAATAATACTCAGAAAAGCCGTTCGTTCTATCAATCAATCATCCAAATCCCTCTTCAGCCCTCCAAGAACTACCCCTCCACCAAATCACCAAGTATGTATCCTAGGTATCGTATACCCAAGTATCCTATCCTATCGCACCTTCAAAAACAAGAAAATGACGTATCCGAGTACCTTGGCTGCGAATACTCGTTTGTGAAATCGAAAGGGTGGGATGAAAGTACCAATTGCAAGACCGCTATTAAATTCCTCGTCCTCAAACGACCAGGATACAAATCTTGATTTCGACCCCTCTTATCCTTATTCCTATCCCTCCGTACGGTCCCGCCACACCACAGTCCAATCCTCAAATTCTCAACGCTTTATGGACAAAGTTTAATTATCTTGACAGCGGGAGCTTGTAGGGGTTTGGAATGGAAGTCTGTGAGCCAGCCAGTGCATATACTGCTAGGTATGGAATGATATACTAAGCACCTGCAGATCCCAAGAAAGGCTACAAGGAAAAAGAATGGATGTAGGTAAGCGCCCAAGCAGAGGCTATTTAATCAAAAATAAATACACAATTAGGTAGGTGTAGAGGAGAACAGCGTGGCTAAGAAAGAATGTATGTATGCATAAGAACGTGTATTCAAAAGAGTGTAAAGAATTGAGAAAAATCAAAGAATAACGAATAGTTGGTGAGTATGTACATGGTGTAAAAGGTTCGGTGCAACCTATCCAGGTACATATTGTTGATACTTTGATACCGACTTATTAGTGTAGTAAAATGTCAGGTACGATGGCATTAGTGCCTTCCGTTTTAGATGGTCTAATTGGATGGTTTCCAGAGAACGGGAATTATAATAGTCATTACTAGGAAGGGAAGGAAACCACTCACGGGTGCTGCCGATACCGAGACACAAGCGTCACAAGGGAGGGACGACTAGTCATAAGGCTTAGATACTGCGAGGCGTATGAGGATATATAGTTCCACTGTGGATTTGATTTGACAGAGACCCAAATTCTGAAATCATTAAACAGACATCGCATCACCCAATCGCATTTGCAACTCTAAATCTAAATCTTTCAATAGTCGTGTATTTTTCACCAACTACAGACCAAAATGAGCAAATAGGTATCGTATCAACTCTCTAAACTATGGATCCATTCGTCCTTATCATTAAGATGCAAAAAATCATCCATTCTCTCATCAATGTGCTAGAAAAAATAACCCCTTCTGATCCAAACGACTTATTTTTCATCCATCCATCATGGAAATCACACCGACCAGTTTTAGATCTGATCACTCCTCATCAATCGACCCAGGCAGGCGCTTCTTCTTTGCTCAATAATCTCCCCAGTTCGTCATGAAAATCATTGCAGAAACGCTTTCCGCTATCAAATCTTAAATTGCTTCCTTACACTCCAGCGCCGTGCATCGCAAATTGTGATGCTACTGTAAGTAACCTAATATCGAACAACGCTAAGTAGTAAAAAAAAAAGAAATTCGTCGAATCCAATCCTTATTATTTTTTATGGTTGAGGGAGAGGAAAGATTATCTGAATCTAGAAGTGCAACGACCCATGACTTCTCCTTGGCAAACAAGTTCTGCATTGAATTCGGATCCGTCGAGGGTGAGGTAGATGTCAAAGTACACTCGGTAGAATGTGCCTTGTGGGGTATCCATTCTCTCGAAATCCTTTTCAAGGTTCTTGCGGGAGAGATCCGAAGTAAGAGTAACAACTTCCTTAACACCTATTGATACGTTAGTAAATACTAGGATATACATGGTTACAAAGAAACTTACGTGGATCTTTTGTGTATTCCGGGCAAACATCATCATCACAAGCATACAAGATATCCTCATACATCAGAGTTGCTCCCGGTGCAACCTGTCTGAAGAATGATACCTTGACTGGCTCACCAATCTTGACTCTTTGTCCCTTTTGTACGAAAATTTGACGAGTAAACTTGCATCGATCCTTACCATCCAAGGATGGAACACGGTAAGCTTCTGGATGATGTCCTTCCTTGAAAGGTTGCAGAGTTGCCATGAGGTAATGACGACGAGCTACACGGGATGTAATAACTCTTTCTGTGATACCAGCAGTAACGGCACCCTTAACAATAGCAGCTACTGAATCCATAGGACGAACTACCTTGGCTTGGAACTGAGGTGGTACATGAAGTTTGATCTGTTGAAAAAGATATTCAGATGCACCGAAACCACCAACAACCAAGACATTTTGAAGTGTCCGGTTTTGTGCTTGAATAGCGATGATTTGGTTGCGGACCAATTCCAGAATTCGGTTGACAACTGGCTCAAAACATTGTAGAATTTCTTCGTTGGTGAAAGTCATGTATCCCTCTTCAATTCCTGCCTCGGGGAACTCTGCTTCAATTCCCACGTCTACTGCCCATTTCTGATTGTTATTTCTGAAATCTGCCTTTATCCTGTTCTCAAAGTCCATAATACACTTTGCATACACTCTTCCTGCTGTCTTTGAACCTTCGGGTAACTTCATCTTTCGGATCTTGGTTCGTAAGATATTACTAAAGTTTCGATTCAGTGCAGTAGACCCGCAAGAATCACCAGATCCTGCCGTACACTCGGAGACCGTGAATGGTGACTCTTCCTCAACCTCATATGCAATCAAATCGACGGTTCCACCACCACAATCAACAATGAGTACAGCATCATGCATCTTGAGGTTCAAGAGACCAGCCTTTGAGCAAAACAAAGCAGCAGCTTCGGGTTCAGTAATCAGTGTCAATCGATTATCATTCTCATCCCTCAAGAATCCAGCCTGAATGGCAGCAGCTCGGGTTGCAGCTTTTCCAGCATCATTCCAGATAGCGGGGACTGTAAGGTAGTATCGGATATTTCTTTCTTCTCGATTGAAAACCTCTCCTAAAGTTTTTTGTAATTGATTTCTCATTGCCTGTCGAAGCTTGAAGAGGTAATCTGCTGCGACGTCGATCTCGGATTTTCCTGGTGGAAGGGGAGGAAGGTTAATGGGATCGATATATGTGTTTCCGGATAGCATCAATTGAAGCTTGAACCATTCTACCTTTTGAACACCTGGCTTTGGGTAACCAGTTGGTGCCAAAGCATCTGCAATATCAGGACCCCATCCAACGACTTTCTGGTATTGATCATAGTAAAGGACGGTGGGAATCTAAAGATATTAGCATATTTATGAACCTTCAACAGTCAATTTACATATATTACCTTTTGCTTTGTGTATGATCCCGCTCCAGGCCACTCGGTGATAATGTCTTCTTTTGCCTCGGTGTTGGTCGCGAAAGCGAAGGCTACACCTGAGAAAGTCGTACCCTAATAGTCGTGAATTAGTTATGCGAATTCCGGGAGAGATCATGATATGCTTACAAAATCTATTCCGACGATGAGCTGTGCCTTGCTCTTACCAGCGCCTTCAACCTCTACCGCATTATTCCTTGCACCATATTGAGGGCCGGCAGCTTGCATCGGTGCTCCTCCAGCACCATACTGAGGAGGGTGATTGTATTGAGGTGGCCCAGCTGGAGGAGGAGGTCCTCCCATACCTCCTTGTTGAGGAGGGTAGCCGCCGGTAGCAGCTGTGTTAATCGGTGGTGGTCCGCCCATCATCTGTGTAGGAGGGGTTCGTGGAGTACCTTGAGCCATGGGAGACGTCGTGCGTCCAACAGGAGTATATTGATTCGAGTAGCTGGGCGGTCTTACGCCAGCACCTCCCTGATGATTCATAGGTAAGCTTGCCGTGGAAGAGGAAGCCGTTTGTGTCGTAGGGGCAGGCTGTCCGGGTAATTGCGCGAGTTGTGGTGACGAGGAAGTGGAAGTGGGGTTCTGCGGGATAGAGGTTGAGATATTGTTTGCACTTGATTTACGTTTGGAACCGAACCCAAGGCTTTTGAAGCGGGCGTTCATAGAACTCATAAGGTCTACGAAGGGTGGTATTTTAAAGAGAACTTCTCAAAGAAGTAAAAGTCGACGAAAGCGAAGGACGGAGGAGGAATGGAATGGTATCGTAATCGGATCTCAAATGCGATGGATATCCAGTCGCCGGTGTCAGCCAACCTATTGACTTGTCGCTAGTTCCCTAGCGACTTGGGGCTGAGTCGATCGAAATTCTTTTTGACCTGGTCGGAAGGATTTCTCGTCCAAAGTGTACGGATGACATGAAATCTGCAGGAACGGGATATTAAAAGAAAACAAAAGTCCTATTGAGCCAAATAGTAATATTGGAGGTAGGTATGAATGATTATTGAGGACTAGTGGGTGAGCGAGTGGAGTTTGTGTGTACGTGATAAATAAAATGGATCTTTTGGTCGGGAGGTCTGTTGATAAGATGGGGATGCGAACAACGAATTGTGTGAAGTGAACGATTGAAAGATTGGATAAAGAGGCAACAGCTAGGGTATCTGGAGAAAGTCCCTAGGGAGGTATAAAGTGTAACTTTGTAAGTTTGTATAGTAGAGAGGTCAAGTAAGGTAAAGAGAGATAGGTAGGTAAGGTTGGGTGGTAGTGGGTGGTATTGGGTGATGGATGGATTGTGGGATGAGAAGATGGAATTGGTGGAATGAGTGGAATGAATCGATGAAAGTGGAAGGTTAATGGAGGGCGATGGGGGAAGCAGGTAGTAAATGGAGAGTGAATGTGTTCTTTCTCGATGGTATGCTGACAGCAGCAATCATTCAACGAATAAGGGTTTTATATGCGGGTTCAGGCTCGCTTTGTTCTTTAATAGTAAGTAAGGATTGCTGGCCGGTTTATTACTATTTGCTTGTCTGGCAATTGTATGTGTCTGGGCTGGGTATGTCTAGGTATGCATGCCGACGGAGTATACAGAAGTCGAGACACGATTGAATGAAAGAGAAAAGCAACAAGAGGAGTAAAAGGGGGCAGCCACATAAACCCGTCAATATATCCGGTCAGTCCGAGATTATATGTCCTTTTTCAAAACAGAAGGATTCGATTGAAATAATCAATTACTTCAAGAAGCATTTACAAAATAGACGGATTAGTATATAAATATAAATATAAATATATATATATTGTGGTTGCAGCGGGAATCGGATTCCCTTTTTCCACCTTTTCTGAAGTAGGAATAGAGATTTGTAACGAACGAGGAGGGGTCTCTTCTTTTTTCTTGGTTGCACAGCACAACAACGCCAGTAATGATGCATATGAACCTACCTACCTAGTATCTACACCTACACCGGTGGCTGTATGGAGGAAATGAAACAATACTCAGCCTCATCAGCATATCAGCATATCAGCATATCAGCATATCAGCATATCAGCATATATCTAATAACGATCTAACGTACCGAGCGTACCTACTACCTATCAAAGGAATTCAAACCGGAATTCTCCCCAGCTACCCGTCCGTACCTACCTAGTACCTCCAGCTACTTATGTAACATTACTTAAGCACATCGAGGCACAGCCTGGAGAGTCCTGCTATGGAGAGAAAGAAATATACTTTACGTTGGGCAATGCAAAGTTGGGCTTTTTCCTTTTCTACCTAGGTATTCTTCGGAATGATCTGCCTTGAGAAGATTGATTCCAAGACTTTATTCAATTCCTTCACACCGTCAAAATGTCAAAAAATACAAAGGGAAAGTTTTTTGGGGGGATTCCTTGGAGGTACAAGTACGTAGGTCTGTAGGACTGTAGGACTGTAGAGCTGTAGGTCTTTCCCACCCTTCAATCTTCTCACCGATTTGTTTTTGAAATCTCAGTCCCAATCTTGGCCTTGCAATTTTGGATACATTATAACCAATTTACGAGACCATCTAGAACCCAAGGTGTTGGTTTTCCGCCCCCAACTTCATATACTCTCCCCCTGACACTTCATATGATTGGTGCACTAGGAGATATCAAATATCAAACCTTGAATGATTACACACAAGAAAGCTCTGAAGCAGCAAAGGAGGATTTGTTTGTATTCGCCGATGCAAAACCTGGATATAAAATCTTTGACTCTAATGCGTTGTAAATCTTACATATATATCAAATCTTTCATTGGCAATCATACGAACTCTCAGCGCGTGCATGAACAACAAAGAATCGACGGCGAGCATAAGAAGTGGAAATCATCAACACGTGGGATAAGCACTAAATAGAAGTACACAGGAGCTGGCAAGAGGATAATATCAGATGAAGTTAATCAAACACCTTTTCATATCATTTTGACATCATATGGGCAATTTCATCTACAACCAATCCATTGTGCCTCCTGCCAGGAATAACCAAGGCGCCTTTCGCAAGGAGAAGGAGATATACGATGCGAGAGTTCCCTTATTATCGGTATCGTGTAGTATCACCTGGGAGTGATCAGGATGTCCTTCTGAACCGACCATCGGAAACCGACAGCGGGAGCGGCGCAATCAATACTCAACCCGTAGGCTTTTACAGGAGAGGTTTCGGTAAACCGGCATCCGTCTACGCCGTAAGACTTGAAGCAGATTGATGTTTGCTTAATTCTTTACATCCGCAACGAAGGAAAGGGATTCACGATCGAACCCAATGAGGAATTCCATTGACTCTTCTGCGAACTTCCAGTATACCTTGGGATTACGGTAACGTATCACATGCTCACTTTACATACGGAACGGAAAGAAAGATGCATCCTTCGTACTTTTGGCAGAATTAGACGACCGATATAACTCTGTGATGTGATGCTTATGAGACAAAATCAATATCATTGCTAGAAACCAGACATGACAACAATGCAATATGATCTGAATAGCCTGTAACTCCGTGAATATCTGATCCTTGCCGACGATGTACGACCTGCAATTTGCCCCTGACCTGGCGTCTAATTGTTGTTGATTCCAAAAAGCCATGATCAACATATATGGTAGTGTAACGCGAACTGCAGGATGATCAACATGAGTTTGACGGGTGTGGGCTTCAATGTTAGGAATCAGAAGTGATCCAGAGTGAAACGGTCAGCAGAGTGTCGAGGCGATCTTGAAATCGATTTCAAGAAAACATATTTCGATAACACTTGAAATTTGTGTCTGGACTCAAGTAAAGCTGGCGGACATTATAGAAACACAGACTCGAGAGGAACAGCCAAATTCACATCAAGTTATCCCGACTATTCGATATCGCTCCTAGTGATCTTGAATCGTCGATGTTCTTATTAGAAATTACTATGCTATGTAGTGATGAAACAAAGTTACATCACATTTCTCATGAATTCCTGGGGAAATTTATGAGCCAGTTGGTAGTTGCGACAGATTCCATACACTTGAATCTGAGCTCTGATGTTCTGTCCAGTTGTGAATGGAGGCACGTCCTCAACAAATTTCCCCATCTTTCATACTTATTAATTACTCCGGTGCATCCTCAGCGAAAAAATGTAAAAATGCATAGCAAATTCCCTTTTTATCCTTAAAATACAAGTACCAGTACCATTATTTTCAATATGCTTAGGAATCATTTTGAAATACGTTTCTGTACATATCCTTTCGTTTCATCCAAACGTGGTGGTTAATGTTCATGTACACGTTACAGCACAACCGAAACTTGAGAAGTCACCATCATACCAGCCACTTGTATCCGATCGATCAGCCAAATGTACGAGTAATTCTGATGATTTAGAGGAAAGCGAAGAAGAAAATCAGAATCAGAATCAGAATCAGAATCGATACCGAACTCGAAATCAGGATAAGAAATTATATCCAGGGAACACGGAGGACAGTTATAATTTGAAGAAAACATCATAATCTTCTTTTACCGATGCGCATGGCAATAGGTCTCGAACTTCTATGATATCGATATCAACAGCTGTCCAATACTAATCCGAGAAACCATTTGACCGAGGGGAGAAAAGCACCTTCCCTTCTTCCCCTGCATCAATCAAGCTTCCCCATTCGTTTCTTCGATTTTTCTCTCTCCATTCTTGAGGTATCGACTGCATACTACGACGTCACAATACTTCTATACAATTCAACGAATTTTCAAACTTTTTTCTTTCTCCACGAACGGAATAACAACGGATTCTCCAACTGTGTGCCTGCAAGCAAGATTCTATTCTCCGCGAAATCTCGGAGACTCCATCATTCTTCTCTCCTCATTAATAAAAAAAAAAGCAAGGAAGAACCATTCAATTGCATCGCATCCACTACCTCCACCACCATCATTTGGGGTTCCCAGACACGAGAGAGGGAGAGAGCATCAGAGAGCATAAGAGAACAAAGCTTTCATTACGGAATCTTTATTATACTCGGAATTGTCATCCATCTACTTGCTGTACTTACTGCACGAGAGTACATGAGTACATACATACATACATACACACACTCTTCTAGTTCGACAGATACCTATCCATCCATCTATCTGCAGCATTCATCCAAATCTTACTACCGATCACACGATAATACGATCGAATTAATATATCAAATAGCCATCATCCATACCTACCTCCCCTACCACACTCGTACCCATCCAAGATCCAATTATATCGACTCTTGTTAATGCATCGAATGGTTTCTCTCTCTCTCTGTCTGTCTGTCTCTCACTGCTCGATACATTATACGCATCTATCTACCTATCTACCTTTGACCATTCATGAATTGAGACTCTGACTTTTCAACCCCTTGGAGTTTGAACTAATCCTTTTCAAGGAAGCTCTTGATAAAGAAACAGCATCATCATCATCATTTCCACCCTCCCCCCTCAAGTGCATTATTTTTCCTTTCTTCCTTTTGTTCCTTGGAGGAAGAGGTTGAAAGTAACACACTACTAGCACCGCTTTAGACGGCCCTTTTTTGGAGAGGGCCTTATTGATTTTAACCAATCGAATCATCGGATTCCTCACAAATAAGTGGAGATATCTTGGGTGCCGACTCCAAACTCTGCCCCTCCAAAGTTTCCTGGGCTTTGGTTGTGTTACGAGAGTGTAATCGAGATATCTGATTCTGAATTGCCCCGCCTCCCGCCAAGTTGGCCATAAACTCCCCCATCCTAACCAAAATTACGTCCTCAATTGGAAAGGGCGACCCGCCCACCAACTTCAATTCTAAAAAGAAGAAGATTCCTTTAACTTCCGAATTATATTCTCAACCTTCTGTTCCTTCTTCTTCTATTTTCGCTCACTTCTTTTCTTCCAAAACTCCTTCTCAATCCTCAAATCCAACACCAACATCCTTTAAAGAATCCAACCTATTTAAACCTCACAAAGTCTCGAGACCAAATCCAATCAGTCTCATACATTTAGCCTCCGTGACCTTTGTGGTTATTGCCTTGGTAAATCAATCACGAGCCATTATTGTATTCTGTTGGCTGTTACTAATTCTCTATACGTAGATTGTTCAATTCTTATTCACTGATACCCCTCCGCTTTATTCGGCATCTTTCCACCCATATTCACCAACGTCGTACTCTCCTAGAGCCAACGCTTTGGATCAAGGAACTTGCGAATCACCACATCCATTTCCTACAGAAGCGCCAATATCAAGACCACACAAAATGTCTTTGTTAGCAGAATCAAAGCGCGTTGCCGCCGAGTTTGAATACACAGACGAGGATGTGCGAAGAGGTGTTGCTGAATTTGTCGCAGAGATGAGTATGTTTATCTGCCAAACAGTTTATGGCTTGAAACTAACGTCTGCGTAGATGAGGGATTGGAAAAGAATGCCACCAACATGAGCCAAATCCCAACATACGTGACTGGAGTTCCTAATGGAACGGAAAAGGTAGGAGAAGGAGACCCGCATTTCCTATGCACAAAGCTGATGAATCAATAGGGACTATACCTAGCGGTCGATCTTGGAGGAACCAATTTCCGAGTTTGCTCAATTCAATTGCACGGAGATACCACATTCAGTCTTACACAATCAAAGGTTGCGATACCCCGGGAGTTGATGTTGGCTAAGACGGCATCGGACCTTTTTTCATTTTTGGCAAAACAAATCGAACTTTTCCTCAAGACCCATCACGAGGACCATTTCGCGGCCCACATCAGACGTCGCAATACTGTCAGCACACCAGAAGGTTTCAGAGATGAACATATTTTTAGACTCGGTTTCACGTTCAGTTTCCCAGTTCACCAAATTGGTATCAACAGAGGAACTTTGATTAGATGGACCAAAGGCTTCGATATTGCGGATGCGGTTGGACAAGATGTTTGTGAATTGCTACAAAAGGAGATTGACAAACTGCAATTGCCAGTGAAGGTCGCTGCTCTTGTAAACGATACTGTCGGAACATTGATGGCAAGAGCATATACCTCACCTGGAAAGACTCAAACCTTACTTGGAGCGATTTTTGGTACTGGTACCAATGGTGCGTATGTTGAGAAGCTCGAGAAGTTGACTAAGCCTATGGAAGGAGATTTCGATAAGACCACTGGTGAGATGGTTGTTAACACAGAATGGGGCTCATTCGACAATGGTCTCAAAGTTTTGCCAAATACCATTTATGATCAAATCCTTGATAAGGACAGTGTCAACCCTGGTATTCAAATGTTTGAAAAGCGAGTCTCTGGCATGTTCTTGGGTGAGATTCTCAGAACTGCTCTCGTTGAAATTATCAAGAGCCCCACTATTCCACTTTTCAGAGACCAATCTTCTGCAGACAACGACTATCGCTCAACAACTACAGTCGATGAAGCCGGTCCTCTTTACAAGCAATGGGCCGTCGATAGTTCTATCCTCTCTATCGCGGAAGCTGATAACAGCGTGGGTCTTCGCGCCCTTCGTCAAGAACTTGAGAAGTCTCTCGGTGTCTCAGCTGCGTCATTGGAAGATGCTCAAACCGTTAAGGAAATCGCCCATGCTATCGGTAAACGTGCAGCTCGTTTAGCCGCCGTTGCAATTGGTGCCGTCGTTCTTCAAACTGGTCGTCTCGATATCAAATCTGATGCTCCTGGACCAAAATCAACAGCTGCCATCATTCAAGATGTCAAGGATTTGAAAATTGCCGATGCAGCATCAGCTACTGCCAATAAACTCGCTGACACAGCAGGCTTGGCTGTCAACGAGGAAGATGTTATTGATATTGGTGTGGACGGTTCCCTTGTTGAGTTTTACCCAGGATTCGAAGATCATATGAGAGAAGCTTTGAGAGCTATGGATGGTATTGGAGCTGCTGGCGAGAGAAGAATCAGAATTGGTATTGCCAAGGATGGATCGGGTGTTGGCGCTGCATTGATTGCGCTTGTGGCGGCAAAGATGGAGAAACAACAACAACAAGATTACATTGGAGATTTAAGGAGTAGGCTGGGTGGTGCCGGAGAGAACGCGATTTGAGAGTAATGGCTGCACGATTTGTTATGAAATGATTAAATGAATGGTTGATTAGTTGTTTGTTGAGTTACCAGAGAAAGTACAGTGGAAAAACAACTATCAAGGTGAATTGATGGGAATGGATGGGCGAAGGGGTTGGGGTTGGGGTCGGCGGTTTTGGTTACACACATAGTTTAGGCATAGGGGCTGCTAGGTGGCTACCTTTTTTTTTTTCAAGTATCACTAAAGTATCATTTAGTAGGAAATCTGAACATGCATATGAATCTTTTGAAATATCAAACAAAAATCACTTGCATGACTTGGAGCTTTGGCTGTTTATATCTGTGAATTCGTCTTTAGTGTGAATTGGATTTCATTCAAGGAAAGATTGTTATTTGATAGGGGCTCGGTAAAGTGATGTGATATCACTTTTTTGAGATACGTAAACATGGGATCATGATCTATTCAGCTAATTACTTAGTCTAGATATGAACCTTGGAATTTCTAGGCATCTAAATACCACCAAGGAAGTCAACAGTCCTCATCAGTAGTGCGAAAAAGTGCTCTAAACCGAGACAATTAAGTCTTTAAAAAAGAGCCTCCCGAAATACTGCAGCATGCCAGTTAATCACATCAACTCTTCATTTCCACATCCAGATCTAATCCACATTGCCCCATCCAAATCTCGCTCCCCACACCCCATCACATCACATCACATCACAACTTCTCCCTCTCCCTAATGGTAACCCAAATCGGTTCCTTCTGAACCACAATATAGTTCTTCAGCTCAAACCAATTCACGCCCTTCCCATCCGCACTCTGCAGATCGAAATTCCACACCAAGCGCGCGAGCACCAATCGCAATTCCGCCTGTCCGAAAGATCGTCCCAAACATACTCGTGCACCTAATCCCCACGGTTTCAAGATGTTGCGATTATCGTTGGCGTATTCGCTGGGTCGCAAATGCGCGGGGAGATACCGGTCTGGGAGGAATTGGAGACTTTGGTGGAAATTGGCTGAGCTGAGGGCCATGGCGATCGTGTTGCATGCGATGTGTGTCTAGGGAGGGGGGTTAGTATGTGTGTATGTATATCTGAGTAGAGATTATGTAGATATTATGTATGGAAATGGAAGAAAAGAAGAGAAAAGAAAAAAAAGAAACACTCACGCATTCAGGAAGAAAGTATCCGCAAACAGTTGCGCCGCCGCGAGGAACAATCCGGAGAAGTCCTCCCGAAACTGGATTACAGATTCGTAATCCTTCGCTCACAACCGCGTTCAGAAATGGTAATTGCTGAAGCGCACTCAGCGTAATATCCTCTTCCTTTTCAAAAATCGTGCGAACCTCTGTTTCCAATTTTCCCAGTTCCTGAGGATTTTGCACCAAACAGTTGAGGATTCCGCAAATCGTAGTGCCTGTCGTCTCACTTCCTCCGAGGAGTAAAAGAGCCGTTGTGCTTTCGATTTCAGGCATGCTCATTTTCGAAAAGTCGGGATTGTTCTTCGGATCAAGCATGACGGTCATGAAATCTCCCTCTGCTGATTCGGGACGCTGTAGACGTCGGTGGATTTTCTCGGCTGCGTACGCAAAGTGATCTTCCTGCATCTTGCGCGTGCTGGCGGGAAGGAGCTTGAGAACTAATGAGTCGAGCCCAGGGAAATGTTGGGTGACGGCTGCGAGGGCCATCACTGTTTGTTTATATTAGCAATGGTGATAGCAATCATTCAAATTTTGATGTTTTGAGATTAGGCTGGATGATAGGGAATGGAATGGAATACGAGAACATACTCTTAATCGCATTAAAAATCAGAACCGCCCACGGATGACTCGCCGTATCCCTCAAACAACCAAACGATTCTCCCAACGCCAACATGCCAATAACATCAAACGTCCACCAATTCATCCAATCCACCACATTAATGCGCGCGCCCATTTGCACATTCTCCGGTTTCTGAATCTCCTCCCGCATCTTGTCCACCATCAACGAAACATACCTCTGCAAAACCGGTTCCTGCCTCGCCACCGCGCGATCCGTAAACGCCGGTCCAATCACCTGTCGCATGCGCATACTCGTCTCCGCATCCACCGTCGTGATGAGATTTTCCGCCTGGCCCGGAGGCGATTTGAAGAATACCGGATCGCGTGGGAGTGCCTTGTGGCCGTTCACGGTGCCGAATACATCGTGCCAGACGTCTTCGTGCGCGATGGATACTTCGTTGGGCGCGGTGCGCACGATGGTGCCGTAGTGTGTGTGCAGTGTGCGGATGTCGATTACGAGATTCCCGTGCAGGAGAGAGTGGATGTAGGGGAGGCGGCTGGCGCGCCAGAGGAGCGGGCCGGGGATGGGGACGAGGGGGTGGAGGGTGAGGTTGTAGAGGGTGGAGAGGAGGGTGTACTAGATGGGGTTGTTAGGGATGTTTATGATGGAGTAGCTTTTTTTTTTCTGTTGCTTTTTCTTTTGAATGGGGGGGGGATCTTACGAGTAGCAAACTGAGGATTGCGAAACTGCTGATGGTGAACAGTTGATTCCAGATGTTTTCTCCGAGGAGAGATGGAAGACCCATCTTGAAGGATGGTATATTCATCATCATAAGAATATGATATTCTTGGAGATTCAACCAGATATGCAGGTAGTGTTTACTTTTGAAATGTAAAAAAAGTCTCTCGAATCTCAATCTTGACGCATGTCGTGAGCTTCCACAACTTTAGGATTGAGAATTAGAAGGCTTTTATCTTAAACTAAGCAAGCTCCTGATAAAAAAGACTGGACAATCGAGTATTCACCACGAGGTAGGTCATTCATTGGACTTCAGTTTTCTTTGAGAAATCTGGGATATGCTAGGGTATCATAGGCGTAGATAGATGCATCCATTGTCTAGATATTCACTTATTCACTCATATATTCACTTAGCTACCTAGCCACCTGTCTACTCATATAATACAGTAGGTAATGAAGACATTCATTCATAGAGATTAGATGGGAATCATCACCGAGATTATTTATGAGATCCGATTCTTTTTATGAGGGGGATGCGATTCTGGGGTTTTGGATATCTATCCATGGATTTGAATATAAGGACCTAGGTAGGTAGGTATTCTTGATATTCATGGTATTCTGGATATTCTGGATATTCTGGATATTCTTGATATTCTTGATATTCTTGATATCACACATTATGACTAACTTGGAGGTATGTTATCAACTTCTCAGATGAGTGATTTCTTCCGTTGAAGTTAAGGTGAGTAGGTAGTAGAGCTTTGGAGCGGGTGTGAGATACAGGAATAGTAATAGGGATAGAAGTAGAAATACAACGAACTTGGAAAATTTCGAGAGAATGAAAGCTATAGAGGAATCCATAAGTGAAAGGAGTGTATGAGGTTGAGGGTAGGGTATCTCGTCCCTGATTTGTGAGCGGGGAAACTTGGAATGAGTTTGTGGTGGTGAATTAGATGATTGATGGGGAAGTTGAAGGAATTGCAGGTGAGAAATAATGGTTTGCAATCCGAATTGACAAGCTCCTGCGATTCGATGTCGATTCTTGATATAACGATACTATATAGGTAAGATTACATTACTGCTACCTAACCATCAATTTTTGAATCTCCTAGAATTTTTTTGGGAAGAGCTGCTATTCAACTTTCAGAGAAGTCTTCAAGAGATACTTCTTCAACCACGAGATATATTTTCAAATTAACATCTTTTTGATGTAGTTACACAGTAAAAAACGGTATTTTGGTCTTGGTGATTAAAGCACCCGAACAGACTATCTATCTCAAAATATCATCAAAACACCCTTTTCGCCTTTGTGATCCATGATACTAAAATCTTAATCGGGAAACTAGCCCAAAGACTAGAGAATCGAGAACCCCTTGACTTTTTCTCCCTCTCCGCTAATATACGATATAGCATAGCTATCTGTATCTGTCTCTGCTAGCCAGGCCTAACAGTGACAGAAATCACATCTTCATACTCCCCTCCGATTTTCAATATTCACTCGAAAAGCAAACGGCAGATAGAAGTTGGCTAGCATATACCTTGAAAATCAATGGAATTTCGAATACTATGGCTGTGAATCCAGTATTAATGTTATATCAGATACAGATATAACTAGAAATTCAAAGGTTATTCTCAAAGAAGACATTGCCTTGCGGATTGTCACAATTTGAAACGGAGGGATTTCTGAAAACAGAGTTGTGAATATGGGATGTAAAATTATGTTTTCACATTGGATTTGAGATCTTGGTCTTATCACTCCTCGAAAGATAGGAAGATTGTATTTCAGAGTACAAATTTGCTGGACGAAAGACGCTCATGGTGTTAGATGAGAATAAACTAATGAACTTTTGCCTCGAAATCTTGTATAGTACTGAAAAAATAGTACTTGCTCATCTCTCTTTTGGAAGCTTTTGTAGGCTAGATTGATGTTGGTAAAGTGGCTCATCGTTTGCATGGATATGCATCGATGATGGCGTCACTTCCTGCTACAGCAATATACTTCATGTATCGCGCCCGATGGGGAATAGGAATTTCCCATCCAATTTTTGAAGTTTCATGGATAGGTCATTGAGAATCTCGCTTATGTGGATTGATCAACTAATGACTGATTACATCACTTATATCTTCCCAAAACTAGGAGTGAGTTCTTGATCTTTGACAAAGGGATCAAGTAGATTCTTATCTACAATCGAAGCTAGAATCTCAGAGGGGTGATGGGATTTGGTATGTTTCCACTCACCCTCATTTGCAGTATATCGCTAAATTTTCTTCTTCAGATTACGGAATATTAGCCAATGTAGACAATACAGGAAAATCCATTGTAGCCACAAATATTCTCGTTCTATCCATCGATCCTCCTAGAATGATTGAAGATTTCGAAACCGAATATTATTTTTGCTCCTCCTTAAATATACATAATGGATCTATGAGCGCCAATTACAATGCTCTAGATGTATATCTTCATTCTCCGAATCCGTCAAAACATGAGGATTCTATTGGAAAGATCACAATATCCTTATGCAAGAAAGGTTATGTCGTTCGTATTCAAGACAGAGGAGTAGATCTCTATCCACTTGATATGTAACATGCGATACAGTCAAAATGCAAAACTTGGCCGACAAATCAACGACTATAGCTATAACTCAAAACCAAGCTGAATTTCATACAAACAGTGTGAAGTTTCCAGAACTTCACGAGCATCACAGACCGAGCAAGATACACCCTATGACGAAGTGCGAGTTCGTCATCTGGATGCTATGAAGAAGGATCTATTGTTCATCGCAACGCACGCAGTAGGAACCAAGTGTGAGGATTCCTTCAGAATGAAGAGCTTATTTTCAAACTTGATGCAATATGACCTTCTCAAAAGTCAGAAATTGAATATAAAATCATAACTCAAAATTCCATCGTAAACCTTTGCATTCCTCAAATCTCTAAGATTGTATATTTCTCATATGGCATTGAGGGGTCATACTTCGTTGTCATATAATGATTAGCTACTGTTATTCGAATCAATCTATTTTTTACTTTAAAATGCGTATTTAAAGGAGTGCCGTTTGATAACTTTCATTCGATGACTCTGTTCAACTTTAATCATAGTCTCGTGAATTGGAGACTAATGAAGTAGAATTTTATGTTTGCGTGTAGGAGAGATAGATGGGATGAGAATGCTTATGCAATTGCTAGATACATATTATACACTCAACAAAACAAAGCAATGAATCCAGGAATGAAAGAAAGCATGCTGGTGTGTATTGGTGAACGGAAGAGAAAAAGATTATTTAAATACGGAAAGCGCGTATGCTTTGAGTTTACGTATCTATAACAATATCGAAAAATGAAAATCGCATCTATTCTTAAGCATCTATCTGTATCCACACATCCACATCCTCATTTCATCATCACAATCTTAATTATCCATATGCTGTCTCGCAAACGAACTCCTCGCTCTAAGTCTATAACCATATCTCTCCAAGATGAAAGGAATAGGAACCAATAACACAGCTAAACATGCTAATATTGTTCCCGCCCAATTATATCCCAAATTCAGAAACATCTGTTTCCCAAACAAAGGGAATCCTGCACCGGCCAAATTTCGTATTAATCCCACGCCAGCTAAAGCACTTGCTGAAAATACCATGTAGCTATCTTCAACATAAAGATAAGTCATCAATATAAGCGTGTAGAAAGAATACCCAAACAAAGTGGTAGCAAGTATAGGTACAATCCAATGAATATGATATTGAGGTGGTGAAGTCCATGCGAACCAGAAGAGACTGATCGGTAGTAGAATAGCAGCAAGTTTACTCAGTTGGACTCGTGCTTCTGGTATATTCTTGAATCTTTCAGGATCAAGCTCCTCTTCAGATTGCGGTTCCCTTGTTCCAGCTGCACGGATCCGTTTCTGATAATGTTTTTCTTGCCATATATTGATAAACGGACCCAAACTGATGCCGACGATAAGTCCAAGAAAACAAAGACCAACACCGATTATACTGAAACCATAACCCATCTTGCCGAATACGAGATTGAAAGCACTGTTGAAGAGGAATGAAAGTCCGTACAAGAAACCGTTGTAGAGCGCTGCAAAGATGATCACGGGCTCTGTTGCTAGAAAGCGGAAAGGTCGAGAAAGGGTGTTTTTGAACAATTGTCCCAGAGATTTGCTCTGCATTTCCAAAGGTACCGTGGCGACGATTCTTCCGGCAGCTTTGTTTAGTCGATTTGCACGCCTTCGCAGAATCACTGAACGTCTCGTCTCATTTCCGAAAACAAGAAGTACCACCACGAGTATCAACCAGAATCCCCCACAAATCCCTAGCAAAGCCCAGAAAACTTCTCGCCAGCCATATCTTTGTGCAACGAAAGACATCAAGAAATAACCAGAAGGACTCCCACATACTGCGGCCCAGAGAAAGATACTCATCGCTGGCCCTATTTGATCTCTTGGCCAGAGATCAGCTATTGTTCCACCAAAGTTTGCAATTGTCACACTAGCGAAGAGACCTGATAGAAATCTTAAGACAAGAAATCCTTCGATATTTTGTACGAGTGCTGTTCCAAGCAGAAATAGAAGGAATGTCCCATAAGGAATGATGTATAGATAAGACCTCCCATAATATTCAGATAAAGGTGCAAATGTCATCGGTCCCAATGCAAGACCGAAAATATAGAGTGAGAGACCCAATACTCCGACTTCAGAACTGACATTGAAGGACCGAGTAAAATTTTCCTGTGCTGGTGAGTATCCAGATGCTCCCCAAGAGACGGTTAGATCGATCAATGTGATGCTGCCCACGATAGACCATTTTCTCCAGAAAGAAAAATTGCGAGGGTCAGAAGGCTCATCGGATCGAAATGTCAGGACTTGTATTTCAGTATCGGTTGAGCTTGCGTACCGATCGGGTTGAGATGACCGATTCATGATTACGTACGTAGCTGTGTACCCAAAAGCACCCTCTCTTCGTTAAGTTGAGAGAAGTAAGGGGACTCTCTCGATTGTGATGTATTGTATATGGTTGGATACCATCAGGATCTGTACACTCAATTGGAGATGTCTTTCATTTCTTTTTGTAGGAAGTTAATGTTGCTCAATGATGACGCTATGATGCAAGAATGGAGGTCATTGTTGTGATTGGATCTACTGTGTGTGTACTTGTACACCGAGCACGAAAATCATACACCAAATGAGGGGTAAGTGCATACCTACATATGTGTGCGATACGACGATACGTGCCCCGACTCAGGCAAAAGGAACACCTACATTGACTAGCATTATGGGGCAGTGATATGCCAAGGAATTCGGAGTGGCCCAAAATCATTGACTTGAATGGAAAAAGAACAGAACATGCATTTGTTCTTCCGATGCAGAGATTTCGATACTCTCGCAAGTACCGAAACTAACAAATAGTATATATTCGGTAAGAGGAAGCCACTTCTAAAAGAGTCTCTGCCCAGTCTAGATCTTCTCATGCATCTATTGAGCAAGAGCTTCTTGTGCTTCATGTGCTTCATGTGCTTCATGTGTAAGCTCCGGAGTATTGAGGTACAGTACCAGTAGAATGATCTCCTATCCCATCAAGTACTTCGTAAACATATATATGGACATGTATTTCACCATCAATCGAAAAAGATCATCCATCTATCACGGATGTTCCTTGTACCGAGTATAGAGGTTGCATTCGGTACTTATCGACCCTCTACGATATTGACTATCAATGTGCAACTAACACCCCGAACTTCTTGTGGAGTTGACACCGTTTATTTTTTGGGTGTGATCCATGTCGACGGACGGAAATTGAACCCGGACTTGTTAATGGTCCGATAGTCAACTTTGATCCACAGAGCATTACTTCGTAAAGTAGTTAAATGAAGCCATGAGCCGGTTCTCTGGTACGATTGACATTTTATTGATCAATTCCATACCAATATCGGCTTCAAATTATGAGTGAAGGAAGCCGACAAAGACCAGGCCGATCCGAGCCCTCTGAATACTCTTTCATCCCCGCCCCCGCTCCTGGCACCGACTACTCAGAATTTCAGGGTCCGATTCAACAGAATATCATCGACACGATCGAACAATGGAATTACGATAATGGCTATAACGACTCTGACTTCGGATACATAGTGCCCCTACCGGCGAACACTCTGGAGAGTCAGTATGTATCCGACACATCGAGATCATCTCGTGATCCTAATAGCTTGGAACGATCCTCCGTGACCGACGAATCTTTATTAGATCTGCTAGACGGTTCACATAACATCGACAAAGCTACAAATGTAACGAAAAAGCCCAACCCTCAGCAATTACCGGAGGCGCTCAAATACTTAGCACCAGTACCCACACAAAGAGATACTTCTCATCAATCCATCAAGACCCAATCAAGGCATCCTCAACAATCCGCACCGGATGAGCTACTACCTCTTCGACAACCTGCTACACATTCTCACTATCCTGAACAACAAGTCCAAAATGCACAGTCAGTATCTCATCGCCCAGGTATACGAATCTCTGGCTAATCTCCTTTATCAAGTCTGATTTCTTATCAACCTTCTACGACACATCCCAGAACTCTGGCAGTTGTAAATGACCCATTCCTGTACGGTGATGTTGATGTGCTTTCGCAACCATTGGAAATTCAATTAGGTCCAGTACCACCGCCCTCATTATCTAAAGGAAAACGAAAACAATCTTTCAGCCCTTCCCCGTCGCCGGGTCCTAACTCATCACGTCAAAGAAAGGTCGCAAATGCCAAGCGTCGGCGCGAATTCACTTCTTCTGCTTCTCCAAAACCTTCTTTTGGCTCCGAATGGTGGGAAAGTGATGCTTCGCTTTGCTGGAGATGCCGCAAGCATAATGCAAACGTAAGTCCTATCTTTCGTTCGCAGCACCCACATATTGATTGTGAAGAACGTCTCTTGTTGAACTTCGACTGACTTTACTACACGGCAGCACCTGATATCAGGATTTTGTGATTCTTGCATCCGAGTGTCCAACTTCAATGTCGCTCCAAGCACTCAAGGGACGAGAACGGAAAATTTGGAAAGCCTAGTCTTATATCTATTACCATGTTCGACTTCCCTTTCAATCATCCTTAGAACATACAGTATCTAATCAAGCCTTAGCACACGTGGAAGAAAACCTCCGCGCCATTCCTCGAAACACACTAAAAACCAAAACTTGGCGTATGTTTTCGGCTGAGAGGGCCGAAAAAGCATTCGATCATGATTTTGACAATACCGTATTCAGAGATCATTTCGTTTTAGCACAAGAACAGGCTCGTTCAACCGGAGTCTTCGACGAAAAATACTCAGATCTAATGGCCATAGCTCAAACATACCAAGAATCTATTCTCCAACCTGTTAGTACCTTTGTCCATATTATTCCAGGAAAGTTTTCTGACCTGTTCACATATAGAACAAATCTCTGGAAGCTTCTTGCAGGATTTTGATCGAATGCTGCGAATTATACAAATGCTTCATCACAACAACAATGCCGCCAGCTCCAATTCCAGTTCTAAATCTCCTTGAAAAGATCCGCACCACACGCAGCACGATGCGTAGAGCTTTCAAAGAATATCAGAACCTCGCACTCGCTCCCTCCGACTTTCGTTCTCGACGTGATTGGCTACCTTCATTTCTTTCCGCATGTTCCCTTGCGATATCAGCAGTTGTATTCATAGATATGATGGTAGCGGTCCCATCACCCTACAAAGAGAGAATTTGGGGTGTGGAATGGCAAGAGAGAATAACCCAAATAAGACACGGAGGATATGGAATGATGTTGGAAGTTTTGAGAGCAAACACGAAGAATATTAATCCATTGGAATTGAGTTGTTGGGGTCAGGACTTTGGAATGGGCACAAATTTCCAAGTATTGAGCAATGCTCATGATCCTTTTGCTGGAAATCAATATATGAACGCACAGTACAGCACTGGATACGCAATGGATCCTTCCTCAAATCCGCAGTTTTCCTATGGACTTGCAACACCTGCGACACAAAATTTTGCTCCTGATCTTTTATACGCCAATTTGGATTACGACCAAGCTTATTATAACAACTGGCAACAAATGCAGTTGCAAATGCAAAAACAAGCAAAAGCGGAAGAAGAGAGACGGATTTTACTGGGAGATACTTCGCCAGAGGCACTGCAAGGAATGATGGCGGTGAAATCCTGGCAGATGAGAAATTTTGAACATTTGAAGTTGGGAGAGGACATTTTCAAGAAGGATTTGTATAGACAAGCGACTATCAATCCAATCGCGGGCTTGTGGAGAATCTTTGATATGAAGTGAGGGATGTCTCGGGGTTTTCTGACGCATAGGGAGAAAGAAATCCATGAATTTTGAGTTTGTACTTGAATTCAGACTGTAAAAGGAAAATGAAGGATTGAAAAGAATTGAATGGCTTACTTCATTCATTCACTTTCTTCTCAAGTATCAGGCTTTTAGAACGTTTATTCATAGTCTTTAATAATAAGTATTTTTTTGTCAAACTTTCACATCACATTCATTTAGCCTTCTTTAGTGGGTAGTCACTTTGGACTTAAGAACAAATCAATGATATCGAGGATTCTCTCACTCCAAGGGCTTTCTTCTGCAACCTTTTTCATTGAAATAAGCCAGGTCTGCATCACAGCATTTCGTACACCAGATTGATACACGTCTTAAATTTCTCGATGTAGAAGGCCAGATTGCCGAGATTCAAAAAAAATGTTAGATAGTGCTGAATGGATATCTTGGTTTTCCTTGAACGATAGCAAGTGGAAGATTCTCCAGATTCTCAAGAAGTTTGAAGAGTATATCTCCATGTTTGGCCAGAATTAGATCGGATATACCAGGTTGTTTTTGGAAAAGATTTCGGGCTTCTTCATTAATCATGGCTTTTACCTCGATAATCGCTGGATATCTATAATATCACCGCAAATTCCCCTATCACAGGAGGTCCAACTAACAGTTCCTCCCTGAAATTTTGAAATAAATTGTAATAGTTTTGGGTTATGAACCTGCTGATTTTCTAAAGCCGAAAAAAATCTTTTAATAGATAAAAATCTTCAAATCATTTGTATTATCGAGAACAAATACCCAATCTATTTGATTCTCAATCCATTATTTCACTACGTCGAATAGATCCCCACCTTTTAAATACAATAATAATCTAACAGTCTTAGCGATATCACTATAATCCCAACCAAAACTAACTTCAAAACCGGTATGAATCCAGAAAATTGAACTTGAATTTTTATTTTGATAGCAATAAGCATATTCAAAAGTAATTTATATTTTACTAGAAGAGGGTAAGCTAATACAAAACATAATAATTGTATCTCCCACTTACTCATATCCATCAAGACCCCAGGTTGCAGCTGATTGATATGGTAAAAAGCTAAGAAAATGATCTAGAGATTCGAAATTCTCATCTATATCCACTAAACCATCTTTTTGACCAAAAGGCATAAATGTTGTTAATCTCTATTCTAGGATTATCATATCAGAAAAAGTGTTTCAGTTGAAATATAGAGGATTACTTGTGGTTATAGCAGCTTTCAGTTCTCTTTGCACCTACTGTCAATCCTTATTAGCCAAATATTTGGAGTTAGACCTTTACAATATCATCCATAGAAAACTCGAAAAGAACTCAAACATCAGTTTCTGCTATTAAGGTCTAAGAAAAGTCTAACTCGGCATACATCCAACACTTTTCTTCGGATTTATAGCACGTCCTTGTGCAGCTGACCTCACCTCCTGCCTATTCATATACTCGACCATCGCAGCTTTTATAAGAGGGGCAGATTTATATTCTTCCAACCCAATATCTTGAAGATCTTGTTGAACATTAAATCGAAAATAGCGTTCGCCTTTATACAGCTGCCGGTGTCTTTCAACAAAGATCTTTGCGGTATCCTCTGTCTAAGTAGCGATTTTCAGAAGTTTCCAAAAGAAAAAGAAGAAAAAAACACTTCGAGAACCCTTCAGTATTTGGCTGTGTACTCGGGTTACCAGTGCCAGTTGGTACGAACATTTCAGCAATGTGCCAAGTTCTATGTCTTCATCAGAACATCACATTTTCTGAGCTTCATTTCAAATTTGTTCAGATGAATTATTCGCCCCTAAACCTTTATCTACAAACTTTCCCACTCCGGTCTCAATTGCGAGGGGAACAGAAAATGTAGTTGCTGCAGATTTTGCACGTACAGCCTCACAGATTGTAGCTGTGATATTGTTAAGTTCATCGTCCGAATTATAAGATTGCAAAAGTGTAGTCGCTGAAATCTCAATGGCTTTAGTAAAAATAACTCTATCATATATCAAGGTTAGAGAAATACCTTCAGATTAGAGAAAACCGTACACTTTACATCTCCTCTTTCCGTCATTAAGAGGTTCTGTTTCCGACATACCAACATCCTTGAGAATCTTCAAAATACATTCTCTAAGAACTTTGGAATCGAATGGATCTTTGATCTTTCCCTATCGATTCAAAGGCAAGACTTTATTTCCGATACTCTTTTTGAACATGCTCGTATATGGTAGATGCGATCATCGATATCCATTTCAAGACGTCCAAGCATGATAGCAATAATACTTCTATGTTTAGGTAGACCTCTCGGCAGTACAAAAGAACTCGCCCTCCTATATTTGTTCCACCGATCAAATCGAAAAGCTCACACGGCTTTACAGTAGGCTGCCAATCCTTCACTCGTTCCGCGTTCACTTCTGTCATCAATGCTTTGATGATGAGAAGCGTAGAAAGCCCACGAACTCCGCCACCGTCTGTAGTTATATTAGAAGATTGAAGTAATCAAAGAGCCCCACATACCCATTTAGTCGCGGTTTAATACAGCTCTCGTTCTCTTAAAACCCCATAAAATCGTGCTCTATCAATCTTGTGGACCCAATAGGTAGCTCGGGTAGTAATCGAAAATGGACCCTATCTCTCCGTAACCGAAAAAAGAGGCGGAAAATGAATACCATCTGAAAGGACTTTAACAATTTGAATTTCTTTTTTATATTATAATAAATGTATATGATTATAAATACAAAGGAAGCTTAAATTTTTGTTTGCTTTTTCTTAAATCTTAATATTTAATTTGAAATGAATTTAAAATTTATTAAAGAAGTCCTTTGAAAGAGCACTCAATTTCCGGTTCTTCGGTTATGTAGAGCCTATCTCTTGCAGCGCCACTAATCACTAGTACAATACGAAATCACGATGCAGAGTCGTTACCCCACTATGCCCACCTCCTGCTTTTCTCGCGCCGACTCAATGCACCATAGCTGGCAGAATGTAAAGTTATGTAGGGCTGATGGGGAAACCGGATAAGACGCTGGTCCTCTTGGCATCAACTGATCTAGAGTAATGAATCGGATTGATAGTAGCAATTCATAATTGATTTGATCTAATTATAGCTGATACTACGAATGAATCGGATTATATATTAGAATGGATAGTGTAAAGCTTGAAATGGAACAAAGATTGTAAATCATCTTAAATCAAATGGTACACTTTGTAGATAAGGAATCAAGCCCTTACGTCTATGGTACGCGGAAGATAGGAGGAGGCAGGCAGGCAGAGAAATGCCTAGATTGTTTGCCCCATTCAGTATTCTAGTTGTCTATCTATCAAGGCGATGTAACCTCACCATTAGCACTTTTTGCCAGCTTTATCTCGTCTATGAATGGTACCATCATCTCAGTTGCTCATAATCCCATCAATGAAGAATTTGGGATCTCTGACGCGAAATTCCCTAATTCATACTGGCCGATTGCGTCTTGGGGAGTAGGGGGTTCTTTGTTTTCGCTCATCTTGTTTCCTGTCATGGAAGATTTCGGAATTCGACCCGTTTTTCTCATCACCTACTTTTTTTTTCATCTGCTCCCTTGTCCCCATTGGTTTGGCTTGAAATTTTACAACACTCATCGTGGTTCGGTTTTTTAGCGGAGGTTGTGTTCAACTGCTAAGCAACGCCGTCGCGGGTATCATATCGAATGTTTTTCAAGACGATCGAGCTAGGAGTGTACCCATAAGTCTCTATGTCACAACGTATCTTGTTTCAACAAGTCTGGACCCAGTGATTGGTTCTGTCATACTTCAATATATTTCTTGGCGCTGGATAGGTTACATTGAATTGATTTGGACCGCCGTCTTTTTCCCAATCTTCGTCGTCGGCCTCCCTGAAAGCCGCGGATCGGCTATATTGCTTGCCAAGGCTAAACAACTACGTCGGGAAGGAAAGGAAGCATACACGGAAGAAGAGCTACATCGAATACCATTGCATCGAGTTGTCATCAAAAGCGTGCAACGGCCCTTGTATATGCTTTTCACGGAATCAGTGGTCTTTGTGGCTACTCTTTGGGCTGCATTTAGTCTTGGAACAATCTATCTCTTTACTCAGTCTGTCGAGCAGGTTTATGGACAACTCTATGGTTGGAACTCCCTACAAGCAGGATACATTCAAGTTGCTATTGCTGTCGGTGAGGTATTTGGATGTGCACTTTGTATGTATACCAATCGCTGGTACTACGATTCCGCTGCTCGAAATACCGAAGTTCCTGGTACATCTATCCCTGAGGCTAGATTATATCCATCAGTCATTGGAGGGCTCTTGGGTGTGACAGGTGGAATGTTCTTGTATGGGTGGACATCAGTTTCTGCCATACATTGGATGGTACCCACCATTGGACTGGCAATGGTGGGCTTTTGGACAACCGCCATCATAGTAAGCAATGCGAACTATCTTGTCGATGCATATAGCAAGTATGCAGCAAGCGCTCTCGGAGCTGTTGGCCTGGTCGAAAACGTCGCCCTCGCTTTTATTCCACTTGCTTCATCATCTATGTACACGGATCTCAGATTTCAATGGGCTAGCTCACTTCTCGCGTTCTTATCTTTGGTGCTTGTTGCTACCCCATTCGCGGTCTTCAAATGGGGTAAACAGATCAGATCTCGCAGCCCATTCATGAAGGAGGCCATCATCGAACGGCGCCAAGCAGTTTTACAGCAGCCACTGCGTGTCTGAACCGATTATGCAATAAAGTCCTCCTCGCTGTCTGCGTAGGGGGATCTGGAAATTACTTCGAAGGCTTAGAATACCAGCCAGTTGATTTACCTCACACCAATTATTGACCTCATAGAACGCAAGATTCTTTTCTCGTCTCATTTTCTGTCACGTATTTGGATCCTTTTTAACATCATTATCTACAGTCACCGTGCACTTCTATTAGCCGAAACTTCACAAAACGCGTTTTTTCACGCGTTATACTCCCACAATCACATTTTATTATTTTAATTATGCTTTCAATTTATAATATATAATATATTGGAGGTATGCAAAATGATTCTTATAAGTATTTTATTTCATATATATAGTAAAATAGTTAATAAGGTAGAGAAAGGTTTTAATTTTTATTGAATTGTAAAGAACCTTAGACTCTTTTATGGAATTATATAATATATCTTCTTATAAGATTTATTATATAATAATAATATATATTTATTATATACTAATTAATCTAAATTATATATTAAATAAAATAAACGAATACTATTATAATATATATAATTGTTTTCAAAAGCTATATATAAATAGATTATTCAAAAGGTTAGATCTGATTATAATATTAGAACTATTAAGAGGATTTTGATCAAATATAGTATAATCAATTGGAAATATAAAAAGAGATTAGAACTTATATCAGTATATATTATTAAATAGTTTAAATAGTGTCTAGTTTATAGAGAATTGATAATTAAAGAATAGGGTTTAATTATATAATCAGATAAATATTCTGTAAAATGAGGAAAAGGAAAAAGATCAGAATAATACTTTTGTACTAATTTTCAGAAATAGAATTCAAAAATGATTGAAATATATAATACAAATAAAAATATAAAAATTATATATTAAAAAAGCTTTTAGAATATTAGAAAAAACAATCTATATATAATAAATAGGGATTTTAAAAATATGAAATATGAGTATAATGCTAAGTCTTATCTTGAGATTTTTGAAGCTGAAATAAGCCCTATCTTCGAAAAGTTTGATCCAAAGTATGAATTTATATAGAATAATACTTTTATTTATTATATCTATAAGATATAAGATTGATTTCAAAAAAAGGAGATCCCTTTATTAAAGGATTAATCTTCTTATTTCCTTAATCTCAATTCTATAAAGTATATATAATAGGCTCTAAAGATAAGAGTATATAAAATGTTTTCTAATATTACTATTAATAAAATTAAATTAGAATATACTTATTAAAGATTAGAGAGTTATTTACAAACAATTTAAGATATATTAAATAAAGAATTATTTAATAATTTAGGAGCTAATATATCTTCTAGAATTGAGGCTTATATTATAGTGAATAACTAGTATATTAAATATTGATAAATTAAAAATCAATAATAGAATAATTTTTATATATATTAATAATATAAGAATATATTATTTATTTTTTCAAATTTAATAATTTTATAATTTTTGATTGATTTAATATTTAATATTGAAAAAGGGTGGTACAATATGTAACACTATAAAATAAGCGGGGGGGGGCGGATATAAGTGGCCTAGTACTATATCAATAATCGATATGAGACACACTACAATTAATAATGAAATATATCAACTATATTCCAATGATTTTTATATTGGAAATAAAGATTGATTTTTTTTTTAAAAAAAAGTCATATTTTACTTCTCAAAATGAGAAATATTCACAACCGATTTCTAAACAATTCATAGATACCTGACGTTTTGATTGGTCATAGATCCATGTACAAGCGAGGTGTTCTCTTTCCACACCTTAGGGGATAGCTTTTCCAATAGTTATAATAATTCACTTTATTTTGAGATTTATATTCTTTTTTTCCTATTCTTATTTACAACCTTCAATTATATAATTTTTCTTCAATCACGCAATAAAATATTTGTTCTTTTCTTGTTATGAAATAACTCCTCATCTATCGTAGTATTTATCTCTAAATTATTTACATATAGAGCTATATCACAAACACGTGTACAGCTAATAGCCACTTCAATCAGTGCAATTTCACACAGAAGTATAACAATTGTGAATTTCTACAAATTTATGTACAGAGAACAAGAATTTTACCTACACGTGGAATACAAACCGGCTCGATTGATCGCAGTTACGAGGCGCACCAGCACCCACATCTACTCCATTTCAAAGCATTCGTCATCATCTTCTTCTCCCTCGTCTTCAGTTGCAGTTGAAGTTGAAACTACGGCTGCGCTTGTGAGAGTTGGGGACGCGGTATCAAAAGCTGATGTTGTGGGAATAACAATGGTTTGTAGAGTATTAGCAGAACTAGCTACTGAAAGTGTAGTTGCGATTGATTTTTTCGAAGTAACAGAGCTCGAATATGCCACAGCAGCTGTCGAGCTCGAAGCGCTAGTCGATATGGAAACAGAAGCCATAGTGGTGCTCGTAGAATTCGAAGCCACGAGAGAATTATTACCCGCGGTGGCGATATCCTCAGGATCCAAATGGTAAAGTAAAGAACCCCATCCAAGCCCATCGTAATGACCTGATCCCTCGCCCCAGGAGCCAGCTCCGCCTTCGAAACCACCCATCGTGGTGACGGTGTAGTTCATATATTTTTTTGTCCAGGGTGCATCGACGCCTTTGATTTGTCCGTAATGTGCATAGAGTAATTCCCATGTTGGACGGTAGGAGCCGCGCGAATCGTCGCTGACTTCGGTGAAGGATACTATGCCGTTGGTGTAGGGTTCAAAGGGAACATCGTTGTTGAGGTTGTAACGCGCGTAGTATTCGGCACTGAGGGCAATGTTAGCTTGATGATCTTACATATCTGTGAGATAAAGTAGCAAGTACCCTAGTAAAATCTTGCTATGGTTGAAACCATACAGATCCTCGCCCTGATTCCAGGCCTGCTGGGCAAGAACGCCAAGCAACTGAAAATCGAGACCGGTATGTCCTTGATCACGTCCAGCTTCTTGGGGTTGTCCCATGATTTTCCCCGTCTCTGGCTCGGTAACGAGATTCGAAATACAATTGTTGATTCCACCATTTCCAGATCCAGTCTTGAAATAATCGATTGCGTAGTCGAATAGAGTGGAATTGTCAGTAAAAATACCAAATGCCATCACAGAGGCCATATTGCAAAGTTCCCAGTTGGCAAAGAAATGCTTGACATTGTGTTCGGATCCAGCGCTATGGTTGAGGAAATAGAGATTCTTAGCCAAGAAAGTCCTCTCAAACATGGCAGTGAAAGTAGCCAAACCGCTCTCCGCAAAAGGAGCATAATCTCGGATGAGTTCTGCAGCATTAACCAATTCATGACCTTGCAAACCAGTTGTAAGATACTGATCATCCATACCCTCATCATCAAAATTCTCTAGCTTTTCTCCCCACGCAGTGAGGATGGCCGCAGCAGCTTCAGCATACTGAACATCTCCCTCTATTTTCCAGCGCAATCCAAGTGCGAAAGCCGCAGCAGCATCGTGCCAGAGGAGCTCGGCGTTGGCGGTTATATCAGCAGTAGCATCGCGATAAACGCGCGCGACAGCATTGTTTGTGTAGTTTGATTGGCCGTAGGAAATGCTGGTGAGTTTATCCCATGAGCTTTGCCATGGATCGAGTTTTTGGGTGAGTTTAGATTTGATGCGTGTGATGTCGGTCTCAGACACAAGGAGGCCAGGATGAACGAAAGCGAATGTAGTGTTTACGAGAAGAAAAAGTTGGAAAAGGAGTGTGCAAGCCATTTTGATAAGTTTCAATTGGCTAACAAAACGAGTGACTAGAAATAAAAATAATTGCTAAGGACAAAACAAAATATTCAGTTTAGAAACATTTAAACAACTCCTCCATATGGGAGAATAGAGATCCAAAGTTGATTCCAACAAACTATATCACCCTGAATTCTGCGATCCCGCGTGTCTCTAATGAAACAACATTAATAACAATAGGAGCTCGCGGGTAGATCCGGCAATTATCTCCAACCGAAGAATGATCTACCAGACAGACTTGGACGGTTCAATCCGGGGCGAGGAGATATGGATGAAGGAAATAAAGTTGGTAACGGTTATGATTCGTCTGGCGTATCCCATAAATTTTGCAAAGTACGGAGTATATTAAAGTAGACTGGGATAGATCGCGGAAATTGAAGTACCCCGTTTGTTCGTCCCGAGTGGGGCACATCCACTTTTCATTTCATGAATAGAGGATTAGATAAGCTGGATGATTTTGGCTCTACCATACTCTATATAAAAGTATGGTTGATGTGGAATTGAACTCTGGTTTCGGTAGGTGCAATGTAAAATTGTTAGAAGGATATGGTTGATCGTAAACCTCAAAAGAAGAGAGATGCATACAAGAATTCTTACCGGCAACCAACTCATAACATATATGACTGCTGTCATATTGCCCTATACACAAGCCCAATGCTATCATTCAATAAATCGGCTATCAACTTCGATATGAATGTATCCCAGCCGGCATCATCTTTGTATATTACTTGCTCGTGGTCGTATCCACAAGGGTAAAAGACACACATAAATAAATAGATTTTGGAGTTAGCTGGAACTCCTGCTTTCTCAAAAATGTAGATACCTGCTTGAACAACTCGTCATGATAGTCAACACCTTTACTTGGACAATAGCTAACGCTAATGCGAGACTGCATTCTGGATGAGTGACAAACGGCTGACTAGCGAAGCAGAAATATTATCCTTTCGTCCCACCCTGTCCAATTCTCTACACCTTCTCGTCCTATCCTTCATTTCCCGGAAGGTTTATTCTAACTTTTCAATTCAAAAGTATGAATGATATTGTTTAGTCAAGATATTGGAAAATGTCCGATTTATTGATTCGTATCCATTCGGCCTACATTTTCATCTTATACCAGCCATCATTCTATTCCTCTACTTTTAGACTGTTCTCACAGAATAGACTAGGACGAGAGTTCCAAAGTTCGGATTTGAACAGGCGCAATTGGTTCGAACTTTTCTTCTCTGGATGACTTCTATTTCCGCTTGGTTCCATATTTCTAACATATAAATCTAGATGGTTTAATTTATTAGATCAATCGATATACAAACAGATAGTGTGGTTCGAGAAGTGCTTCGACGTTGCCGTGCCACGTGATCCTGAATTGGAAGTTCTTTCGCTTACACATTCAATCAAAAAAGAGCGAAAATCTTTGTCGCGGTCCATGTGGGGTAGTTTTTGCTATATTAATTGAGACAAGGACCAAAGCTACAACAAATATCAAGTATCTTTGATGGTCTAACGGTCATGATTTCCGCTTGTCATCAATTTGGCAAGTCGCGGGAGACCGGGGTTCGACTCCCCGTCAGAGAGATCTGAGCTCATGTCTCATACTTTTGCCTTCACGATGGTCGATCCATCAACTATAGTTAAATTCTAGACGTTGGATTTCTTGATAGCCAATATGTGATGTGAAAAGTTTTCGTGGCATATCATTTTTGTCAGAGAAGTGTCAATTCAAATTCCCAACATTACTCCGATGCCGGGGTAGCCAATGAAATCTTCTGTTTGTTCATTTCACGTGCCCTTTTCTTACTCCAATAGTATTTGTTGCATATCGTAAAATTGTCCGTCACAAACTCTTGGGGTTCGACTCCCTCCCAGAGGGGTATAATAATTAAAACTTAACGTCATTCTCCCTTTTTCCCAGGGACTTTCAGAACATTCACTAAATGAAATTTTCGAATTTATTTTTCATTCCTATGATTAGACTTATGATATCTCTATGTTCACCAAAGAAATGAATATGCAAAACTGGAAATTCCTGTAATTCATTCTCTCAGATTATTTCTCAATCATTCTAATCGGTACCAAACATTCATCGATCTCAACCACTTTGTTTTCATTGCTTTAACAAAATTCACATTACACCAATGAACACATTATCTTGAGCGTTGCTTCTATACAACATATGTAGACAATTACTCTGGCCTTTCTCTATCTTTCTCCTCCCGATTCAATGATATTGATAAAGCAACCTGGCTTATATCCTACCTCTGTCACTATCATACAGAAGCTTCACTGCATAGGTGACCGAAAAATCACGAGGATATTTTGGCATCACCCCAAGATATCTCTACCTGTGGATACTGAGTAATAGTATAGATCAAACAATGGATTGCTGGAGCATCTGACGTTCTGTTTCAGTGGTTCTGATAGATCTCGCACATCATATCATGCGTGATGGATTGATTACCCCTTAGATTTTGTATACCCTCGCGTTGAAGTTTACATCTGTCAGCGCTGGTTCTACGGTATACATGTGACATAATCACCATATTTTTTATTATCTTTTGATCATATTGTAACATTGAACATGCCAGAGACATTGCAATTTTGCTGGAAGACCATATGGCAGTCTGCTTGAAGCGAACTACACTTATTAAGGATTTGAGCACAGATTTCATTGTTGGATCAATCGCTTCTCAGCAGTATTTTTTCTGACAGATTATAAGTTACTAACATGTTGCGATGCTGGTGTAGCGTCTGGTTTCAATGGTTCTGTAAGTTTGCTCCAGAGAGGGTCGAGAAAGCCTTTTGTAGAATGCGGAATCGATGATATCTATAGTATCTCTGGGTTTCAAGACGTGTGCACTAAATGTCTAATTAAAACTATAGTGCCTATAAACTAAACTCTCCCTCGATGGCCAAGTACAAGAGCTATGACGACCAAAATAGCCGGTTTGGCTAGAAACCATCAATCCATCGAAAATGTGTCTGAAATCTTTACCATATTTCACCTTTCACCTTTTTGTAACATTTACCTTGACCGTCGCTCACAAAGATGACACATACTATTTACCGATACGTTACATATGGCGTTGGCCCTACTCAAGATATAGTTGCCTTTTAAATGGCCAATCCTTCCCTAAACGCAACAGAGATAGTGGGCCTTCAGGTACCTAACATGAGAGCCAATCTTCATGTGCCGATAGACTTTACAGCTACTTCAGACATGAATGATATGCTTTGAAAAAATGTTTGATCAAACTAAAGAGATAGCTCGATTGTTTTATTTTCTCTCCACATAAGTAACAGAATACACAATTCATTTAGCTTCAGTGATATCATTTCATAACGCCATCAATATTCTGTCGTACATAAAGAACCATGAGAGCCGTTAAATAGCCCTCGTCCAAGACCGCCACACTACCCAGCTAGACATGAATTCTCTTGCGTCTGACAGTCACTCATGCTAAAACCATTTGCTTTCCCACCATTGAATGCATCCGCACATGCATTGAACTGTATATCGCAACTTCTTTGTAAAGCGGCAGCTTCATTCACAAATGTATTACCATTGACCGAGAAAGGACGAGCTGAATCTCCACTGTTGGTGATAGGTGGTGCCGCTATACCTCCTAGTGCGGAAGCCGAGGAGCCTGCAGAAGAAGAGGTGGCAGGTGATGTGCTACTCGAGGCAGGTACCGATGATAATGTAATGGAAGGTACACTTTTTGCGATGCTGGAAGCGGTAGTTTTGGACGCTTTCGCTGCAGAGAAAGAAGATGAAGCTGATTTTATCGACCTTGCGGAGGAGCTTGCCACTGGGTTGGTGTTTTCCGAACCGGCCGCGACTGCGCTAGCTGCTAAAGCTGCAGCCGCTTGACCACCAGAACCTTGTGATTGTCAGTATGGTGTTTTGTTTCATGAGGGGAGGACAGAAAAAAAGAAGTGACGACTTACCATTATTAGACGCAGCATTTGCTATAGTTCCGGATCCGATGACAGTAAATTTAGTACAATCATCTGCTGTACCTCGCTGGGCAACCGGCATGATTGCAGGTTGATGATTAGTTGATGAAGCCATCGTGCATACACGATAGTTACCAGCCGGTAAGCCGCCGTTAACAGTAGCCGAAAGAAGTCCTTGGCCGTTTCCAGCATCATTGATACCCTTAAAAAAGGCGAATTGAGTGGGATCCAAAGTTTCAGTGGGGTTGAGACTGGACCCCATATCCTGCACGGTTACGTGTGTATGCCCAATCACTATCTATAATGAAATATTATGATTAGCAATGGCCTAGCAAGCAGAGGACACCAGAAGGACAATGATTGATTTAGATATCGAGTGGACGTCAAGCGGCGTGAAGTGAGAACACTTACTCCGGATGAATCAAGCTGCTGTGGAGCAGAGAAGTAAGTGGAATCCGCATTAGAAAAGGAACCTGGAGTGATGTTGGACATTTGAACAGTAATATTGAATGTCGTATCAGATTTTATCGTTGCGCTACCAGCCAAAGGGAATGTAATGATCGACGACATCATTTTGTTTTTCGCGGGAATTTGACCCATCGCTGAGAGGCAAATGAGCAGATGTCTGATTAGAGATAGGGAGACACTCACGGATTCCATTACAAGATCCTGTTACAATCTGAAGACCATTGGTAAGAGTTTCTCCTGCGCAAAAGTTTATGAAGTTGTTTTGTGAAGTCGCAGAAGCGACCTCGAACGCCTCATTACCACCAATTTCAGTGAGTCCGTCACTGAATGAGCCGCTTGCAATGGCGTTTTGTGCAAGGGTAAGACTGGTGTCATCGCCGCTCGTTGCCGTGGCACGTTTGTGGATTTCCTGGTGTCTCCTTCCATTTAGGCCCTTGACCAGGCCAGTTGAAGCAAAGAAGACGAGAGCTACTAACTGAAAACGCATTTCAATTTTTGATTGGTCGCTTCTCGTGCCTTTCAGTGTCTTCGTAATAAAGGGATATAAGTTATAAAAGATATGGTATATATTTTACAGTGTAGAAGCGACGCAGTCGTGTAAGTTCAGATGAAAGAATGAAGAAAGTACTATCAAAGCACGAAAAAAGAATGTAAATATCAAGAAAGAACGTATGCGCACAAAAAGAAGGTGAATCGAGGAAGTCGAGATTAAGACTTATGATGAAAAAAACTTCTCCCTGACGGCAGCATCATCACTCATATATGTCTTCTTTCTGAATTTCAACTTGCATATCTGTGCCGTGAGCCGACGATGAATGGTAAGCCCAGCTTGATCTTGACCATTTTCGACGATTTCATTTGCTAGCAAGACTCGCATTTTGTCAATTGAACTTGTATCACGCTGTTTGATTCGCCTATCTTGATTGATGGTTTCGGTTTCCAGGAGATTTGAACAGGCTGTATTATAATTTCGTTCCAAGGAGACCCAGAGGGTAACAGGTAACGCAGGGCTATTGTAGCCCAGCCTTGAGATCTTATGAATGAAGATAGATTACAAGAAGGACAACATTAGAACGGCCGTTGGGGAAGTCGCAAACAATACGAGAACGATGACGAAAAGGCTTAACGATGAGAAGTCTTTCAATATTTCCATGGGTATTGTAGCTTGGGATGAACATGTCTCATATGTTAAAACATGATACGGTTGTTGCAAGAGATGAAAAACCTCGCGTCTGGAATTGTAAGCTGCAATAATATGACACCCCTGAACCCCAAAACTTTGGGGAAGGCTGAATGCATCAACTTAAGCCACAAATATCGGCATCGAAATTGGATTTTTTTAACACCGTCTAGAATGGATGCAATCCAGAATGGAATTGTATGTTCAAAATTCATGTTTATGAAGTTATTAATGTCAGTATTTTGATGGTGGCGTGGAGCATCGAAAAGCAATCGGGCCATCTTATCTTATCGCCGGATAACCTCATCCTTGCCATTGTCTCAGAACATGTACAGCGGGTAACATGAGACAAAGACAACATCACAGGTGGGCGTGGGATGAAAGGCTGCATCGGATGAGACTGATCAATCCATTGCTAGAACCCCCTCCTTCAGCCCTGCTCACACCGTATTGCCGTTTTCTTCCATATAATCTGATCCTGCATGCTTGTGAGTTCACGAGCTTCGTCTGATCATGCCAGGCAGATATCATCCCAGAATTTTTGAACAAGGTTCAAAGATGCTCCAGTGTTGCTCAAACTCGCATCAAACTGATCTAGCTTACCTTTAATTCTTGCTGGTTTCCTTTCATGTAAGTCGTCTTGGCAATATGGGGGAACAGCCAAAGTACACCCACGCTGCTACAGGTGTGTGGACATATGGGCAGGTGTCAAATCATCACATTTTTCGTCTCAAGAATATGCATATGATATAAGACCCTTCCCTCGAAGATCTGATCATCTTCTATTTGTTGAGTATTTCCTCTCTCTCGCGTACTCGTTTTTGCTGTTTATCTAGTTTTCACGTCTGGAACGTCTTTCATTAAGTGTTTTTAATTATTAGGGCTAGTTTGGATGTACAAATCCGCACTAAATCCGCTGAATATTCCATACTTTTTGAAAACGGATTTTGAATTTATATTTGGATATCAAATTGCGGATTCTATTAAATAATTTGTATTTCAATAAATTTAGTATATTTTGAAATAGGGAGAAAATGAATCATTTTAAAATGATATTAAATAATTTATATTTTCTAATAAATTTATATAGGAAAATAAAAGTATAGATTGAAAACAAGAATTAGAAAAAATTGATTTTGTTTTCAATCTAATAAATAATTCATATTTTTTTAGATTCTTATAAATCTTTTATTTTATATTTATATAATATTATAATAATATTAATACTTTAAATACCTAAATTTATAGAATATCTTTATTTTTCTTTAAATCGTTTTTGATTTCAATTTAGATTACTTTATATTTCTATTCCTTATATACTAGAATATATATAATTTAATTTAAAAGCAAATTCTTTAATATTCTTTTTATTATATTATTAAATTGTATTATTAATTTAGATTATAATAAATCGCCTTTTTTTTATTTATAATAAGTAATAATAAAATTAATAAAGTTGATTAATTTATTTCTATTTTAATATATAATTTAATTTCTATTATTAGTTTTTTTATTTTATTTCAATTTTAAAAAAAAGGATTGATATTTCTAATAAATTTAAAATATAATCTCTTTTTGATTCTAAATATTCTTAATATTATTAAGAATAATTATATATATCTCTATATACTTTTTAATTTTAATCGATTTTTATTATAAAAAGATAAAGTTATAATATTCTTAATATATTTTAATTAATTAAAAACTATATATATTTTTATATATTATAAATTAGTATAAAATTATATATAATATAATCAAAGCTTTTTCTTATTCTAAAAAAAATTTTATAGATATAAAAAATATCTTATATAGATTTATTTATTGATTTATTCTAATATATTTTAAAATAATTTTATTAAATTTTAGATATTATAATAATATTATATTTATTAATAATAAAATTACTGAATCTAATTATATAAATTGCTTTTTCTTGAATAATAGAAAATGAAAAATATTGTAAATATTTTGTGAATTATTTAGATACTTTTGATAATATTTTTATTTTAATAATAATACTTTTTGAAGATTAATTTATTTATTTTAATTATAAGGAATATATTGTACAAAATATTCTTATAATAATCACTTTTAATTTATAATTTTGTTATATATTAACTAATTAGAAAAATTCTGCGAATAATTAAAAGGTGTTTTTAGATATTTTGATTTCAAAAGATTTACAAATTTCAGAAGATTATTATTATTTAAATAATATAGAATATATAAATACTAAATAGATTCTTATTTTATTTAAAGAAATAAAATATTATTTACAAGAATAATTAGGATCTAATAAAATATTTAAAATATCAAAAGAACTTTTAATCTTTAATATTCTTTTTATAAAATAAAATAAAAGAATTTTTAAAATATTCAAAATACACTTTCTATTTCTAATATAATAATAAAAATATTTATATATAATTCAAATATATATAATTTATATTTTATATATTTATATAACTTTATTCAATAAAATAGCTTTAAAAAAAATTCATTTAAAGTTCAATTTGATTATATTATTAATTATCTTTTAAATACTATAAATAATATAATAATAAATTCAAATAATAATAAATTAGATTCTATTTTATTCTAATTTATAAACTATTTTCAATAAAAAGTTATAAAGATTATATAAAGAGATTATTACAAGGTAAAAAGAGTTTGAAAAGTATAAGATAAAGAAAAGTAATATTATTTTGAAATAAAACTTAATAAATATATATAATTAGAATAAGAAGTAATTATTAGGGTTTCTTTATTTACTATTATCTTTTGTTAAAACTTTTAATATTTTTTCGAATTCTTTTAGAAATTGAAATAGATTTTTATTTTATTTTATATAATAGAGTAGATTTCAAATTTATTTATATTTCATTCTATTTTTAAGAATCCAAAATCTATATCTTTTTGAATTATAACTTTTATTAAAAATTTATTATTTTTTAGATTCAAAAAGCTTAATATTATATTTTTCTTTTAATTTCAAAATATTAGAATTCTAAAAAATAAGATTTTTTTAAACAATATATTATTAATAATTAAATATTTTATAAGAAAGTTTATTAGGATATAAATATATTTTATTAATATATTAATAATTTAAAAAAATAATAAGTGAAAGATAGAAAATGAGAAATGGCTAGAGAGAAATAATTAGAAAAAAAAAAAAAATAAATCTATTTAAATAAATCTTTTATTTATATAAAATTTAAAGATTTTTTATTAATTTTATTATTTAGATTTTTCAAATTTATTATAAACTACTCTATATTAGTTTTTCAAGCTTTAATTCAAATCAAGATCTTAAAAAGTCTAATTGTCTAAACTTATTTATTAATGTTTTAAAGAATTAATAAATATTAAATTATTTTTATACTTATTTTAATTCTTAATTGATATTTAAATCTTTCAAATTAATTTTTTCAAGCTTTTTAATTTCATTATTGTTTTTTTTATTCTTAGATTTCTTCTTTTCCTCTTTCTCTTTCTTTTTTATATCAATATTGATTTCCTAATTCTCAAAATCTATTTCAGAATTATCTGATTTGGATTCTGATATAGGGTTATTATTATTTTGAATAAGATTTTTTACTTTCAAAACTTTTCTAAATAAAATTAATTAAAATCAGATTTTTCTTTAGATTTATATACTAGAATTATTATATTTCAATATTCAATTAAATTTATATAATCATTTTATTTTATTTATTCTTTAATACTTTTAGATAATCAAAAGTTTTGCAAAATACTTTTAAAATATAAGAAATCTAATGCTTTTTTCTATTTTTCTCTTTTTTGACTTTTAGCTTTTTAAAAATTATTTTTGCCTTTCAATTATATATATTTCTAGCTTTTTGCTTTTATAAATACTCTTTTTGCTTTTTTTATATCTTTTTCTTATTAGATTTAATAACTCTTAGCATTTTTTTGATTTTTTAAAGTTTAGAAGAATTTCAATATTTTCAATATAAAGTTTATTATAATTAAAAGTATATTATTTATATTTATAATATTTTCAGATTTGAAATAATTATATTTTATAAAAACAAATATTATAATTAATTGAAATATATAATATATAATATATAAATCTATAAATATATATTTCTAATCTCTTAATTTTTAATATTCATTTCTTTTGAATTCTATTCTTAAAAATTTTTAAATATAAATTCCTTAAATAATTAAAACCTTTTTTATAATAAACTAAAATAATTCAAATATAGATTTTGAAAACTTTATATTCTAGATAATTCTATATTTATAATATAAATTATAAATATATTATATAAAGAAACTATATTATATATTAATTTCGGAAAGAGATTAATAAATAAATAAAAACTAGGTGTAGATAAAAGATTATCTTTTTTTAAAAATAAAAATATAAAAAAAGCTTTGAAAGTAAAAGCTTAAAGTATAAGAAAATAGTTTAAAAAAGGAGAAATAAAGGTTATTAAAAAAGCTTATTAATAGAAAATAGGAAATGAATAAATATATTTTTATTCTAAGCTTCTTTTTTATTAATTAAATATAGCTATTATATTATAAGAAATTAAAAAATATTAAAAATTAATTGAATTATTTTTAAAAAAAGTCTTTTTTTAATATTTAATTAAAAAGATTTCAAATCAATTTATATGTATAAAAAAATATTAAAAATAGAATATTATTATTTTTATAATAGTTTAAAAGATAGCTAAATCCTTTATAATTATTTATTTCAAAAATATATTTTCTATTCTTTTTATTTATTAATTAAATAGATTATTGATTTAATTTATAATACTATAATATTATATATTTTATGTAAAAAAATAAATTATTAAAGATATTAATAATATTTTTCTTTAAAGAATAATGAAGTTGGCAATCCTTATTATTAATGGATATTATATTTTAAAAAACTAAACTTTATTATTTTCTTATTAGTTGTTTTTTATTAATCATTTCTTATTAGTTATTTTTTATTTGCCTGGCTCTATATACTTATTTTATTCATTTTATATACCCTCAGTTAGTAAATAGATATTAAAAGTATTTATATATTATTAATATTAAATAAGATAATAGTATTGAGAGATATAATATTAATATCTAATTGAATAAATATAAAGATTATATTAATAAAATATATAATAAAGAAAACAAAACTATTAAATCAAAAGCTATTAGAGCTTGAAAGTTATTCTTTATTTATAGCTTATTATAAAGGGATAGATAATATATAAATTTCCTTTTCTTTCTTTTCGTATTATTTTTAAACTTTCTTTAAATCTTATTTATAAACTTTATTTAAAACGGATCTATATATATAAATATTAGTAGCTTATTATAAAATTAATATATATCAAATACTGGATATTATAAGAAATTAATAAATTTAAAAGCTATATCAACTTTTAGAATCTTATATTTACTAAAATAGTTTTATATAATTATATAGTATATTTAATATCAAAGAGATAATAAATTATTAATTTGAATATATGAAATATTAAAGTAATTTCTTGATTTATTAAAATCTTTTAAAGATTTATTTATATAAAATAAATTATTTGTAATTTTAGAAAAAACAGTTTTTTGAGATCTTTTTGATAATATATAGCTTATAATAAACTATTTATATTACTCCATTTCTAATTTTAAATCAATTAATAATAAAATATATTTCAAAAATATAAATTTTTTATTTTATATATTCCAAAGCTATATTTATTTCATTTTTTAGTATTTTTATTTAAAAAAAATATAGAACAAATTGAATCAATAAGATTATTTTTTTTATTTAATGAAATAATTGTTAATTATATTAAAACTATAGAATAATATATAAATTTATTATTAGCTATATAAATTTCGAATAGAAATTAAAGAATTAATTAATTTTCTATATAGTGATTTTAATATTAATAATATTTTTGATTATTAACTTTATTTATTTATAAAAGTATTTTTTATAAATAATTAGATATATAAAACTATATAATATCTATTTTTTCATTAAATCTAATATTTTAACCAAATAAATTAAAAAGATATTAATATTTTATATAATATTTCTTAATTTAAATAAAACTAATTAAATCAAATAAATAATATAAAAAGAGAAGATCCATATTAATATAATTTTCTTTTTAATTTAATTATTAGTTAGATTCTTGATATTATTAGTATTTGATTAATACTTTAAAGAAATAGTTTATATAAATTGATTATAATAAAGAATTCTTTATTTAATAAATTAATTTAATTATTAATTAATTTTTTATAAATAAATTTATATTAAGCTTAAAAAAAACTTTTTATAGAATTTCTATTTAAATTAATTTATAAATTTCTTTGAAATATCTTTAATTTCAGTTTTTGAATTTATTGATTTATTCTTTCTTTTAATAATATTAATAAAAAGATTCTCTTTATTCTCTGAATTATTATAGATATTATATTTTGAATTTTGATTAATAATATAGTTATTATTGTTATTCCTTTTATTATTATTATTCTTATTATTATTTGTATTAATATTTATAAAGAATATCTTATTAGCTTTGGAATCCTGTTATATATTATAAATTAATATAATTGAAATAAGTTTTATTTAAATAAAATATTTATATATAATTTTTCTTTTTTGAAAAAAATATCTTTTTTTGATTAAAGATAGTATTATTATTATAGAAGGAATTAGATAATAAATCTTTAATAAAAAAAAAGGAAAAGATATTATAATCTCAAAATTAACTTTGAGATTTGCTTACTTTTGCTATAAGTTTAGACTTTTATTTGAAATAACAAATTGGGGGAAAAAGGCTTTAAGTTTTACTTTAGGAGCTTTTATTTCTTTTTTATATAAATATAAACTTTCGATTGTTATTATTATTAATAGTTTTCAATTTCCTAAATATTTTCGAAATATTTTAAATAATGATTATATTATTAATTATTAAAACAATTATAAAAAATAGCTTTAAAAATATTTTAAAATAAATTCTTTTTTTAAAAAAAAAAGAAAAAAGAAAAATAAAATCAAAATATATTTTTTGTATAATTCTAAATATTTTTTCAAAATTATTATTTATAAAAGCTTTTTATATAATTTTTAATATTAAATATAGATTTTTAATATCAAATTAAAATTTAAATTAAATATTCTAGAAAAACTATGAATTATTTAGTGAATTTGATATATAAATTATAAAACCATAAATCAATAATCTACTCTTTTTAAAGCAAATTACTATTATTACGAAATCCATGGTGATACAAAAAGCGGATTATTTCAGCGGATTCAGTACGGATTTTGCAATCAAACGAGCCCTTAGTATATATTCTTATCACATTGTTTTATTTTTCATTGTCACTTCACCGATTAAAAGCAAAAAATGAGAACAACCATGATGCATTCAATACTATTTGTTGCAATCCTCGGAGCCATAACTGTCGTCAACGCTGCTCCAGCATCGACAACCGTAAACCCCGATGCAGTTACAGGAACAACATGTACCGATCCTTCAACGTAAGTGTTCAGCTACGGAATGAGTGTATCAAGTACTGATATATTCACAAGAACTCTTGTGTCTCATGATATCAATGTGGCTCTTCTCGGAATTTGTGGAGGTATAGCCGGGACTATTCAACAAGTGAGTTAATTCCTCTATTTTGGGAGAGGAGAAAAGTTCTTCAAATGGAAGGATGGGAGAGTAAAATGATGCATGAAGTATTACCAGTATATGGAAGCACATAAGCCGAATAGATTGAGAGGTTGAAAATGGATGCATGTTTCAAGCGAAAATATTAGAGTGGATTTGGATCACAAGTTCTCTATGGTATACACTCACCACTTCAAGAAGGGATCGAAATCGAGGGAATCAATTGGTTTATCCTTGAGCTTGATAGAGGAGGGGTGGAAGAGAATTTGAAAATATCCGTCTTTACTTGCATCTCTGCACCAGATCATTAACACTTTGTGAAACAGTGCGGTGGGGAGCCTACATCAACAACTGGAGAATCGGGCACTGCTCTCTTAAAACTCAATGCTGCCACATCTGGCCAGACAATTGATATCACGAAAGGCAGATGGGAAGGCTGTATGAGAGCAGCGCGGGCGGTGTGCGGGGACAGTCCTTTTACCAGTACTTGCATTGGTGGAGCGAAAGTAAATGCTGGAAATGTAGATTTCGAACTTTCTGTCGCATAATAAGGTGTTCTAAAACTTACAATGGCGAAGGAAAGGAGGTAAACTGTACAATGGGCACATGGCCAATAACTTTAACTATTAATTCTGTATATATACCCACATTTAACTTTGGTAATATGGAATGAGATTGTACTACATAGAAAATGTGCGAAAGCTGATTTGACGTTCGAATGTTTTATGAATACACCACAAATTACATGAATGTAGGCATCCCCAGCTCCTTTCTGGCGAATATCAAGTGTAAAGATTCAGGGTCAACTGAAGCCCAATCACGTGTTATATGTATGCATAAAATCATGTGATGAAATTTGTGGTAGGATCTTATTCGTGGAAATTCGTAAAAAGTGACAAACAAATGAACAAGGCCGCGACCACATCTGAGGTACGCGGGTACGGTATATGAACTTCTTAGATACGCACCCAAAAACAGAAAACTTCTTGTGCATACTCTCCGACCTCTAAAGCCAGCCTTTACACATTTCAACTGCTTTCGTCCATCGCGAAAACTTTTCCTTACTTTCTTCTGGAGTAATTTTAGGATGGAACTCAGTTTTTCCTATGGTATTAATATTCTTCAATTCGTCAAAAGTTTCCCAAACCCCGACTGCAAAACCTGCGGCGATGGCGGCACCCAATGCTGTCGTCTCCAGCATTCTTGGACGCTCAACCGGGATAGAAATAAGATCGGCTTGAATCTGAAACTGTTTTAGACATTGCCCGAGATGGAAAGGACGGTACAATAGAACTTACTTGCATGCAGAGATCAGAATTACTCATGCCTCCATCGACGGCTAGTTCAGCGAGTTTCTTCCCGCTGTCCTTTTCCATCGCGTTCAATATTGCTTTCGTTTGGAAGCAAGTCGCCTCCAAAGTAGCACGAGCAATATGACCTTTTTGTGTATATGCTGTGATTCCAACTATTAACTGGTCAGTACTTAAGTTGATAAATGTCGGCATGGATCTTACAAAGAGTGCCGCGAGCATCGTCGTACCAGTATGGTGCGAAGAGCCCACTGAATGCAGTCACAAAAGTGACACCGCCATTATCTTCTACAGTCTCAGCTAGCTGACTGATCTTGGCCGAAGAGTCGACGAAGCCAAGATTATTTTGAAGGAACTTGATACTGGAGCCTGCGACCGCAATACTTCCTTCCAAAGCATATTGCGGTTTACCATCAAAGTCATACGCAACTGTACTCAAAAGCCCATGTGTGGAAACTACAGGCTTGTCACCAACATGGTAGAGAAGGAAGCAACCTGTCCCATAGGTATTCTTTGCTCTACCTGGTGTGAAAGCTTTTTGTCCGACAAGCGCCGCACTTTGATCACCTAACACACCCGTGATAGGGACACCCTTCAAGATTCCCGTTGTAAGAATACCGAAGGACTCGCGATCCGACGACCGGACAATCTTGGGGAGACTATTACGTCAGTGCGTTCTTTGATTGCAAAAGAGCAAGAGACTTACTGAAGCTTATCCATATCAAATCTGAAAAAATCCAAAAGCTGCTCATCATACTTGAGAGTATGCAAATTCATGAACATTGAACGCGATGCATTCGTGGGATCTGTAACGAACACATTCTTCTTTGGTCCACCATTGAGCTTATAGATAACCCAGGAATCAACGGTACCAAACGCAAGATGGCCTCGATCATATGCGTCTGAGACTTTACTATTATTTTCAATCAACCACAAAAGCTTACCAACAGAAGGATAAGTAGATAGAGGAAGACCGCAGAGACCCTGCAATTGATTAGATCCAAGTCGAGCTTTCAACTTTCTGACTAATGCCTGATTTCTGGTATCTGTCCACACTATAGCATTTGCTAGAGGTTCTCCTGTTTCGTGGTCCCAGACGACTGTTGTCTCTCGTTGATTTGTGAGTCCTACGGCTTTAATCTGTCTCGCTGAATGACCTTGTTGCTCAAATTTTTTGACAGCACCTTCAATACAAACTTCTATCGAGTCGATAATTTCAAGAGGATCATGTTCGTGCCACCTTTTCATGGTCAGCTACGCGTTGCCAGTGTTGATGGGATGCACAAACCCTGATTGTGGATATATCTGAGAGAACTCAACTTGATGTGATGCAACTGGCTCGCCGTCTTTGTTGAAGATTAAAAATCTTGTGCTTGTGGTACCTTGGTCTATGGAACCTATGAAAGATTCATGGTTCGATACTGACACGAAGGACTCATGGCTAGAAACTGAAGTGTGGTCACCCATATTGATTATGTTACTATTCACAGATAAATGTGCTAAATCCTCTGGCTTTTGTAGCCACAATGGAAGAGGGTTGTATGGAGCAAGGCATCTAGAACCCCTCGCCCGGACGAACTTTCTCCATATTTTAAGCATGTGATGCTTAAACGGACCTCCAGCTAAAGAAACAATTTAGTGAATTCGAATTGCATGTACTGAAGGAGCGGGATCAATTCCGCTAACATCTTGTGGCCGAGCAAAGTCTATGGTCTTGGTATTGGCCAACAGATTGACTTACTAGCGTAACGTTACGGTATCACAGTCATCAAAATCTGCATACTGAGTGGCCAATCCACTGGGACGTCAAAATGTTTGATACTATCGTACCATTCAATCTATGCTGTCAATATTGACTGGGATCAGAGATGAATTGAATCAGCATCTTAGCCACCGGCTTAACTAGCCCAAGAACTAGATGGAAAGTGCGATTGTAGGGAGAGGGCACCATCCTGATCAAAACACTCAGGGATGGATATAGCGAAATTTCGATCAGAAATGAAGGGTATTGCTTACATAGTACAGCAGATGCAGGTCGATATATCAATCTCAAGAGCTCGGACGATTACCTCCATTGAGGATTTTCACCAAGCAAATTTCTCACACCATGCTTGTTTTCTCGTCATGCCTCGGCAGGTATCGGCACACTGCATTCATGGACACCACCAGATGATGCTAATTACACCTTCATTGCGACAGAATCGAACCAAAAAGATTCGGAATTATGATTGTTACGATTTTTGTGTGCTCATAATTCAAAGCCACTGATAGCAAAGGCCAAACACAAGTGAAGAGAGAGTGGCAGAGCCACTATGTTTGTTGAAGGCTTCTAGAACAAATAAGACTAGTGAAGTTCTCGGTTCATGAGACGGCTCTTGCACCGCCATCTACTACCCCGCAATCTCGCCATATGCAAGAACACACCAACCTTAGTGCCAAATGACTATGATTGCAACCCACAAATGATTACCAACGCAAAAGAACAAACGGGTCAGCATCCCCACTCAAGTTAGATCTGCATTAGGGATATTCCAACGTTTTCAAATCTTAGGAGTCGTCATGCACATGGCGCCCCACCAAGAATTCCAACGATATGATCCTCAAATGCTTGGGTCAGTCCAAAACTCCAGACCACCTACAACGATGATCCTAGAAGCTTTTTTGTCGGGGGACCATATGATTATTAAAATCAGTCCCAGGATGACATTTTGTTCAACATGTACAAAACCAGCCATTGACGTATCAAGTTAGGAGATCAGTCGCCAGTGGTGAACCTCATGGGAAAACATACTTCAAGCCTTCCGAAAACAGCCCGGATGTCCGTCAGCCATTGGGTTGGAGCTCCTAAGATAGAACGCCATGCATTTGTGAAATTCGAAAATGTGTGAAAGTTGGCGTTGTTTTAATAAAGAGGAGATATATATTGGCAACCACCTTAAATGTACTTAGCCATCCAGCATAGATATCGGCAACACCGTCGTGCCTGCTCTTCCTGGAACTATCTCCATGTACTGCGCCATAAATCAGGTCTACACCATGCCGAGAAAGGCATTGCTACGATGTCGAGTATCACAGAGTTATACACCCGAGACTAGGATATGTAAATTTCTACCCATCGGGCAGTCAAGTTGACCACGCCTATCTGGAAGATGGGGTTTGATGGGAAGTACCGCTTCAGAACCATATATTGTGAATACGATCTTTGCGCTGTCATACCATTGATTCCATCGAGGAAACTGTGCAAAGGAAGAATTCATCCGAGGTTGGAAATTTGAAGCCTTGTGTTGGCAAAATATTGGATTACAAGACTAAAAGGTTGATGGTGACGCTCTCACTATCTTAGTTATTCTGAAGATGCCATCATAGCTCGCACGAATTTTGTCAAGAGATCGACGTGTGTTTGGTTTGGTCATAATAGTCTTTTGAACTACCATCGAGCTTGCTTTCAAGTTAGCGTGGACTAGAGGGACTAAGTCTATTTCACATTGTGATTAATCTTAATGCTCTATTGGCATTGTTGATGCGGGGTTAAATGACCAAGACTGCGCCGTAAACCACCGTTTGGTTGCAACAAGGATAGACCGAACTTATTGATGAGCTACCCCCCTTACATTCTTTGCCGGTCATCCAGAGCTCATCATAGCATGCTGTGGTGATGCCACTTTCCATTAGTCGGCAAAAAGGCATGTTATACATGCCGTTAACACACTCACGATGTTACAATTCCTTGATTCTTCTAGCATTGTGATCACTCGCATGCAGCTGAACTCACAGTTATTTAATATGACAATCTCTCGGGTAGTTCAAACTGAGCTATCTAATCAATTCTCCTCCATACGTTCCGCACTTACAAGGGGGGAGTTTTGAGCATCTAGGAGGTCCTCTGGTGTCTCCTCTCAAATCGGCAGCTAGGACGGCCAAGTATTTCCTTGGTAAGGCCGTCCAAAACGGCAACTTGACCTCTTCATGCAACTCAGAAGCGCCAACATAGTTTGTTTCTAAGTTTTTCTGTTTAGACTACTGCCTCGGCATGCTACTATACTCACAATCGCGCTGCGATAGTTCCAATATTACAGACTTGGTGTTCACATGTTCGTTTCATTAGGGGTCGTAGCTTCGAATTCAATGCGGTGTTTTCCGCTTCTCAGAATCACACAAAGGGGTATTACTCAAAAATTCAAGCTACATATAGAACAGCAACCATCTCTTGCAGGTCCATCATCATTACATATATCCAAGTTTACATTCACAGTCGCCATTCCACACCTTCAATTTCTCAATTTCCCATGATGAGTCTCGACAATCAAGGGTTGACCATTCCTACTGTTAACAATGACAAGCACATGGGGATAGAATCCCAACACTCCTCGCCAAACCTCTCGTCAAACGAATCTACGTTGGATGGACACAACATACAAACAATCTCCAGTAATGGTAGTGGTGCTTATGCAGAACATGGTCCTGGAATCGATCATAAGATCCCACAAGAACTCGAGATACAGTCCAAGCCAGACCTCTTATGGAGTCGAATTCGACATACCATGCGAGAACCATTTTCGGAATTCTTTGGTGTATTTATTTTGTGAGAAACCACCCAAACTCTGAGGGTTCCGCGATACATAGAACCTCTTTCTTTCTTGTTTAATAGTCACTGACATTCAGATAGGATCTTGTTTGGTGATGGCGTGGTTGCGCAAATAGTCCTTAGCTCGGGCGAGAAAGGCTCCTATCAATCAATATCTTGGGGATGGGGGTACGTATTCGCCCTGCTCTGAAGGTCACATTGGCTAAAAGCATTAATAGCATTGGAGTTATGCTTGGAGTCTATGCTTCAGGCATTAGCGGTGCCCATATCAATCCAGCTGTGACATTCGCAAACTGCGTCTTTCGAAAATTTCCCTGGCGCAAATTCCCTATCTACATGTTGGCGCAAGTGTTGGGCGCAATGTGCGCCGCCGGTGTGGTCTATGGTACGGCAGTTCCAAGAATTTATAATGCCAAGATCTAATAAGTTGATTCTTGTAGCAAACTATAAATCTGCCATCGATATGTTCGAAGGGGGGAATAACATTCGAACTGTGGGCCTTAACACATCATCTGCAGGCATATTCTGTACCTACCCCGCCCCTTTTATGACAAAGACAGGTCAATTCTTTTCGGAATTCATCGCAAGTACGATACTTATGTTTTGTATCTACGCTTTACAAGACAATGGTAATTTAGGTTCTGGAAATCTTACCCCACTTGGACTCTTCTTCGTAATCTTTGGTATTGGAGCTTGCTTCGGATGTAAGTGGTGGTTTTTTTTCAATCACTCATCACACTATAAATAGCCAAGATACTAATACGCGACTCTTCATTAGGGGAAACTGGATATGCAATTAATATGGCTAGAGACTTTGGCCCAAGATTGATGAGCTACTTCCTTGGGTATGGTAACGAGGTATGGAGCGCGGGGAACTATTACTTTTGGGTACCTATGGTAGCGCCATTTTTCGGATGCTTGTTTGGAGGTTGGTTGTATGGTATGTGCTTGTTATCCTTCATACTCTTACTTTTAGGGAATATTTTCTGATATACAGGTATAGATGTCTTCATCTTCACTGGTGAGAGCCCTATCAATACTCCTTGGATGGGATTGAAGCGGCTTATGCCTAGGTGTCTCGGGAATAAAAAAGAACATTCGGTAGTGTGAAGCTAATGAGAGAAAAATGAGCTTGGTACCGATGCTAATCCTCTATGTACATTAATGAGAATAGCATTGTTGCATCAGATGGCTGAATTGCCCCCATTTGGATAGAATCTTAAGTACCGAACCGGTGCCAACGGTAAACTTTACAGGGAAGGAAAAAAGGAATCAACCGGCTTATTCTGCCTTCTTAAGGGCTAAAACACTTGATCATACAATAAGGTGTCGGAAAAATAGATAGGAACTTTTTGGCAACTTTCAATATAACCTTAAAATTAACTAGTCTAAACTAAACGAACACTATTTATCCTAGATCTTCATCTGGTTATATTTGGTGTAGTTTCACGCGTTCATATGATAGTCCTCAAATTGTTTCTTGATATGTCATTCATTGCAACAAGACGAATTCTAATGATTTCTTGGCCCCCCTTTAGCTTCCCACTAAGCGCCAAGCCCCACCGTGATTTTGTTAATCTCATCCACATTGTTATTTCCATCGGGATTTCATTCACTCGACCACAAATTTATTATTTAAATAATAGGTAGACCCACACAAACACTGCAATTAGCAGTCCACGTTACTCGTCAGCCAACGGGATACACGAGAGTTCAAGTCATATGATGGATAGCTCATAAGAACCGGCATTAAGTGGTCATTGCAGATCTGATCATAACAATGTGCAATGAAGTCAACAATAACAAAGCTAGAACTAGTTTCAACGGTTTATAGTGCCTCTTGACTATGTGGAGATAGCGCTTGACTGGAAATTTAGCGCGAAATGACAGATGAAATGACCGAGAAGATTCAGTTGGTTCGGGCCTCCAGATATGCTAGTCTCACGCTTGTCGTAATGCAACAACCCACCCTACTACCGTATGGGATATTCTTCTCTCTCCGGGCCGGTAATAACTCTGCATTATCGTAAACAAGTCCATTATTGCCGATAGCAATTTCTTTGCTGGAAGAACGCTATTAGTAACTTTTAGCATTTTCTCGCTTAGTTATGGGGTATTTTTGGGGCCAATAGTAACAAAATTCAATTCTCTTGTAGTGTGATTGGTCTGAGGACGACTTCATCATGCATTATCTTTGCGAGCTTAACCTAAGTGCTTTATTTGGAGATTGTTTCTAACCTTTCAAGTACTTGTTGGTTCAGAGTGAAGCTCATTTCATATCTTCATACACCTCCCTTTAGCCGATACATGCAGATTGAGACTATTGATAACTATTATTCATATTTGCATCATTGTATTCTAAAATTGTAGATTGCTTCTATCAAGTCTACAGCAACATGATTTCAACTAGTCATGACGGTGAAGCTTAACATAATACCTTAGCTTTTGCATACGCTATTCTTGGAACGGCAAACCTGTGACGTAGCTTTCCTTAATCAAGTACCATTAGAGCAAGGATAACTCTCCGAAGAGCTATCGTTGTTGTTGTCATAAATCCGAAAGACATTATTGCTTGTTTGTTTACCCGAGAGCACCCGTGCCGTACTAGCCTTTCGTTTTCAAAACAACAACTTACCTGACACTTAATTACTACATCTAACAACTTAAAAAGTATGGCACACAGTCAGCGTCAAGGCTCTCGTCAATATTGCCTCATTTTCTTATCCGCGTCCGCAATTCTTGAACGCGAATCATGTCTTTCGGCATTACATTACCATTCCAGTTCAGGATTCCTTTACTACAGAATCTAAATAATGAAAATAGGCTACCAAATACTATTCTCGAAATTAGTTCTTCGTTATCTCAATTTCTCACAACGAAAAATCACTCGCTCTAAAAATAAAACTCACAAGATTATGTAGACACAATTCAAAACTCTGTAAACTACTGTTTGTTGCAGCACAGACACTTATTAATGCCTCCATCACAAAGGCCGGAAAGTTTCCATATACCTGTACATGGGTTCGTTCCCGCTTACACATTCACCTCTTGAGCATACGTATACTTCATTGAGATATTCGCCGTCATAATATGCTTCGTAAGAGACGCACATAATGATATTTGGATAACCTCATAGATCATCCCTGGAAACAGGGCAGTGGATTGTATCCTACACATTCTTTTGAGCTCTCAAAGTTCTTCGCCGCGCAGCGAGCAAAACCATCGTAAACATCGATAGTGTGGCTCAAAATATCAACAGCTGATCGTGAGACAAAATCTCTAAGTAAATCGAGTTCTGTTGACATATTCTCTGATGTCCGCCTGTTTCAGCAGTCGTGTTTGGTAATTCCACGTACAATTGCAAATTCTTTATATTCCTTAGAGTTGATATACCTTGAATGTCCATCAAGCTTAGAGGACTTGAGAATCCACGGTTGAGACAGATAATTGTAGACGGTGCACATTGGGAGCTCTTAAGGAGATCGATATCACAGGGTTAACAGGAGAATCATAAATACCATCATGCGTCACAAAAGGATGAATGAAGCATTTGCCCCAATTACTCCTGACAATACTCTCATCTCCATGGTTCCTGTGGTCGAATGTCAGGCACAATACAAGCGTTCTTACGCAAAGTCACATATTGGAGTCACTTCTTGAATCTTGAGCCGCAATAGCCTTCCTGCAAAATTCACCAGTCAGATTCTGTTAAGTTGCAGTTGTACTGAGTATTGAATTATTCTACAGTTTGAATGTAAAATTAAAAATACTAAAGACCTTCTTTGGCTTCTAATATTGCAATAAGTGGAGGCTGAATTGAAGAGCCTCCCCAAACCGGCCCGGAGCTGCAGTGCATTATATTGCACGTAGAGTCTCGAGGTCTCAGTAAGTTACTGCATGGTAAATATGCATAGTTGAATCTGTATGGCTACCGCTACCGTGTCGACGGGGTATGATGGCAGCTCTTGGTCAACGGCTACATAGAAAGACTCATGTTCACATCCTTAGGGAAAATGAGTGACATGCTTCTTTTCCAGCCAGATCCACTATATAACTGAGCAGTACAGGTTAAAGTTCTTTGCGAAATATGTGAACACGCAATTTGCCTCTTTTTGATATTTTGGTTTCCTAGGGCAGTAAAAATTAATGCAATTTTCTTGTCTAAAACTTAAAGCTCATCTATTCTTGGATCTTCCAACCACCGAAAGAATAAACTTTTGTTCTGATTGTCGTGACTTTCCAATATCATGGCGTTACGAAAGATCTGAAATAACAACTTTCCTTACAACGGAGCTTGTAATTATATTCGGCTTTTTTAATTCTGGGATGCTCACTCATGAGCAACAGCTATACCTTGGCACCTTGGATGTACAGATTAAAAAAGCGATAGGCCACCGCGAGAAGCTTGAGGTCGTACAATTTCCGAGATATCGAGATCCCCAGAAAAGCGGCTTCCTATTTCGTGGGTGAGATGCAACGACAGCAGCGAGGTAAGTGCGATGCCGTGAGGCTACATGTACCCGCTTCAGCATTTTCGAAAGTGGATTTTCTCTCTTAACCATACACTCACAAATATCGCATCACGTATCTTTCTCCGAAATATATTTGAGAAATATTCTCAAAAGTACAGGGTTCCATACTTGAGTATTTTTCAAAGCTTTCGATATTGTATCAGCACTCAGCCCAAAATTCAACAAGTATGGACAGTAGCCCAATGACTCCCATCCACACACCTCCAAAGCGGTGCAAACAAACCAAGTTAAGGGCTGCTCTCGAGTCTGTTTTCTCACAATTCGAACTTACAGAGGAGACGAACCATTACAGTAGATGTAAATTTGGAAGTTTGTCATCCTTCACTCTTCCACAATTTTTAGTTGAAAGCTCATGATTCATTAGCAGGGCACCACTATACTCAATTCAACGACGGCTGCGAGATGTACCTTAATGATGATGGGATTGGTATCTACGTGGACATAACGGGGCTACGTTCGCTCTACATTCGCCCCCAAAAGGATCAGAAAGCAATGAGGCAGAGAATTGAACAGGAAATGAGGGACGCCTCGGATCTCGAACGGTTGAGGTACAAAGTTCGAGGACTTTTCGCCGAACGGGCGGTAAAAGAACTCGGAATAGACAAGCTCGGAAGAGGTGTCTTGCAACGTTAGATGAATTGAAAGAGAAGAAAGAGGCCTGAGAGTGTGCCAAGCTATTTTTGTCACTCGAAGAACTCTCATTACTGCACAGAATACAACCGGAATTGTTTTGTACATCATATTCAATATGAACAGACGAGCTCCAGGATACAAAGATAAAGTTAATATAGTGATTAGCGAGTAGAAATGGATGGTGGAGGAACTAGAAGGCAATGATATGCGTCTAAGCTAAGGAAAGACAATTGGATCGATGTTTTGGCTCAGCGAAGTATTATCTTGGTATTATACTCTAGCGGCAGCTTCTAATATTATCACTGAGAAAGAAGCGTATTGATTCTGCGCATGGTCTTTTGACTAGCTGTTCACTCATTAGTATTGATGTGTTATGTGTGTGCTGATGTTGACTTCATTTATTCCATTGCCGAATTTGTGGCATCTTTGAAGTAGAGTAGACGAAAAGCACAGTAATTGAATATAGAATATCCGCAGCCAACTTTAGACCTATACCGCCTATCAAAAAAGACAAAAAGAAAGAGATGCATAATGCAGCCTCTGTATGTGTGACTACTTGATCAGCCTTTTCCCACAATATTGTTTCCTTTGTAAAGAAGAATTGACTAGTTCGCCTATCACTTTCATAGCCTCCGTCTCGTTACGATTCTTTGTTCCTGTAATGCGTTCACCATATCATGTCTTCGGCTCCAGTGCCACTGTTTCAGTGTGTTTCAGCCGTATTTCCTACCATACCCATACTTCTATTGCACTCCGAGACGTTAGACTTCCGGAAATATATAGTTTCATCGACCATACTTATTGGTCTGAGTTTTCAGTGTTGTATTGGTCTAATTCGCGAGACTTTGCCGCCACTGGTAAACTCATTGAATCTGGCCGTCCTAAATTTGTCTCCGCGTGTGCCGTTCTATTGCTAGTAAAATTCATGCGTCGGCCCAGTGATGATTTCTGGAAGTTTTTTAATCTCCCCCCAAGCTGCATTATGAGTGGAGATCCAGTCGATATCGCAATACCCATTCCTGTCTCAATGAAACTCCACAATTGTGGGCGAGGTCCAATGTATGTGAAATCTTGGGGGTTATAATATAAGTCTAGGAGTGCCCAGAGACGCAGCATTGAACTGATAGTGACACTTTGAGACGGTGTTAGAGAAATACCACAAACTCAAATGCGGGATACCTTACATGCTTCCCACCGAAAACATCAGACAGATTCTCAGTTTTGCTCCAGTTGTTATTGAAAGTTTCATGATGCAGTAAGTTGGCAAAAGAGTTAAAATGAAGTCCGTTCCAATATTCGGTATGGCAACACCAAGATAAATAGCTTTAAGATTCATACAGGATCCTGGTGTATCAGACGAAGGGTTACTCCACGCTTTTTCAACAGGAATGCATTGAAAGATGGTAACCCCGAACTATGACTATCCCATTAGCTTCTCGATGAACAGCCGGCAGTGAAATGGATGGTACTAACAGCAACAACTAAATAGCACATCGTCGAAACGATCAAAATAATGGAAATTATCCTGGTCGAACGATGCACGTGAAATGTACGGTAGATCATCATCGAAAGGGAAATCTTCGCGGCAACCACAGTAAACATGTAAAGAAGTTCCAAGATATAGAAGACTTTGTAGATAGTGACGATGGAAGCTACACTAAGAGTTCCCATATGTTTTCCAACCCCGAGCTTGATACCTATGAACTAGTCAGCATTTATGCAGATTATCAATTCGAGCAATGTCCACAGTACTGTAAAGGTATCCCGCAAGTTCACCAGTCAGCGAAACCTGCTATGTTAGCAACGTCGCCGGTGGTTTGACGTAGACTCACCACTGCAAGAATCATAAGCCCGTCATCGATAACATATAGTACCTTTCTGCGAGCCTTGTTATATATTGATATTATGGTACACAGAATGGCCAGTCCATACACAACACTACATGCTGCTATATTGGCAATTTGAGCATTGTCAAGTGATGGATATGTAATAGATGCGTTCATATTTCTTGGTAGCTTGTGCTATCTGGGACAATGCGGATGCCAGACGAGAGTGCTAAGAAATTAAAAGGTATATTCAAACAATAATAAAGAATATCAAGCTCAACGGAGATGTCATACCCATGAAGTACATGCGTCTTATAAACTATTGTGCTTTGTTGGACTGATTTTGCCTTGCTCATGGGATGGGAGGCTGAGTATGTAAGTTGGGTAGCACTGCAGTTCTACATAGCCGAGTTCAGAAGCCGGCTCTCATATTCAGCCGATTATGACTACTCGGCCGGTAAGGAAATCGTTCCCCTTTGATCAATACGTCTGAAGAGAATGGTTAATGTGATATTAAGCTTTTTTTTTAAATAGTTGAATACGACGTCGTTCAAAATGTTGCATAGGCTTCTAGCCTTTGCTACGGTTTCCTCAATATGAAGAATTCGTACTCGGCTCTGTAAATCGTGGACTATTGTAATGTGAAAATAATGCAATAGTGCGGCTCCTTAAATCAAAATCTCTCAGAACCAAGCAGAAGAAGACTTGCACCTACGTTTCCACTAGTTTTCCATGTTGACCAGTTTCTATGCTTGAAATAATTGTTTGATATTAGTTCAAAACGTTTGCTGATGCCTGGAGCTGGGATTTTCACTCGTATCTATCTTGAATGATATGCTGTGGTGTAGTGGTGATCTACAGCTGACAGGCATAGCCATCTATCCTGAAAGCAGGAGACCTTTAATTTGCTAAATTCGTGTTTTTGCCTTATTTCAGCGTGTTCGCTATTGATCAATTGAATAATCGGGGTACCTGAGGAGAGAGTGTCGACTCGCATAGTGTTCTCAAAATTGCTGGTTTGCGGGCCATACTTCCAGTATTGCATGAATGCTAATAACAATTGCCATATAGAGAATTGCAGGGAACAGGAGGACTAAAGGATACAGGGCGACTTTCCCGAATACTGTGACGCTGCAAATGGGGTATCAGTTCTGAAATAATCTCCAACACACCTCCATCAATTCCCGCCTTGCGCCTCGATCTTCCCTGTTCCTGTATCCGAAAGCATTTTGGCTTCCGTTGCTGATTGATTGCCCACTCCCTCAACTTTTTTTTCCCCTCCTTCCTTTCCACTCCTCACAATGAAATACTTTCCGCCTCCAAATTCGACCTTTTCGGTCGCAGTTTCAGTCACATCCCACTCTTCTACACCTTTTGTATCAATCGCAATCCCTGGCTGCCTTCTCGGTCTTTTGTTTCTTCCTCTATATACCTCTTTCTTTAACGCTTCTTGGATTTCCTTAGTTTGCAATCCAATTGACTCATGTGCTTCTGCCTCCAACGTCTCATCCCTGATACTCCTTAGGGGCTCAATGCCTTCTGTGTTGACCTTCTGGATATCTCTCAAGAAATGTAATTGTAAATGTAGTGTATCTAGTAACTTCTTTTCTTCTTCCGGGGTTTTGGGAAGAGGAAGTGCGGAGAGTCGACATAAATGATGAAGTTGTTTGACTGTAATTTCTTCGGCAGGCTTCTCATTTGGAGATGGTAGAAGAGAACGAACAGACCAAGTGGGTTTTGATAGGAGCTCATCGATGTTTGTCTTTTGATGAGAGAGATCCACATTTATTCGAGCATATACTCGGCGGACTGGGACTTGTTGATCTTCTGGCTTGGGTGTCAGAGGTGTCGTTATTTTACTTCCGTGAAGCTTTACACTCCGCGGCACAAAACGACCTGTGCTGCTTCCTGATTTGGGTAATGAGCTTCCATCTACTCCAGTGGTCTCCCGGCGGGCTTCTGAAGTACTGTATGTTCGAGGAAGGGAGATTTGGGCATATTTGAATTTTGTGGAAGGAAAGGAGTGCCGCAGCGATGCGCGACAATATAAACATATAGACCTCGACATTTTGTGATCAATTAGGTGACAATGTTATGTTTCATGAAGATCATCGACTGTTTATATTGTGAATTTGATAAAATGTTCCCATGCGTTCCCCAGAAGTACGCTAGTGTGATTCATAGGCGGGGCAAGGCTATGTCAGAGCGTAAGGACTAGAAACAAACAACCCTTGCAAGAGTTGTCTTCAAAACCACGAACACATGTCAACTCTAACAACTCATTCATACTTACAACTCTTGATTAAAGTCATTAATTGATAATTTTTTGCCTGAGAGATACATTGCACAAAAGAATACAACACAACAAATCGCAATCATGGCACAAGATCCTCGCACTCTTATGCAAAAGGTACCAACCCCACCATCTGCTACTCGGTAAGCTTCATATTGACCATTCCCCAAGGCAGATAAAGCAGTTGCAGGTGCTTCCGGAGGCTTCAGTCTTTTTGGTGGACGACAGGAGAAGTGGGAAAATGCTGCTGAATTATATAACCAAGCTGCGAATGCATTCCGCATGCAAAAGCAAAGTAACACTTTCTCGAGTCTTTGAACCTTTAGATTTATACTGATATCCGCTTTACAGACAAGGAAGCCGGGCAAGCCTTCGAGCGCGCTGCCGATATTCAAACCAACAAATTGAACGAACCCGATGATGCTGCCAACACGCTCACAGAAGCCTTCAAGGTATACAAAAAGGGAGAGCCACTAGATGCGGCTCGATGCTTAGACGTTGCGATCAACCATTATACATCGAAAGGAAACTTCAGGAGAGCTGCCACGCATAAGCAGAACTTAGCAGAAGTATATGAGATGGAGATTGGGGATATGAAGAAGGCAATTGAAAGTTATGAATTAGCTGCTAGTTGGTTCGAGGCCGACAATGCTGAGGCGTGAGTTTTGACCTCCGTCATTGACACCAAGGCTCTTGGTATTACTTTTGAAGATGTACTGATATATCCACAGATTGGCCAATAAACTTTATCTCAAGGTCGCTGATATTGCCGCTCTCGACGGCGACTATTATAAAGCCATCGAGCATTTCGAGAAAGTAGCAGCATCCTCCGTATCGAACAATCTCATGAAATGGTCGGTAAAGGATTATTTCCTCAAGGCCGGTCTGTGTCATCTAGCTGTCGGCGATACAGTGGCCACCGGAAGAGCTTTCGAAAAGTACAGAGACATGGATCCAACATTCCCAAGCACAAGGGAACATCAATTATTAATCGACCTCGCCGAGGCTGTTGACGCAGGCGACCAAGAACAATTCGCCGACAAATTATTCCAGTATGACCAAATGAGCAAGTTGGACAAGTGGAAGACGACAATTCTGTTGAAAATTAAGGGTGCGATTGAGGAGAAGGGCGATGACTTCTCATGATCAAAACTCTGTTCAATTAGAGTTAGCTCTTGTCGTTTGGCGTTTGGGTTTTGGGTGATATCTTTTGAGTTAGCTGCGGAGAAATATATTGTCATGGTCTCAAGCTTTGGCTAAGCAAATATTTATACGAAAGTGATTAGTCTGTATACATTTATTCGAGCCAAACTTTTAGGTCAGCGCTTGTGGCATGATAAACTTTTGACTAAAGTGATGTCTTCCGGTGAACCACTTCCTAGTACAGCAAGATGAAACGAGATGTGATATAATGAAGAGTAAAGGATAGAAGGAAGAATATGATTTGCAAACTGTAGATCCAAGGAGGTGAGGTGAAGTGAAGTGTTAGCAAGAAAGTGATCATGAAATTATTCTACATGTGTGCTTTCTAAATATCGAGTAGAAGCAAATGAATAATTCAAACTAATGAATAATTCAAAACGCTAATCATAAAGATGAAAATAAAGAGATGTCCCAAACATTATCCATCATGGATCTAACCTCTCAAATCTGTCTCCCATCAATTAACATGCAACTTCTCCACATCCTCCTGCATCTTCATCTCCTCATTCTTCCTGCTCACTTCATTCTCCAATTCTCTCGCCTCACTCTCCAAATCCGCTTCCCCATCCCTATTCCTATTCCCCCCCATCTCTTCATCCTCTCTCTTCTCATTCTCATCCAACAATTCCAACGTCTCTTCCTCCTTCGCCACCTCTTCCACATCAATATCCTCCCAGCCAATCTTTTCCAAAATCGTGCCGACGAGATACTGATACCTCAAGTGTCCACTGACCATTTCACTCACATTTACATTCTCAATCCCTTTTACATCTTGCGCGGGCTGCAGACCCGCAACGCCGAATTGGATGCTACTGGTGCGGTAGAGGAAAGCGAGGATGTAGTCGTTTTCGGAATAGACGTTTACGAGACGTCCCAAGACGACGCTGCGCATGGCGCGCCACGCGACTGCGTCGGAGGGAGCGGGGGCGCCGATTAGGACTGCGGATCTATTGGTGGGTTAGTAGCGATATTGTTGCAGAGAACACGTTTGAGTTAAAAAAGGGATAGTGGGTGAACTTACTCGACTAAACCAAATGCTCGACGTTCAGCTAGACTCGTCAAACATGAATAGATTAGTCTAGCTCCCAAACTATATCCAATGAGAGTAACAGGTCTTTCTCCCTGCGCTTTATTGATAAGTGCATCTGCAAGGACCAAGCCGGCCTTATCAGCGCGGTTTTTCGCAACGGAGAATGGATTATCGACGACTTTAGAGATTTTCAATAGACCAAGAGGCCATAGAGCGGTCATCAAACTCGCGAAGATGGTGCGGGCGATGATTTCTTTCTTGGCGAGAGACCAAGCTGCACTTTTGACCACCGATTCTAATGATGTCCCGAGCTTGGATAGGGCTTCGAGTTCGTATCGGAGTGCGAATACCTCACTTTGATGTCCGAGTACACGCCATGGGGTAATAACATCTTCTTTCTGAGTCAGCCATCCACTAACACCTATCGTAACCCTTAATCTTCGATCCTTTGCCGCCAATTCCTTGACAGATTTTTGATGTAGTGATCCCCTAAGCGGCAGAAACGCAAAATCCGAAACCTCTTTCGCGTACGAGTCCATCATCTTTCCCGTCATACTGGCACCATAAGCACCAAAAAGACTTCCGACAATAACTCCACTTTCCGCCAGAGCTCCCAGCAAGCCTGCAGCTGTCGTTGCACCAAGACCTAGTCCTCCCATTACGGTGCCTAGAGCGCCTGCAACTAGTGGAGCTGCAAGACCACCTGTGACTCCGACTATGGCGGCGCCTGCAACACCTGCGAGGCCGACTTTCCATCTTCGAGCTACTTTGTTCTCTTCGCTTCTTTTTTGTGTTTCTTCATTGCCGGACATTTTCTTGGCGGCTTCTAGAAGTCCCTGCGCGACTTTCACTTCTGTCTCGGCGAGGATGTGAAGGGGAAGGTGAAGAGATGAGGCTACATGGAGTAAGAGAATACGAGAATGCGCTGTGTAATGCTCTAATGAAAGAAGCAGTAATAGCATGGCGTGTAGGAGCATTACTCTTTTCTCTTTCTGTAATGAATAAAGAGAAGTAGACGTCGGTGGGTAAAGCTCTACTAAAGCCGCATCTGCCTCCACAACATTGGTAGTTTGTTCTATAAGAGTCAATAACTAACTTCCCTCAAAGTAGGTAGAAGCTTAAAGCGATCATTAGAGGTACATACTAACAGCCTTTGTTTTCGAATCTGTACCAGGGGTGGCATTTACGCTGGCCTTCTTCTTCTGATCCTCCGTGACTTCTTTAGGGTTATTGACAACCGATCCAATCCTCGATATCACACTTTCTTGCCATTCCTCGAAAAATTTCAGAGAATCACGCTTCAGCTCCAACATTTTAGGAGCCGATAATTCTTTCTCCCTCTTTTCTCTCAGATTCCGAGCTTTCTCCTCTTCTTCGGACTCTTCATTTGATTGACTATCATCGGTATTAGGATTCTTATCTCCGACTTCCAACGCTTTGCTTGGGGCTTCTCCAATAGTAATCGAGGCATCAAAAGTATCACTGATTTGCTTTTGCATGATCTCTGTGATATTGGCGATGAGAAGTGTCAGATCAACACGTTCCTCAATTTCTAACATTGTACTAAGATCATGCTCGTGGTCTTGAGACGACTCTGGTTTCGATGACCAAGGAGCCATAATTATTGATTAGATCTGCGAGAATTGAGGGAAAAGTGTTGTCGCATTTGTTTACCACTTGTATGTTTCGGTCGTCGAGCATCTAGGGTTACCGATTGACGCCGATGACATAATGTCTTATCTTATCGTTAACGCGACTCCTCGATGACGTAGTAATTATCGCGACTGTGTAGGGAGGTAGGTACTTAGGTATACCTATAATTTATTATACCTGATTCAAAATAGAAAATTTTAGATTCAGGTTCAGGTTCCAAAATGTCACGAAATAGTTCATTCGCACAACGATTGTAGCTTTAGGATCAGCAGAGGAGAGCTCTTATCGTGATCATGTGATATAGTTTTCATTTCTTTCTTTTCTCTTCAATTGATGATGCTTGGTTTCAAAACTGTATAGCGTTATTCATTCAGAGACCTTTCTGCAGAAACCCCCAGAAATTCGGCCTGACCGTAAGACTAGTTGATATGAAATCGAGCTCCTGATGAATTGATCTCTTAAATCTCGACCTTGTCCTCTATGACCTTATCCATCATCATACTCAATGGCCCTTTCTTAACCATTAAACTGAGTACTTCATAGAGCGCATCTGCCGCTGCCATAGTAGTGTGTTCCGCATTCGTATCATATGCTGGGGCTACTTCGACGATATCCGCGGCAATCAAGTTGATGCCCTCCAATCCTCTTAAAATGGTTCTGAGTTCTCTAGTAGACCATCCTCCTGTTTCTGGAGTTCCTGTTGCGGGAGCAACTGTGAGGAGATTAGTGTTTTGTTTTGTAGGAAAAGAGCCAATGATTGATAGGCTGACTTACAGGCAGGATCAAGAGTATCGATATCAATAGACAGGTAAACAGGTCTATCGAGTCCTACACGTTCTCGGATTTTCTTGATGATACCATCCATGCCAATCGTGTCTATTTCTCTCGCTTCAACAATTTCAAAACCGCAATACCCGTCATTCTCATAGTCGCTAGGTCCACTCAGAGTAGTCCTGATACCCGCATGGATGTTTGTATCATTTGCAAGCAAGCCCTCTTGTGCAGCATGGTAAAAGTAAGTACCATGGTTGATGGAAGCGACTTTCGATGGACTTCCACCAAATACTTTTGGTTTCCAAGTATCAAGGTGAGAGTCGAAGTGAATGACGGAAACAGGACCATAGGCACGGTTGATAGAGCGAAGAAGAGGGAGAGTAATTGTATGGTCTCCCCCTAAGGTAATAACCCTTGGAAGAGTTTTACCATTTTTGGCAGGTCCGAGTTTCTTGGCATCGGTTGCGGGGGCACGCGAGAGAATGGAGTTATGGCCTTCTTCGATTTGATGGAGGGCCCATGAATTATCGTAGCTAAGATTAAATCTGTTTAACGACATAACTATAAAAGCTGGTGAATAGGTGGACATACGATGTGACAGGAATGTCTCCACAGTCAATTACTGTTGCCCAACTATCGAAAGGGTTGGTCGCTAGAGGAACATTGTATCCTCCACTGGGTAAACGCAAAAATGTAAGCCTACGTACATCTAGAGATGTATACTAGCAACAATCTCAAAGGTACACGTACTATAGATTCAAACGTCTTGAGCCTTGTCTAATTCCCGATGGACCGAATCGAGCTCCCGGTCGATACGAAGTTCCGGTATCAAAGGGAGCTCCTGCAAGCAAGTCAACATGCATACGATTTCTCATTTCTCAAGACATTGAGAACTTGCAAGGAATCAAGACATACCAATGAACGCAATATCATATTTCACATCATCTGTTGCTAGACATGGAAAATATGGCAATCTGCCAAACGTTGAGATGCCCGAAAACACCGAATCGGCCTGATTCTTATTAGCTAACTCTCAGAGATTGCGTCCCATTGAACATACTTGAGTTCCTCCATCTCCCGGTAAAGTGTTGTACCAAAGTGCTTTGTGTGGTCCAGCAATTGGAACTTGATTTTCATGGTCGCCATGCGCCAGCGCACTTGCACATAATGCGGCAACGGTGAGGATGTTGGTCAACATTACGAATGATAAAATTTCACAATTGATAAGAATGAGATGGAAATAGGAGATTCAGAGGTTCTCGTGAGCTTTTATAGACGTTCTGCGCTGGCAAAACTCCAATGCTTTGTAGATCAACACACCAATTATCTTAGATCAATTGGTGTGATGGCTATGTATGGCCTTATCCCGTCAAGGGTCGATAGACAAATGCTGATAAATCGCATAATGTTTATCTGGCCGGCAACATACATGATAGCAATCGTGAATAATGAAATCAGTGCTGATGGATAATGCTTTGATATTCTCGTTATGTAAACCGGCGCCAGCGGCCAGCCAGAGCAAATGATGGTTGGATGAAGAATATGCAGAATCTAGAAGATGGTTCCCGTGGAAATCTGCATGATGCAAAGATAAACGGCTTTGGTGTAACTGTGATAGGAAGTCCATCATAGATTATGATGCGGTGAATATCAGAATGAAGTCTTGTTCCATTGGATAAAGCTTCTTCGATGTAGAAAGAATGTATATAGATCATGAAGATCACAACATTCAGTTTCAAAAGTACCTAGGTAGATAAATCCGTGTTATCGGATTATTGTAGTGAGGTAATAGATAGAGATGATAAGAAAGTTGGAGCTTTATCACGAGGAGGGGTAAGCAAATCCCCAGAAAGCGGCATTTGGGTTGGGGTAAAGGGCCTGAGGCACCGAAGTTAAATGATAAGTTCAGGTATCAGATGTAACCTTATGCGCCTGCATTTCCTTGAAATATCGACCGGAATTGCATCTGTGCTCCCTGTGATATATTTTCATGTTCTATCGAGGAAAGAAGTCGATAAATAAACTTACATTACCTAATCGATCGTTGATACAATTGACAGAATATGGAGATGGTAGAAGATTCTTAAAGGAGTGTCGGAGTGCGAAACAAGACGAGCAGTCGTCAACCACTAGGCGGACGATTAATAATACAAGTAGAAGCAAAGCGTTCATATTATGATGATTAGACTGGCAAATGATACAATGGAAGATCATGTAGTTATTAAAAGCAGCATCAAGTTATCAAGTAATCCAAGTGACGTACGACGTACTCCTCCGGATCCGTGGACGTTGACTCCTAGGCTAATAATACACGTGGTGCACTCGGTACGCGAGTTTCTGCGGCTGACTCCGTTTCTGGGCTGGTCCTTTTGGCTCAAATCAAAAAGAACCATGTTTGAACTTTTCTGCACCTCAACGGCGCTGTCTGGCTGTATGGCTGTCTGATTTGATTGTATGTCTGTTTGTCCAGCTGGACAATGGGGCCCTCTGACCCAAATAGATGCGAATGCAACCATTCTTTGTTCCACCCCTTCTCTTTTTCATGGTTGGAATTGTGTAGAGCAATCTGACGCAATCGTTTTGTGAATGGAGATGAAGATCAAATCGACCATTTTTGGTTAAAAACTTGGTGAGCTTATCTACTCAGATAGTAAACAGATCGATCATCGTTCATCTGAAGGGGAGGAATTTTTATACTTCCTTGGAAGCGGGCTAGAAGGCCAACGAATCAATTACAAGCGAGGGGTAAAGGTATGTTTATTCTACCCTGTGTATACTCCCAAGTATATATAGCCCAAGCAAAGAAGGTTCAATATTAATGAATCGGAAAAGTTTGATACCAGCCATCTCAATTTTCTTTCCCTTTCGCTCCTTCTCCTCCTCCCAAATAGGCTTGAGCGTGACGCTTCCGTAGGGAGACATGATGCAATGCGTAAGGAAGTCAGAAAAAGAGCTTTCGTAGAAAAAATCTTGTTCAGCCATCAAATTCCTTCCTATCACATAAACCGAATCCTTTGCATCAATATGCATGATGGATCTTTACAGACCTTATTCGTCAATCTAGAATTGGTGGTCGGTTGCAGATGAATGCACGAGGGGATACCGTGCTTCTTCTTCCTTTGGAAAGAATAAATAATGAGTGTTTCCGTATGGCATCTTGATAATTTGATTCGTTGAGTGAAAAGAATGACGGCTTGTAATGATCCAAAAAGGAAGTATCACCATATTATATCGTATGGCACGAACCTGGAAGAGAAGAAAAGAAAAGGCCAAGTTGTCGTACAGACCTACTTATACCCAACCCTTCATGTACACCTGTACTCTGTACTTGTTAGCTGTAGCCCGTATGTAGTGAAGTGAATCACTTCTGCCGTTGGCTTTGACACTTGGAAATACAATTAATTACAGGCAGGATTCAGACCTCACTCTCACTCGGTGCAGCACGCACGCACTAGAATCCCCCACCCTTTCAACCAATTAACGCGCTGAAGGAGTTCAATAGCTACCCAAACTTTATTACGATTCAGTAATTCACGAGGATTCGCGACATCCTGGGTCTCTTACATACCATACCGGGTACTCATACGTGCTGGGTATTAGGTAGGACTGTACCAGTAGATATTCACACATCTAACAAATAACACCGCGACTTAAGAAATCTTGGGAACATGATAAAAGTTGACGAATAACATCTCACAACTTCACGTCTCCACTTCTCCATTCATCCATCTAGAACTGGACAACGTTGACTGTTTCGATTTCTGCTTCTTTTCCTCTTCTTGTTAGGCTCCTCGCATTGCCATCTGTCATTGATTCAATTCGAACGTTTACTTTTCTGTACCTAAACACACACGCAGCTATCCACTCCGCTCCACTCCATTCCTTTTTCTTTTTCGATATCATACTGTTACCCTCGAATCCATTACATATTCGTTTCCATCAGTCCCAAATGCACTCAGCATCTCAGCGTTTCTGAATGTTTTAATTGGATTCGAGGATTGAGTGCTCGCTATCTATCCCATCAGAGAGGGCTTCGTGGAGCACAATCTGCAACCCATAATCGCAACTCACAACCTGCGATCTATGCTGATTCGAATCTTCATCAAAAGTGTATCACCAATATCCAATAAAAATCTACACATCTTTTGATCCTCTTCAGTCGAGACTGGATCGACACCATTTTACGAATTTCCTTTTTTTTCTCTGTTCAATCATCAATTTTTCGCATTTTTAACCAAGTGTACCACAATAATTCACCACCACCGCCCACCACTACAACCACCGCTACAACCACTACTACCACCATTCACATCCCTCACCACCCAGCCTAATTTATGCCTTCTGCCAACTCGCGATACTGCACGAAGCCGATACCACGAGGACTACCTTTATGCAACTTGCCGCACTTCTCGTTATGAGAATAATAATCTGCTGAAATAAGAACAAACTCGAAAATTAGCATAGGGTTTTCCCAAAATTATTTTCTTTTCAAAGAGGCCCCATTTTTATTCAACTTTATGCTCATCACTCAGACGACGAACTGGCTCAGGATGCCGTCCCGGGAGCTGGGAAGCTCTTCTGAAGCTCCAAATAGCGCTCAAAGTGTTGGAACAACTTTATTAAAAAGGCATAAGATCCTACCTCATCCAAGAGAAGTTCGTCCTTCCGATTTGGCGTCCCAATCACAAACATTCAAATCTCGCGATAGAAGTGCAGAAGCAGAATCAACGCCGTCACAAAATTCCGAAAATCCAAATCCGCGTATGTTGAAGCATACCTCGAAAAGGATTGGCGCTCCCCTACTTCCGCCAACTCCACCAGCGCATTCGCGACAGTCATCTGGCACCAGCAGTATTCTTGTTATACCCGCGCCGAATTCCGAGGTGCAGTCCGTGAAAGATTCCATTGTAGAATCAAAACCGACCACGCCAACAATTCAAAAAAGTCCACCCACTCCCGATGTTACACCTCCACGCGCAATGCCACCATTGGCATTCCGCCCAGCATTAGCAAGCTCACGTTATCCCTCTTCGCGAACAGATTCCTTCCGAACAGCGCGGGAAATTTTATATTCGTCAGATGAGGATGAAACATCCACAGTTCGACCACGAATTCCCTCTGCAAATCCATCTGAGGCAGAGGTATTACAAATTCCGCGTAAAGAAATCGGACTGGGCTTGGGTCTAGAATCCGACAACGAGGGTTCTGCAACACCAAAAGCAAAGGAAACACCATCACAGCAGGAATTTGGCGGTTTTGACGGAGAATGGGTTACCTCTCAAGGAGAAATAAGCGAGGTGGAACGGGAATGGGATGATAATCTCATGAGGAATGTAGTAGTTAGGAAGCGCAAAGATAGGAATACGAGCTTTGACGAAGAAGTTGCAAACGGCGAATTAGGGGAAGATAATTTGATTTCACCGACAGAAGCTTCGAAAATTGTTCGAAGATTACCTTTACAGGAGGATTTCGAAAGCCACCGGCTGGAGAAAGATAGGGTGGAGCCTACGTCAAAAGGTGGCACATGGCCTAGAGTACGAAAAGACACCACAGAATCTCCAGCATTGTCAGATACGAGAAGATTTTCTACCATGTCTGGTCACTCAACCACATCTACAGTCGTTGAAGCGTTCGTCGTTGATGTACCTCCCTCGCGAATGAGAACCCTTCGCCATACCAAAAAGCAGATTGGATTGAGGGATTTTAGTTCAACCGAGTCAACGATAAGCTCCACGACACCATCTGAGAAATCGAGTGAACAACATCATCGTTTATTGCACAAAGCCGAACGAATACCTGAAAGACACAATGGAAGTTTGGCATCGATTACTACCCCAAGCATCGCTTCGAGTCACAAATCGCGCAGAAAGATCATACGCGAGGGTGGAGTACCCGTTGTGGTCATTCCAGATCGCATGTCTTCGGCAAAGACCTCTAAACCTCCATCTCTACGTTCAACAAGTAGTCGACAAACTAAAAGGAGTAATTCCCTACAGTCGGCTCCCTTGTCACAATCTTCGAGAACAAATGAGCCTGGATACTTTGACATCATGCGACCTACCAATAAACGTACAATGTCAGAATCTGCAGGATCAAGCAATTCCGTACATACTATCGATTATCCTCCAAGTATTCCAACTCGAAGGTCTTCACTTTCCGCTCCAACGAGCCGAAACACTTCTAGAGCTGGTTCATTAACTGCTGAGAGCCTCAAAGCTCACAATATGCTCCAGGAAAAGCATTCTTTGAAGATAGATCTAGCAGAAGCGTCAAAACCTATTATCTCGGAGAAAGAGATTGAGCCACAGCATGCTCGTTCAAGCATAGATCACAATCGACTAAGTATTGATCATCCTGACGAACGACAATTTCATGCACGGCGATCCACACAAGCTACACCGTTTTCACAAGCGTCATACGAAACAGCAGGTACCGCAGCAACAACCGCTGAAATTTCGCAGGCTATGGCAGTGTCGATGGTTCCACATCAAAACAAGTCATGGACAATGATCCACAGAGAATCCGAGCCATCACCTCCCACTTTGAGACGATTGATCACGCAGCCAACTGTTGAGGTGAATGGTGAAGCTAATAACGGTCCTACAACTCCCCCGCAAAATCTACATACAATGGATGGAGTTGTCTCACCATTGCGAAATCCTCGTGCCCCGCCTGAACCACCGGCGATTAAATTTATTCCTCCAACTCCATCTGACATGTCGCCTGGAGCAGCAGAAGAACGACAATTAGGATTTGACTTCGATACTCGAATGGATGAAGATGATGATGATCGACCATCATCGTCAGACAAACTCAAACGTAACTTCTCTCTTCGTCGTGCTTTTACCAACCGGCGTTATTCAGATGTTGTCATACCAGAAACTGGGTTGTTAAAACGCACATTCTCACTGAGTGGTCGTCGCAAGGATATTTCAACTCAAACCTCGAAACCAGAGGCAAATCCTTCTACACATTATCCATCAGTTCTCGATCAACCCGCTGATGATAGCAAGTTGCACCCATTTTGGAGACCAGCCAATTTCTGGGACGATCTAGAAGAAAATGAGAACGATTCAGGTGACGAGGAAGATTATTTTCCTGAGTATCACAGTCCGGGAAATAGACGTGTGATACCAAAACGTGGCCTTAGTGGGAAATTAAAACGTACATTTGCGATTCTTCCGTTGTCATATAGTGATGAGGATTACAACCAAGCCCCTTTAGATCGAAAAACAATGCGAAGGTCTCCTAGTGGCAATGCTTTAAGAGTTGTAAAGCAAAGAAGCAATAACACATTAAGACGAGAGGCGGACCAGAGGATTCTTCGTGAAGCAAAGCCCGGAGAGTTCGGTCATGGCTTCAAAGAGGGAAATGGTGGTCGCATTCACACAATTCCTGGTATAGGTTTGAGGATTGAATATGTGGGTTTAAAAGGACTTGGGAAAAAACTCAGTGAAAGAAGAAGAGAACAGAGAAATGCAAAGTTGCGAGCCACTATCAGTGGACCCCGGGGACTGAGAAACGGAGTCGATGAGGTCTTGGAATCAAGAAGCGCTGAGTCGCGAAATGTGATTTGAAAAAGCAGAGAAGTGAACGATGCAGTATGGGGAAGGATATACCCGGTGGAATTAACGAATGAATGACTTGATAGAATTGGGTAAACGAAAATACCGGCGCATCTGGACGATTTCTTGGATAATGTGGGATTATCACCACATATGGATGAAAGCAATAAAGTTACGACCAACACATGTATTATGAAGGAAAGATTTGACTTTTTTTTTGCCAGCTTTTACTTTTTCTTTTCTACATGTACTATTCTGTATCTGCTGCGTGTTTGTTTTTCTTTCTGATGTGTTTCCTTTCTATGGTTCTTTTTCAATGATGACGCATCAAGCAGGCTTGGATGTTTCGTCTGTTATCTCTTTCTCATGAGTTGATTGGCAATCGAATGGATAAAGTTATGGATGATGGATACTCTAGGACGATTTTCTTAATTGGATGGCTGATGATAAAAGATTTACTCCATTGTTTTACAATTTGATACCGTTTGAGTCAAGTTCTTCTCTTTATGCTCAAGCTCATAGTCTGCTTTTGTTTTACTTCCACTTTAACGATGAAAGCATCTCTTGAATTCAGAAATCTGTAAGCTTTTATGGTAGGTTCAGCTATCAGTAGAAAAATGGAGGTGGTGTCTTTGCATGCTGGCTGGAGTCGGGGTAGTATCAAAATCTTTGATGAAGGGGTAAAGTGGACGAGTTGTGGTTGGAAGAGCTTTGAATCAGCTACGTGATGAGGGATGCATGTGCAAATGGTATGACTCAAATCAAAATTCTCAGATCATCAAATGGAATGAATATATATAATATACAAAAATTATTGATCAAATTGAAGCTTGAAATGTGAATGTCACAAGATCTGAAGCGAAAAATCAACGACGCTCGTGCCAGCGACAGCTAGCGGCCGCATTCCGCGAAATAGTTTCTCCACCTCTTTAAAATTTATTTCGGAAAAGCTCAGCTTGAGAAAATGAACACCTCAAAACTTTGAAGCGCACATTCAAAGAAGCTTCACTGCACGCACATAATCTTGTATATCATTGTGCTCATTTATTAGATGCAGCATTGATAGTCTATTGATCGCATACTCATATTCTGAGAAACGAACCAAATCTCTCGGGTCGGAACCAACAAATTCGTCGAGGTAGCGAGGTTGAGCATCATTGATTCTACGTCGAGACGCACCTTACCGTCGCACCGGTTGATCTTTTGAAGAGTTGAATATACGAAATAGAAAGGAATAGAGTCAAAATGGTTCAAGGCGCACTTAAATCGACGAAGAGCGCATTGGCGGGCGGAAATCGAGCAAATGGGGCAGGGAAAAAGGCGGCGTTAGGACCGAAGAAGGGACAGAGGGTTATCAAAGCAAAGAAGGATGGATTGAGGAGGAGTGAAGTTTTGAGGAAGGTTAGTCGTTTTCTTGTTTTTGTTTCTGGTTGGTGGGGAGAAAGGAGGGTTGAGGTGAAATATGATGACGCACTTACATATGCATGGCTTTCCTAGTGGTCTCCTCGAAAGAGTTGAGACTTCTTTGACGAGTTTAAGTACCTGTCTGATTTCTACACTAATGGTTCTTGCTTCAAAGACGCAACTAAGATTGGGAAAAGAGAGAGAAATATATCTTACAAGATGTTTGGAAAGAATCTCAGCTAATTGGGCTTCCCTACATAGAAACATTCAGCAGGTCTCACAGCCATGACGGAAAAGACGCTCGGTGCAAAGGCGGGTCATCTGGAGTTATTGGGAGTAGGAAAGAAGAGTAAGGGAAAGGATGGGAAGAATGCTGGGGAGACTAAAGGGAAGGGAAACGCGGGAGCGACGATCCATGGAGGCGAGAAGGGAGGAACGAGGAAATTTGGTTAGAGGGATGTGTGCTGTGTTCAAGGAAAGCCAGAGGATGATGATGAAAATGAGAATAGATGAGGAACTTATTTAATTGGTATTGGTATGGAGTTTGGTTGGCGCTTCTGGAAGGATAGGCGTATGAGGGATAGGGTCAGGGCTAGGGATAGGAACCATGAGAGGTGGGATTGGAGATGTATTGAAATCATTAAGATTTTTACATACTTATGCACGGATTGAAAGAGAGATTAGATACATCTCATGAATACATACATATCATAATGAAAGGCAGCCTTTCCTTCTTTCCAAGAAATACATATCATGTACTAGGTACTTAAAGCCTTTGTTTCCTTTAAACGAATAGACCCGCTCTTCTCTGCTGCATTATACCAACACAACACAATAGCCGGTGGATGAGAAAACTCGGGGGAGGGGAAATGATCAAGCTGGTCACTATTAGATGGAAACGAATGGTGGGGGGGGGTGAAATTGAAGTGAATGGTGTGCTGTAAATCTTAGGTAGGTGACCTACTGTTCGTGGTGACTAGCTATTTAGCTTGTTAGAGAATGGTACGTGCTGTTATGTGGAATGGATTGAATGCTTTATGATTTTATGATTTAGATGTTGGGAATGGGGGAGGAATGTGATAGGCATGGTGATGGGGATGGTGATTTGTTGAAGAGGTGTTGCAATGGAATAGTAATAGAAAGTGCTAATGTTTGTTTATTGATTATGTCTCGATTGGAGGAGAGGGGTGTCTGTGTTGAATGGTCTTTTAGGGAGAGGAAGGGGGAATGGTTTACTTGGCGTTGAAGATGGAAGGGTGGGGGGGGAGGAAAGCTCGTTTAATCAGGGGGCAGAGTGATATCAGGTAGTTTCTTTTTTGTTTCTTTGTCGGCTATTGACTTAAGTTCGTAAACCTGAATGTTTTTTGACTTTCCTGGTATCTTTTGCATGTGAATAGGACCAAGAATATGAATGGTGATATAGATTTGTAGCGAAGTGAAAGTTGCTTTGGGTGGGAGAAGGAGGAGGAAGAGTTGATGGAAAAGTGTATAGGGCCTTGGTCAGTTATTGTGCTGATACGATTGCTTGATGTGCATTCACGAGAATTCAAGTGAAACTGACGCACTAGCATATAATTTATTACGGTTTAATATCCCTATCCGCCGGGAAATGCAAGCTGTATTACTAGCATCTAGGTACGCGGAGCGTACATACTATATACAGCCATATTCCATACACAGTACCCTGAATATGAATAAGAACCACAATATCAAGAATATGAATCAACACATACCAAACTTAGTACTGTGCTGTATTCACCAAATCACGGTGATACATATAATTCCTAATCACAAATACACTTTTACCTAGTCTCATACCGTACCGTACCACAATGTAAGGAGCTGGAGATATATAAGTTCTTCTAATACCCTCCTCTTAATACTTTCAACTCTCATTCATATTCCGAGAATCCTCATTACAAGACGGAAAACCTCAATCTGTACGAAATTTCCTCGGGAATCAAAATCAAAATGACAGTTCATAACCCAAATCCTGTGCAAAATATCTACAATGCTCCTACACAGCCCGCATACGCAATTCAGAGTGGCCATCGCACGATTCCGTTGGGTCAGGGACAAGGATTAGTCCCTGGATCTGCAGGTATGGGAGGTACGGGAGCATCACCATTGGGAGGTGCGCAGAATGTTAATGCTAGTGGAGGAGTTGTAGCGAGTTCGGGTGGTAGGAGGGGACATGGTGGCAGTGCGCGGGTGATGGGACAGAATGCTAGGGGGGTTAGTCCGGGTCGAAACCAGAGTCATGGAGCGGGAAGTGGGAATGAGAATGGGAATGCTGGTGGGGCTTCTCAGCATGTGAGTGCATCGGGAATGCAGGCTCAGGCTCAATTTCAACATCGACATAATCCGGTCAACCATATGACTGCTCAGGCTCAAGTTCAGCATCAACAAAATACAGCCAATTATGTTCATCCTCAAGCTCACAATCCACAACCCCATAACCCAATGAACCACATCCAACCTCTTTTCGGAGGTTCCTTCGGTCCACACGCTCCCCACATTCCTCGCAGAGGAGGCCTATTATCTCAACTCTCTCCCTACGTTCCTCGCACAGGAAATACACGTTTTTCTCCCAGAAACCTTCGGGGAAATAGATCAGCTAACAGACCGCCAATGCAACTAACAGGCCTACCGGTATCATTTGGATATCCTGAGATTGGAAATGTGAATGCAGGAGGAATAGGAATGGGAATGGGATTCGGAGATGGAGGTATGGTTGTGAATGGATGGGATAGTAGATGGGATGGAAGTGGTTCCTTTAGGGGAAGTGCAGCTTGTCCAAGAGGTGGTCGAGGTAGAAGAAGAAGATAGGGTAGAGTTTGAGGAGGGATGGAGTGGATGGTGATGGTGTTGTTCTGGGGAGTCTGAGTTAGATGGAGTTGGGGTTGGGGTTGGGGTTTGGGGGAAAGTTTTTGGGATCGCGAGATAATGATGGTGGAGAGGTTGGCGCTGGAAAAACGCGGTTGAGTGGTTGAGAGAGTCTGATATCTACTGAGCTATAGAGGAGTTTAGTTTACAAGCGGGGTTTATTGTTTCTTCCTTGAAAGATTTCTGTTGAGTTTCTTGCTGTGATTTTGATGGTGATTGTGAGTTTTCAAAGTGATAATCAAAATGTCTTTGCTAAGAGAGGCTAGTATCACTGAATACTTTTTCGACTAATCTAGCTTTCCATCCAGGGGGATGGGAAGAGGAGTACAAAATTGGGCATAAGGTATACTTAGAAGCTTGTCGAATTTCCTTGCATAGTAAGCCACCAAAGAATCACACAAATTGGCTGAATCTCATGGCGAATTGCTTTCAGTTCATCAGTGCACTTCATGGTAGATTCATTTACAGCGCCAAATTCTGGATCATATACCGTGGACCTTCTCAAGATCACAAATCTCGATCTTCGAAAGCAAGAGGACTTTGAATGAAGTCATGATTGTAATCACCAGGATTCCTTTGAGAATATCACGATTGTGATGTAGGGTATATAGGAATAATGAAAACGTAATTAATTCTTTAGCCCTAACTGATCCTCCAATCTTCCTAGATACGCAAATCTACGCCTTGCTGACAATCAATTCTATATCAAATAACTGTGAAGGAAATATATTCTGAGTTTGTGGAACCTCACGTCCTAAATTGATCTCGGACGATTCAGCCAATTGTGCACTTTAACAGTGATGAATCGACCTAACTTTCTAGCAGACCTAGAATCTTCTGAAAACAAGACATCAGAAACAAGCCTCATAAAGGCGAAGCAGGAAGTGACTTACTGTCTTCAACGGCACTTAGAAGATTGACGTGAGAAGAAGGTTGGGATTTATTGGGAGAATCGCACATACCAGCATGGTCGCGAGCAGGGAGTGCTGATTCCATGTGGTCTTCATTTCGCTGTTCAATACAAGAATCAATGCCTAGTCTGTCCATCAATCTATAATAAGAAGCTTTATCCAGGACATACTGCGATGCTTCTGAATTTTCTCCCCCAAATGCTTCAAAATTGGATAGCGGCTGTGTAAAGACATGTGGTAGACGCAATTTAGAATACTTCTGGAGTTCAACGGTTCGCTCTCGTGTTCTAGCACGATTTTCATCGATGGTCGTATGCACAAAGTTGTGGACTCTAAGCCAGTAGCGAGAGCGATATTCTTGAGGATGTGGTATCCTTTCGTCTCTTCTCAAAGGAAAGTAGTGTCCGATTGGGGAATATTGACTTCCCCAATCACGTCCGAGTCGACTACTAGTCATCTATCTTCAAAATCAGTTGAAAACCTTCAATTAAATTCTTCAATTAGGCATACTTGGACATATGAGACGTTATCTTCTTTGATTTGAATGACAACAACAGGGTGTTCTTGTCCCTTGGGATTCAAAACGCAATTTTTGATACAGTTAAGACTTGGGTTGATTTTTCGGCTTCGATCCACCAAGTTGGTCCATTGGCAGGGTATACCGGGGATTGTGATATTAAGCAGAGGGCGCCCTTCGCGAGGCCGTGGGACGTTCAAGTCACGACGGGGTCGTAGAACACAGCCCACCTCAATATCGCTGGGCCGTAACTGCATTGTATTGGTAATTTGTGAAGCGAAAAATTAGAGAGTTTGAGCCAAATGATTTTGGTAGTGAAGTAAAAGCTATGAGGATGAGATTGAATCAACATGCAGAAGGGCGACTATCGACCCTCTCTTATACTTCAAGATTGTCTATCTACATCTATCGGAGTGAATCAATAGTAGTAATATATGAGAGAAAGAGGTTCAACCGTTTCCAGTCAATCCATGACAGTGGATGCAACTCTCCAATGCACTCTCCAAGGTCTCTTGTGCTTGTTGACTGGCCGTGAGTACAAGTCAACATCCAGAGCGAAAAAATACAGCCAACAATTCACGCAATGCGATGCATTCGAAAGACAGACTCTACGACACTGGTTCTTTTGTTCCAATTGCAAACAAGTGACTTGTTATACTGAACGGTATGTTGAAACAAAACACTCGGTTTGCTTGAAGCCATACAAAGCATGTTCCTCACCACATGTCTCGAAGTCTCAAAGGAATCTGGCTCAGAGGGTATCATCATATGAACGACCTAGAACGCTCGACGACTTTCTCTTTGATCGATGTATTACTGTGAGCCATACTGTCGTTTTTTAATTCATGACAAAAGTATGATACCAGAAGTTGAGACTGAAGATTTCATGCGTGCAAGTCGCGAAAGAAAAGACCCTAGGACTTAGCACGGCAAGTGCCTGACTTTAGCCGGTGACGAACTATGACCTCAAGAACCATTTGTGGCTTACTTCAATTTAAAACACAAAGATCATGATCAGTAACTTCGACGAGAGATTATAAAATTTTCTAAGTTCATTACAACTGAGGACAACAAAACGCGCACCTATCTATATGGTAAGGCCGGACGAAAAGCCCCACGCTCCTCACAGTGGCAATCAACACCTCAAAATTCCATAATACGCAAGCCAAGTAAAAGAAACCCAACAAACCGAACTGTCAGTATGACGTCCCATCAGATCTTGGCTTCATTCCAATCAACGAATGAAGTCTATGAAATACCTCTTCGACCTGTCAAATTTCCATTTATCCTTCCTGCTCATGCACCCCATTTTTCGGATCAAGGGTGGTCAACCTTGTCTTTCTCACACACGGACCCTATCCACATTTCTTCTCAGAAGCTTCTGCAAGCAAGTAAATCCTTCTTTGATCTTCCGCTTGAGTATAAATTTCAGTTTCTTACTGGGAAGGGTACTGAGGAAGGATGGAATCGGGTGGAAGGCGAGAAGGAATTCATCACTCTACGTGAGATCAATGCCACACCTCCAGAATTGTTGGATACCGTGAAAGAATTCTGGGATATTACTGGGGATGTTTTGAACGAGATATTGGGAGAAATTGCTAGTAGCTTGGGCATGAAGAAAGAGTTGCTCACACGGTATTCTGAGCCATGTCTCAAGCTCCATCATGAGAAGACAGCAACCATGATCAGACTATTCAGGTACGAAAGTGATGGAACAGAAGGGAAGGTCGTTTCGGAACGTATGTCATCATTATTTCGTTCGAAACACAAATATTAGAAGGCTAATTTTGTTAGCACATCGTGACCTTGGTCTCTTGAGCCTATCCATTAGCGATGCTCCTGGTCTGGAAGTTTTGGACATGCAATCCAAAAAGTCGTTCCCAATTGAACAATCGTTCGAGGGGAGAGATACAGGAACTTTGCTCGTGGGGAGAGAGTTGAATTTCTTAAGCAACAATAGATATCAAGCTGGTGGCCACTCAGTACGTATGTATCCAAAAATTGTGACCAGGAACGAGCCATATGGAAAGGAGAATGAAGCACAACAAGAGATGCCGGCTAGGAAATATTATAGATACTCAATAGTTTTTGTACTTCGGGGTCATGAAGATGTGCCCATTGATACAAATGAATTGAGGACGCCGATTACAGGACGATGGAAGAAGCCAATGAAGGGACTGAAGATGGGGAATCTATATCGGCGCTTCATGAGTAAACATGTCAATATTAATGTGGAAATGGAGGAGCGGCAAAAGCAGAGGAAGAGGTTGCATGAGAAGAAGGCGAATACGATGATAGGTCGATGAGGCCAAGATCATCATTCGAGGTTTGAAAATACGCGTTGATAAAATGTGGTGAGCTGATGATACTCATAAGGGGATAATGGTGATTGAGATCATGAAGTTTGCTAGAGTAGTGCTCAAATTACTGGCGAACTGAACATTGCACTTTCAGGAGAGACAGTTTTTGTACAATGTAGTACAGCAACTTCACTATTTGACTTCCTAGTCCACAAGAAGAAAATCGCTATAATTGGATTCAAAGTTGTTACACAACAGAATCTCGGAATGCTATTCTCTAGAGCTAAGATTTCGTCGTAGAATTGGCCGCGTCTTTACACAAACACTTACCAGAAGTTGCTCACGAGCCAGTCAAGATGTAGTAAGCCCATTAAAAAACATTCTCAGGTTTTCTGTCGCTGCACTGCGCGGGAAAGGCGGCGATTAGAACAAGAATGAGTTTAACGGTAGTTAATATATACACCTAAGTAGGTAGGGCAGATTAAAACAACCAAGGAGGGGGCGCGGAACGGCGGAGAAAGCGGATCTTCCTACCTTTGAAGATAGAAAAGCTGACTAAGGACGTTACCCCTCATTTCACCCGGCTTGTGCTTCCCCAGCTTTTTCCAATGACGGCAATCATCAACTTCGTACTACTACAGCATTCCCGAAACACTTCGTTTTCTATCTAGGTAGGTTCACAAGAATAATCAGGCCGAGGTTGTACTCTTCATACACATACCAGCCATTCTCATCTTAATCATGCAAAGAGATTTGCTTCCTCTTCTACCTCATTACACTGCAAGCTAAATCCAGAGTACCGGAGATTTAAGGATGACAATGGTGAGCAACCTTTAATGAAATCCCTTGATATCTACCAGTCGTTATTAACATGAATGTCATCCACGTGTAGTCTGACAACAATCCGCCAATAGTCAAATTCGCGACAGGAATTAGCGACCGTATTCAACTGGGACAAGGGACAACCTTTCTGCCCGGAAAGAAGGATCCATCAGTACAACATCTCATCGACCATGTCCTCGAACACGGCTATGTCATTCTCCCTAAAATATTTACGCCCGAGCAAGTAGAGGTAGCAAATTCCGAAGTGGCACGACTTGAAACTCTTGACGCTGGACCTGCTGCAATCGCTGGTCGAAACTATTTTGAGGGTTTCAAGACTGGAAGAGTTTATGCTCTCGCAGACAAATCCCGAGCGTTTGATCAGTTTCCAATACACCCCACTGTTTTGGCATTGAACGATTACTTCCTTCAAGCCAATTATTTAATTACAAGTCTGCATACTGTGGTAATCTATCCTGGACAAACTGCACAGGCTATACATTGCGATGATGGATTGATCGCACTGCCTAGACCAAGGCCACTGATCGGTGTTGTATGTTGTACTTGGGCTCTTTTCTATATTGTATAGATTGAGAAAGAAAGGCTCACAATCTGAATAGGGCACCATGGTCTCATTCGATGATTTTACTGCCGAGAATGGTGCGACTACTGTAATTCCAGGGTCGCATTTATGGTCTGACGATCGCGTTCCAACCCGAGAAGAAATGATTCCGGTAATCATGCCGGCAGGTAGCATGGTCTATTTTCTTAATACTCTTTGGCATTCGGGTGGAGCGAATACCTCAGATAAGGCTCGTCGCAGTATTACAGTTCAGTATTGTCAGCCCTGGATACGAACATTTGAGAACATGACAATCGCAATGGGCTGGGATGATCTAGACAAGGTTCCGGAGAGACTGTTGAAATTGATGGGATTCTCTACGCATGATTTCATGGGCTATGTAGATGGCCGTTCACCCCGAGCCGGTGTGGAGATGCGAAAGAAAAGAATGATTGAGCGAGCTTTCAAGGAGAGAGATGAACAGCGTGGCTCAAAACTCTAGTAGTCCATTGAATCACAGCAGTTAGATGTTGTGTAATCAGTCATTGATCTCCTCGCGATTTGCTTTATGCTCTGACTCCGAAATTCGACGTCCGTACGATGTTGCGATTACAGATGAACATCTATTACAATCATTACAGACATCCTCTTCTCTTTCATGATTCCTAAATTTTTCCGCTTTCAAAATCTATTTCGTTTCATTTCATAGAAGATTGCTTGAAATCTCATTAGGTAGTCTGTAAGTTAGAGCAATGTAGATGTTTACTAATGAACATTCAAGATGAATTATCATTCGAAGACAGGTTGTTTTTCGGCTACAGAGTACAATCTATTCGGCTTTGAACGCTCAATGGTAATTTTACCTGTTTCTCCATAAATAATCGAATCGTTTTAGTTGTTGCCAGTCATTCCTGAATCTCGGCCTGCTATTCTGCTGTGGAATAACATTGTGTTATTTCGACCCACTAACGTCACTTGGTCAAATTTCTTGACAACGTTCCATCTTTGTATGTCCACGAGTAATTTTGAAACACGGCAATCCGCATATGTCAAATTCGGTGACTGCTTTGGAATATTTGGGAAGGTCTTTCACTCCGTAATGGTAATTTTAATCCACTTTCAAGCTTTACAAGTGTTAAGCTTTGGCAGACTTCCCGCTTCTGAGAGTACGGACTATGCATTGTGAAGAGATAAGTCTTGGTTCTATACGCTCATTTCCATTTGGGATATGTGAAGAGATATACATGGTGTATAATTGTGACTAATGCTATATCAGGATGCTTACTCATTCTGATGTATGGTGCTATTCAGGCTTTGTAATGAAATGTGACTCTGGTAAAAACAACTTGCATGTGCTATAGGATTGTGAAGTTTAGCAAGCGAGATATTTTGCTCCAAGTTTGTATGAATTTAGTGGCGAGATTCTTTGAACAGAGCTAATTGTACGATTGATTTACATACTACAATTTGGTATTCTAGGTTCAAAAACATATTCTGTCTTCGCCGACCCAAAAAAATCATTCTCGAAGGAGGTGCAATGGACTATGGATTCATAAGTCATTGTACACTATTTATAACATGCACCAGTCTCTAATATGAAGGCTCGGGGCTAACGACACTAAGCTCAATGCTAAGAGTCTTCAGCTCCTCTGACGTGGTCAATATGATCTAGATATACTTGCTAGCTTTTGAGGATTGTGGGAAACACCAACCAATAAGGGACAACAGAACCACAGCTTTGAATATAAGATCGGTGTCGATTTAGTTGACTTGTAAAAGTGCAAAGCTATTTGCGCCTCGATTGACGGGCGAAATATGTGAATAATGAAGATGTATAAGGCTGAACATGATACTTGGGCATGTGTAATGAAGAGAAGAAAAACATTGGAAGACAGCGGAATCCAGAATTGTGGAGCAGTAGGATGTAAAATGTCGTCTTAGCTTGATCGTGCACGACATCAGTCATATTCTTATCGATGCACGTCAGACGAAGCTTTGCCGAATGAAGAAAGGACGAGCTACCTATTAGATACACTTGGCGCCTTTCCGACCCCTCATTTTACCCCGCATAGAGAGCTAGCTACTCGGAGATCCGACTTAAACTTAGAACATGATATTAAAAGACAATACAATCTTAAACTCTCGAGGAATAACATATCTTAATCGAACCTTCCTGAAGCCTCGAAAGTATCCAGAATCAGAAAGAGAAGTTTACTACCCAGGCAATTGATTACATTCGATCAGTAAAACTATCAGCCACCAAAACCAGATCAAAATGTCGACTGAACAGCGAGGTCCCCTCCCAAATGGTCTTCCAAATCTTCAACGTCTCATAACAACCACCGATCCAAATGGCAAAGCCATCCTCGAGCCCAGCATATCTCCCGAAGCTGTCTGGCAACCGATCCAAAACAACGACATGGCTTTTTTTCTCGCATACACTACCCATAAATTCCCAGCCTCTCTCTCTCATGCCCCGGCATCTCAGAACTTCACATCCACTACACCTATTGATATAGCTTCTTACAAATCAGACCTCTCTTCACCTCCCGGTCTCTCCATCTCCACGGGAACAGTCGTTCGCTTCGTGGATTTCGCGCCTGGTTACACATGTCCAATGCATAAAACCGTGAGTTTGGATTATGGAGTTGTGTTGGAGGGAACGATTGAATTGGTCTTGGATTCGGGAGAAAAGAAAATTATGCAGAGGGGTGATGTTTGTGTTCAGCGGGCGACAAACCATGCTTGGAGGAATGCTACGGACGGGGAGGGTTGGGCGAGAATGATGTTCGTGTTGACGGCTGTTGAGAAAGGGGTTGGAATTGAAGAGGCGGGAATAGATGATATGAAGGAGTTGAGGAAGAGCACTTGAATAAGGCAGGTTTGGATGTCTCTTCTTGGGGAGTTTATTGCATTTTCTTCGTGCCTGGAGATGCAATTTTTTGAATGGCCAGGACGAAAATGGTCTGAATTACATTGCAGGGCAGATGCAATTGCATGAAAAAATCTGAGATATTGCAGAATTCATATATTTGCGCTCAAGTGAACAAGTAAACGGTAGTATCATGATGCCCGAACGTATCAAGTGAACCGAAACGCGAAGCCGTCTATATGCTTGGTTCCCTAGATCTTGTTTTCATTCTCCATGCTCCTCTCCCATTCATTTCTTATGCAGCTCTCCTCTCCTTTCCACTGATCAAGTAAACTCCAGCCCTAACATCTACCAAAGGATCTCCACTAACATCAATGCCCTCTACCCTGGGTACCGGATCAAAAATAATATGTTTCTGCTCTTTCTCATTCTCTCCCAACAATCCCTCTATCTTAACACGTCCCAACTCCACAACCTTTCTCTCTTCTGGCCAATGCACAGTTGCATCATCTGTCACATCTCCCTCTTCCGCAATCTGCACCTCCAATTTAAACTCCGCTGCTCCCTTTTCCAACCTCGCTACAATCTCTTCCGTCAGATAATTCTCCCCCAGACTCTTTTTCTGCTCCTCACTCGCGATCTCAACACCCTCAACAGGAACAATCCTATATCTCACAAAAGTCTCCTTCCCATCAGAAGCAATGAATTTAAAAGCGTTAACACCCCAATAATTTTCCCTAGCCCAACTCGTCGGCGCTGGCTTAGGCGCAGTAACAAAAGCCAAAGCCTTAGGATGCGCATCTAGGAATTTCTCAATAGGTTTCGGACCCTCAACACCTTCTCCACTACTCGCTGCGGCTTTCAAGAATTCGAGAAACTCATCGCCGGTACGGGTTGGGAAGAAAGGGGTCGAGTGAGCAACGATATCGGTGTGTTTGTGTTTCTCAGCATCGAGAATAAAACGGATGGCGATACCGCGGGGATCGGCGTTGGCGTCGAAATCGGGAATCGAGGGGATACCGGTGGAGTTGGAAAAGCGGACCCAGACGGGGGTGGAGGGGGAGGTAAAATGAGGGGCAGAGGAGAGGCTGCGTGCGGTGGGGGTAGGGATGAAGGTTCCGATTAGGAGGAGTCCTTTTGCGTGGGCTGGAGAGGGGAGTTAGATTGGATTCTGGGATTGATGATGGGGTGACTTACCAGGTCGTTGTCCGGCATGTTTGCCAAACATAGATTGGAGTTGATGGACTAGTCCTTCACTTGTTTTGACTACTGCGGGGTCGGATGGGAGAGGCATGATTATGATTTAACTTTCTGGGAATCTTGTGTATTATCCAATATATTGTTGATGAAGGGTATGTATTGTACGTTTTGCAAGTGGAATACGATTCGAAACTGAAGTTCTGGTGGAAATAAAGGATTCCTCTTGCACTTTATACGTTTGCGTCGAGAGAGTGAATACCACGCCGCAAAATCCCAAAATCCTTTCAGGAATATTGATGCGTTTTTTGACGCGATAACACACTTCATGACGTTTTTTTGATATGGGAATTTGGAATAACCCCTCATGTTCAGGACCCGAATACTAGCTCCCATTGGACAAAGTCGTACAGTTGAGGTTGATCGTTTATCAATTCACTATTAGTGGTTCATGGTTGATGTACCAATCCCATAACTAACCAATCAAATGTGTCGGGTGTGCGGTATCTTGATTAGTTAATATAAAGGTGGCGGCTTACTGTATTCAACTGTTGGTATCACATATCATGTCACATCTCGTGTACGCGGGTCCCGGTTACAACCAAAAAGCTCGCGAAAAGTTGACAAGTGCTTGAATAAATACCACTAAATACTGAACTACTCATTATATAAGATGCAATTTGGGCAAAAGATTATAAAAATATCCCATGGTGTGTTTAAATTACTGCCGGGTTCCGAACTTCCAATCACTTCTGTTCATTTACTCAGAGTGTGATTTTGATGGTCGATGCGACGCTGGGTACGCCTGCAGAAGTCATGGCCCAGAACATCCAGTATCCTGGGAGTGCAATTCCTGCATCATTAGGGATGGTAAAGGTGTAAGTGTTGTCACTTGTTGTAATAGGCGTGAGGGCAATACGTCGCTGATCAGTATTGACAGTATGGGTTGCTGAACCAAATCGAGTGATTGAGAAACTGGTTACAGCGGTGTCGGTAACAATTGTGAGTGTTCCACCGATGGCAACAGTAGAAGTGGCGGATGAAATAACGGGTCTCGTTGCGGCGGTTCCATTGGCGGTGAAAAGATATGCTGGACTGTATATTTGTGCATCGGCGTGATTTGTGGCACAGCTGGATCCACACAATCCTCCACCTCCCGTGAAAACCCTTCCGTCGAGCATCAGAAGAGCCATACTATGGTATGTTCTTGGGATGGCATGAGGAGGTAAGATTGTGAAATTTTGTGTTGTGGGATCCCACAATTCCGGTGTCAACACTGCATCTGTGTCTGTGAATGGAACTGCATATGGTTGGCCTCCTATCACAAAGATCTTCCCATTTGGTAGCACGACGCCGTTTGCGAAAGCTCGTTTGTATGTCATTGGTGTCAGAGTTTGGACTGTAGGATTAACGTTGGGACTTCCGATTGTGATCAGATGAACACTGTTGGTCGCAGCCGAATTCTGATAGCTAGGAGATCCACCGGCTGTGAAGATCTTTCCGGCGACTGCATCATACATGACTGCATTTCCACACATGGAGTCTGGATCAGAAGCGCGAAGTCCTGCAGCGACTTGAGATCCAGTACCAGTCGTTCCGTACCAGTTCATTGCTTTACTTGGACCAGCTTGGAATACAGATCCATTCTTCCAAGCGAACAACCATGCATGGTTGTCGGTACGGAAGGCACCTTGTGCATCAGCAGTGAGCATTGGTTTTACTGGGCAGCCTGATAGCAGGGACCATGTGTTGGTGCTTGGATCATAAATCTCTCCATTTTTTCCACCATAGCCACCACTCCAAGATCCGCCGATGTTGAAAACCTTTCCTGTTGATGTTGTAGTGGTCGATTGGTAACCGCGAGGAACTTTCATAACGGGTCCTGCTACCCACTGATCGGTAGCAGAGTCATATATGCTCGTCTTGTTTGCGGTATCTCCTCCTGTGACAATAGCACGTCCATCAAACATCAAAGACATACCAGGGCAGAACATGTCATGCTGGGTGTTGGAAACATTCGCTGAAGATATGGCACCTGTCGTAGGATTGTACACTGCCGAGATAGTGTAGCCATGTAGACCTATTTGAAAAGCCAGAGGGCTGTATGCTGCATAAGTCCATATGTTCCCTGTGGAATACTCGATAAAACCAGCAACTGGAACAAGTGGCATATTAATCACTGGACCCCATTGTCCCAAGCCCCCAACAGCAATAGGGGCGACTGAGAAACCGAATTCCGCTGCATTGGTCCAACTACCACGATTTCCAGCTTCACTGGTAGCATTCAAGCGGAAATATCGAGCTTGTGTATTTGTAAACCCTACAGTCTTCTTGGTAGCGTCGTCTTGGAAAGTGGAAGTCGCAACAGTTGACCAAGTCTCGTTGTCTGTACTGACAGCCAACGAGTAGTCACCGATGTTCCCATTGCGTTTACCATCTTGTCTTGGTGTATAGGTAAAAGCATTGAGAATTTGTGCTGAGCCTGTGTCAAGGTATATTACGTGTGGAAAAGGAACAAGAACAGGGCTGTATTCGCTATGCCAGAATGTGCTGGAGTTTCCATCAACAGCATAGGAAGCTGGATTTGTAGCTTGGGAGCTCGATACCCCAATGCTCATTGCTGCTTGCACAGTCTGCGCCACTGGCAGCAAGAGGAAAGACCATAGTCCGAGCATTTTGGCGCTCGGAAGGTACAGTTCAATATTTCAGGAGACGAAACCCTGTGGAGTGTCAGTATGATCTACACTTTCATTATCGGGATTGGGTAAATGACTTACAATGAAGTTACTCAGGTACAACGGCCTGATCTGAAACTACATGATCGTCGTTCCCGTTCTTTAATAGTAGCACGAAGTGGGGCAGTCAAATAAGCTTGCCTCCGCATCTTGAAGGCGATGAGATAGATATCTGGGGCCCCTGCAACGGCGGCGTTGCCCGCATAAGCTTATCGATATAGGTTTTCAAGAACCCCCATTTTTATCCCGTGTAAAAAATCAATATTCTCAAATTCCCATGTCTGAAGGTAGATACGCGAGTGGTTAATCTGTATATAAGCTCGGAATACGGAATACTTTAGCGCGGCTCTCATCTATCTCCATGCAGACTTTTATTGAAAAGGAAGCTCTTAGCTAGCGAAACTTGTTTGTAGAAAAAAGCAAATGTGTCATCGCAATACTGTGAGCGAATCATATTGGTGCTTACCCAAACCGTTTACGGCCGTGAGACTCTTAGTTACCAATAAGATCCTTGATCACATGCCTCTAGGTGGTATTAAACTCGGTGGCTTCTTCTTCAATACACACTTGTTGCACAGATTTCTGGCCATTGATTCAACATCACAACTGATTGTTATCATGCAGCTGATTACTACCAAATAATGCACTCATTCTAGTCTTGGCAAGTCCCAGGATTTGGTTATCGGTAGCAGATGTGTCAAATGTATGCCAACCTAATGATTTGACGCCACAATAAACATTCCTCACCTGTGCCTCCGAATACGATACCGATACATGCATAAAATGGGCAGCTTCTCTCAGTTTTCCTCCCTTTTCAGGAGATAAATCCGAATCCACTGAGAACTCTGCTGGCGTCAGCTGAAATCTGACTGAAGATTGCTGACAATCAAAACAAATTTGACGATTTATAGGTTGTCATGGTGCAGACATTTCCCACGAGAGACTCGTTGCAGAAATGATCGGCATCGATGTCCAGGGAATTTGATTACTGCTTTAAAACTATTGATATATTTATTGAATTGTGCAGAAGCCCGGAGAGAATACTCCAACCTTTTGAATCGTGGTGTGCGACTTCTAAAGAAGCTGGACCAGGCGGTCGTCTTCCGGCAGCCTGGACTGAAGCAGCATGCTCCATTTATCGAACCAATGAGGAAACGATAACAGAACAATTGGTGTCTTGTATAAACATGGAGTATGAAGAAATCCTAGACATAACGTCCACGATGATCTCGATGACGAGCAGCCAGCTGGCCATGGATCTTCTTAGGCTGCCCGAGAAAAACTTTGCATATTGCCCAGCTGGCGATAGACTTTGACCTGCTGCATTGAGACTCGTCCACATATCCATATTGAAAATCCCACAGTATCCACGATGATCCCCGCTAAGATTGTGAAGTCCACTTCAAGCACACTCTAAACATGACAATCTACGAGCGTCGTAAGAGTGTAATTTTTGAGAGCATGGCATGTAAGCGATGTGCATTGTCAGAGATCTAGCAAGTAAACTTGCAAACATGGCACTGCATCTGCCGCTTCTCAATCTAGCAATCATTTATTGTTAATTGAGAGTGGCAGGAGATCTTAAGCTGGCGCCGGAGGTTAATGTTATAACATAAACTCCGTTGCAGTATCTTGAACCATAAGGTTCGGGTTATCCGTTCATTTGATGTCCGACAACGCTTTTCAGATACAAGTGAAATCGGCATCCATTTGGTAATAAGGCGGCCATACTCATTGAAACATTCCTAGATTAAGTTTCCTGCGATTATGCTTCAAGAACAAGTCGCCGAATCGATACTCGATAGGATACGAGAATAGGTTGAAAACGGACAATTTCTCTTCACTTGTAATCTTACAATTTCTTTGTTTGAGCGCGCTCAAAAGGGCTGTGAAGCCAGAAATAGAAGGCAAAACCGTAGAAGTACACGTGATTGATGCTGACCAAGTCGCAGATCTGAACAGAGCAGATGATGTGGTTTTTATTGAGTAAGTCGATGAAACCGAAGTTGTCAGATTGGTGCCGGTAGTCATAAGCTTTCAGTTGCTCGTGGTAGTATTGGTGAAAATAGTTGTGATTTTCCTCAAGTCAAGACCAATGAATTTGCTGTAAAGCTAGAAATGTATATAAAGACCAATACTGATGGAGTGTTGGATATACAATACGTGTGCCGTAAGCCGAGACTGCGGGCGAAACAATAGCAAAGCCAGATATTGCAGCGTTTATGATGTCAGAGGCTTCATGTTTGTATTATCATCAATTCAAATACAGCTGAGAAGCATTCTCTTTTCCGACATTCTATTCTGAGCATTCCATTTTAATCCAAATTTTCCGTATAGAACAATGCTGCTTTGTCTCGTTGTCAACCACTAAGTTGAATGGTATCGCAATGTGGCCTAGTAATATCGCAATAAAGTTGTTTCAACATATTCCAAACTCTTCACAGCAAGGAAAGAAAGTGGAACAATTGATTGCAAAGAGCATTCTCCTCACAGGCTAGAAACATGGGCTTGGAACAGTATTTTCGACTGATCTGATGAAAACATTTCTCCATGATTTTTCTGCTATAGAGCAAAACTGTACCGATTGCCATTAAACTTGTGAAATTAAAAATCTATTAGAATTCAGCCAGTTCTGAGACTCAATAACAGGTTCGCAATTGATAAAAATTAGAATGCCACTTGACATAATGCTGTATGATAGGCTGATGAACCATGACATGTAAGAGCAAAGAAGTTGTAATAAAAAGTGTCGAAGTTAATTTGAACTTAATTGAAACCAACATCATCTTGAAGTTTGCTTACAATTGAAAACAAACGAAATCCGCTATAGAACTTGGCAGTGAATGGATGGTCTATGGAAATGACCTGAGTTGACCCTTATCAGATCGCGGTGTTGACCTGGCCGTAGGTTCAGAGGATCGAGATCTGGACCAAAACAGCCAAACCTGAGCAAGTCCCACAGCTCATAAAATTGGAGAGTTGGCTGCGTAAAGGACGACCCTGGAAGTCCGGAATATCGAGATCCTTGGTTTGGATGCGGTCAAGGGTTGAGATCTTGTGGATTGTAAATTTCAGCTGAGAAAGCAGGGACTAACTTCCCAAGGTATCTCAATCGACCCATTCTTTAGGTAACTGTTGCCTTTGATGTGCGCAAGGTCTGGGGGGCTGAAGGCATGCGCGTGCAATGTGTTTTGGTGGTACTACATGCAGTGGTGTAGAATAGCTAGATTTGCACTCGGAAAAGGGAGAACAAACCCACATCACTTTGACTTTCCAACAGTAGTAAACTCTTCGAACTACTTAGAATGAATACCTTGGAGATTCACCTCGGTACCTCCTGGGATTGGATCCCGCTCATATTTGAACAGAGCAGTTCCAATAAATTCAACGTCCACAGAGGTAAAGCTACTGCGCAAGATAACATCCATTGAACTTTTGGCGTTTGTAAACGTAGAACAAAATGTAAACGCCATTCCACTTAATGGAGCGATTCTCCACAATTGAGAATGGTGAAAATAAAAACTTACCCATTCCCCTTCGATGTTCACAATTTCGTATTTCGGCCGCCCCAAAGATATGAGATTGCATCTCTCTATCTCTCTCTTTTCCTATCCTTCTCAAACTTTTACTTCTTTCTGCCCTATATTTCTCGTCGTTGCAATATCTCCAAGCTTAATGAGAAATATCACATATCATAAAATGAGAGTCAAGATTGTTAAGAGGTTTCTATCACTGAGAGAGAGAGAGAGAGGTTGTAACAAGTGGAAGAAGCTCAGAAATCGAGGTTTGTTTCGTTGCTTTGAAAAATGTTGTTCTTTTACCCGGGCTGGGTAAACTCCGGCCACTGGTGTTTCCACGTCAATAGAATGGTTCGTACCCCCTGACTGACACTCCAGGGTTTTTGTGGACACAGCATCTACTAGCTATCTATAAATTGATTTTGGTGATTATATCACCTCAAATTTTTCTTATGGCCCAAATACATATCTACACGTAGGTAAAGCTTCATTGATGATTAACTACTTTGACTCGAGGATTCGATGAGAAACATTGTTCCTTACACGCAGTCGAGCCGATTAGATATTTTCAGAGATGACTGAGAGCCAATGAGCCTCAAATGCATCTGATTAAACTGGAAACTCTTCAACACGACATAAATTCGTTCGAGCGTCATGATATGTAGTGATACTTCACATGGACTGTTGTACACTGTGGGTTGTAAATTTTGAGATGATGATGGATGCAATTTCTCTCAACTTGGTCCTCCGAAGGTACGGGAAGGAACAAACGGAAGGCGATGCCTTCTCTATTTGATGTTGGGGAAGATATTCTACTTGAAATTCAAGCATGCACCTACCACTATCGATATGCTGTGCAATCACCGTCCGTCTCTATCTCAGCTTACATCTCAATTACAACCTATCTCTGAATGATAGATGTGAATTCTTCTATATAAAGACTCTGCAGTTTAAGTCAATTTTCTCACAATCTTCTTCACATTCTCGAGCTACCTTCTACTATGCGAAACGAACTACTTACGGTTATGATCTTAAGCCATTTTCACAGTCCAGTTTTGGCACTGCTCGCAGCATTCGTGAGTTGAACCTGTTGTTCTTTGGATTTACTTGGCTTTACTAACTCACAATAGCTTGTTACTTCTGCAGCTGCTTCTAATCATGCTCTTCAAAACGAGCTTACCACCTTGCAGAGTCTGCCGGACACTTGGGTGTCTCAAGGATGTTATGTGGATGTTGGTCGTACATTATTCGAGGGAGAATACATTGACAGCACAAATATGACAGATGAATCCTGTATCTCATATTGTACCTCCAAAAGCCTCAACTATGCTGGAACAGAGTATGCCTCAGAATGCTGTATGCTACTTCCCGACTTCCAAATTACTCGATACACCAACACTAAAATTTCATCCAGATTGCGGCAATAGTCTTGCAGCTGGAGCTGGGCGTGCGATAGCTTCAGACTGTAGCATGAAATGCCCAGGAAATGCTACCGAGTTTTGCGGTAGGTCTAATAGTCTTATCGATTTCATTGTTCTCAAGTCTTTCTATGGCAAAACTAACACGTTAAGTTTGCAGGTGGCCCAAACAGACTGAATCTTTTCTGGAACGGCAAATCACCACCTCAAACTAACCCTGGGTCTGGACTCTGGAGCTTTGCCGGGTGTTACACGTTAGTCGTTTGCCTATTCAATGACCCATATATAGTCTGACGAATGACAGAGAAGGTCAAACAGGCCGACTTTTGATATATCAAGTTATAGCTTCTCCCATGACGGTTGATATCTGCACAGCAGCATGTCAAGAAGGGGGCTATTCACTGGCTGGGGTTGAATACGCTGACGAATGCTGTATGTATATGATAGAAATACACAAAACTGTTGACTCGTCTGGAAGCTCACCATCTTTTAGGGTGTGGAAATCAATTGTCTAACGGAGGAGGTGTTGCACCTGAGGGCGTTAGCGGCTGTTCCACGTTATGCGCAGGCAACTCTTCAGAGTTTTGTGGGGGGACCAATCGACTGGATGTATATGACTTTAACAATACCGTTATTGTTACCGCGCCATTTACTGCTACCACTGCTGGAACAGCACCTTCTTCCACGAGTCCCCCATCAATTCAACAAACAGTTGGTGTGTATACATACTTTGGGTGTCAGACTGAAGCTACAAGCGCTCGAGCACTTGCCTCCAAGGCTTCTGATGCTGGAAATATGACACTGGAGTCATGTGAAGCAAGCTGCATTGGTTACACCTATTTTGGAACCGAATATGGACGAGAATGTTAGTCACCGTTCCGAAATTTTCAACAATCTGAACTAACTAAGAGTAACAACAGGCTATTGTGGCAACACCTTTTCCGCTGGCTCTGTTTCAGCTCCAAACACAGACTGTAGCTTTCCTTGTGCGGGAAATAGTTCCGAATTCTGCGGTGCTTCCGGAAGATTGACCGTATATTTACTAAACAATACTCTAAGCTCTACCGCTCCTCCTTCCGCTCCGTCGACAGCTATCACAGATCTTCCTACTGGATGGATTTACAGTGGCTGCTGGGTTGATGGATCACAAGGTCGTGCTCTGACATATCAGCAACCTGATAATCAGAATCTTACTGTCGAATCTTGTGTTGCGACATGCTCCGGACTAAACTACATTGTCGCAGGCATGGAGTATAGCTCTGAATGTTTTTGTGATAATTTTGTCGGGAATGGAGGTGTTCTTGCAACCTCACCTGCTGACTGTAACATGCCGTGCAGTGGTAATTCGAGTGAAATTTGCGGTGCTGGAAATAGATTGTCCGTCTACTCCTTTGGCAGTGTGCAAACATCTCAACCTGCGACCGTTCAACAAAGAGATTTACCTGGTGATTGGAACTACAAAGGGTGCCTCGAGTCAGTTGCCTCTCAAGAGCTGTCCGATTTCATGCAGGCTGATAGAGTAAAACTTTAGAGATAATATAAGAGGCATTAGAACGTTCCCCTATCAAATGATCACTTCAAATAATACCGCAACGAATTGTCTTTCGCAGTGTCAAGTATTTGGCTATAATGCAGCTGGCCTGGAGTACGGCTCTCAATGCTGTAAGTCATGATTGCTTTTCCCAAATATCACATAAATTGACAGAATCTTCAGTTTGTGGCGACGTGGGGAATATTATAACGGCTGGAGCATCACTGATTAGTGAATCTAATTGCCAAGTCGTCTGCTCTGGTAATTCCTCTACTATATGCGGCGGAGACAGTCTCTTATCTTATTACTCATGGGATGGACCGGCGCTCTACAATTGGTCATTTCCAGTGGGACCCAATGCTGGTGAACACTCATTGCTAATAGGCGGTGTATGCATACCACTGATGGTGTCCCAAATGATTACTGGCAAGGTGACATTTGTTGAAAAGTTCGGGACGGGCGAGCCAAACTCGACAGGCGCATATGAGTTAGATCTCTCAGCAATCGATAATTTTACACTGGCATGGAGACCAATGCATGTTAAAACTGATGTCTTCTGCTCCGCGGGACTTATTCTTCCAGATGTTGCTGGGAGACAGATAGATGTAGGAGGGGTAAGAGCATGCATTCTTCCTAACGATTCACGAGTTTTGGTGGCCCCATAGTACACCTTTTATCTGTGTAATATCTCAAGATCTCAGCTCAGCTTGTCACACGTTTATTTTCTGCGCTACTCCTAGCACCAAGATTATGATGCTGATATTCATGAGTCTTAGTGGTCCGGCGAATCAACGTACGGTGTACGACTTTACTGGCCGGATGGATCCCCTAATGTCTGGGGATCCAATGATTGGCAGGAAAATGTGAACGAGGTGCGCCTTGTAGCTCGATGGTACCCTACGGCAATGATTATGGTTTGTCTAATCATCTCCAGATTTTGAAATAGCATTTACTAACACTGTGACAAGGCAAATGGCTCGATTTTGATCATCGGTGGCGAAGAAGGGTCGAATGCCCCTGCATCTCCAAGCTTAGAGTTACTCCCTCCAACAGGCGCCCCAGTTCTCAATCTAGATTTTCTTGCTCGTACGGACCCCAATAACCTTTATCCATTCCTTACGGTCATTCCATCTGGTATTTTTGTTGCATACTATAATGAAGCAAGAATTCTTGATGAAGTCACATTTGAGACTATCAAGACACTGCCTAACATTCCGGGTGCTGTGAATGATCCGAATGGTGGACGAAACTATCCTCTCGAGGGGGCCATGGTTTTACTACCTCAGGTTTACCCTTACACAAATCCCATCGAAGTGCTCATTTGTGGCGGTTCCACACCTGGGGGCGGCTTCGCCATCGATAATTGTGTTTCTATGCAACCTGAAGCTGAGAATCCTACTTGGCTAATTGAAAGAATGGTGAGGCTCTTGAATTCTTTTGTCCACGATTAGTTGTGCCATTTGATGGGTACAACTGAAATCCTTGCCAGATGTGATACTAGTCTTCCCTAATTAAGAAATCGGTTCACGAGCACATGAAGTGCAGCAAGTGTTTTCGACAATCTCGGGCTCAAGATAATTATTGTGGTGATCTAGCTGCGATTGACTGACATGTTCTAGCCATCGCGCCGTGTAATGCCATGTTTGGCTTCTCTTCCAGATGGTACAACACTCATCCTGAATGGCGCACATCATGGTTTCGCTGGATTTGGACTCGGCTCAGACCCCAACTTCAACGCTGTCCTATACGACCCCCGACTTCCCATAAACTCACGTATGAGTGTAATGGCCAATACGTCGTTTGCCCGTCTTTATCATTCCGAAGCAATTCTTCTTCTTGATGGACGAGTGATGGTGTCTGGATCCGATCCACAAGACAATGTTCATCCAGAGGAATATCGAGTTGAAATATTCACGCCTCCTTATCTTCTCTCCGGTCTTCCTCGTCCGACTTTTTATATGAATAACACGGATTGGTCCTATTCGCAAGTTGTTCCTTTCACCATTACCTCCAACTTTACTTCGACGGCAAACCTCAACTTTTCCGTCCTTGGCTCCGTTGTGAGTACGCATGGTAATTCTATGGGTCAACGAACGCTTTTTCCTCAATTGGCCTGTGGATTTAACAACACTTGTACTGTTACTGCGCCTCCGAATGCACATATTTGTCCGCCAGGCTGGTATATGGTATTTGTCCTCGATGGACCCACTCCGTCTGCTGGGGCATGGGTAAGAATTGGTGGGGATCCAGCACAATTGGGGAATTGGCCCAATGCTCCTGGTTTTTGACATTCCAGGTCTTTAATTTTTTGGGGCGTAGCTTAATTTTCAGTCGAAGAGATTCGTGAAGTAGTGGTATATTTGTTGAAAGCTGTTGATTTGTTTCATAGGCGGTCATTTACATCATCAGTGGCCATGTTTGATTTTGCTGCATTGATTGCATTTATTGCATTTGCTTTATCTCTTTGTTGATGAATGTCACTTTGCTTTTGATTCTGGCCCCACGCGAAATGGCGGTGTTATGGTGGACTTGTATATTTAATGCTTAATTGAAATAACTTTCTTGGTATCGTTCAATCTCTTGGACCGAATTCCAACAATCAAAAGTATTCGAGTGCCGAATGCCCCTTCACGAATCATTAGCATTTCACGTCCACACTTTTTGCGTTCGGATGAAGTACACGATTGAGATAAACTTCCTTAAGTTTAGCAAAGCCGAGCCGGTCAAATTTCGGGTCGCTTAAAGATAGATTTTAGATTGGATTGGTAAGGTATGGATTCATATATTCAGAGCCCAAGAACCTGGATTGGGAAGAAGTCTTCTTCGTCGCGTGCTCGTCGGGAGTGGGACGCCCCGCATTGCGGGGTACGGATAATCCCAGTAGAATTTTCGGGGCGAGGAATCTTGGGGTTATGATGAAATTGGAATGGAATACTCCGAGTATATAATGAGTGGAGAGAATTCATGGATTTGCCTCTCCCTTCTCTTTGATTTGTTCTGTTCTTGTTGATGTGTGTGTACCTATCTCGGTTTGGCCATCAGCTTCACGATATTTAGTCTGTTCCATTGTGTCTGAAGTAGATATTTTGGGTTGTTCTCTATTCGCGTTTGTCGAAACGGTTTTTTATCTTATATAGGGCTTTTAGTCCCGCCTTATCCCGGCAAGATGTTCAATCCTGTCTTCGCTAAGCTGCTTCTTTCGTTGCCATTACTCACAATCGGAACTGTCGCAGCGAGTGCACCTCGAGGTGTCAACAGTACATCATCTCCAACAGTTAGTGTTTTAAACGGTACATACTATGGTACCTATCTTCCAACATACGATGAAGATATTTTCCTAGGTATCCCCTTCGCCCAACCACCTGTCGGGGCGCTCCGTTTCAATCCTCCTCAATCTCTCAATACCACATGGGATACTCCGCGCAATGCCACGGAGTATTCCCCTGAGTGCATCGGCTACAGTTCCGATAACTGGGTGTTGGGAAACATCATTTCAGAAGATTGCTTAACATTGAATGTCGTGCGTCCTAGTGGTATCTCTCCAGATGCAAATCTGCCCGTAGCAGTCTGGATTCACGGAGGTGGTAATACTGCAGGTGGAGCCATGGATCCACGATACAATCTTTCATTTATTGTTGCACAATCGGTGGAAGCGGAAACTCCAATTATCGCTGTGAGTATTCAATACCGCGTTTCCGGTTGGGGATTCCTATTTGGACAGGAAGTTCTCGATGCAGGAAGTGCAAATATAGGATTCAGAGATCAGAGATTGGCGCTTCACTGGGTGCAAGAGAATATTGGATTTTTCGGTGGCGATAAGAAGAAAGTTACGCTTTGGGGAGAAAGTGCCGGCGCGACGGGTGTCAGTCTGCAGCTTATCGCCTACGGAGGAAGAGATGATGGATTATTCAGAGGTGCTATTACGCAGAGTGGAAGTCCAGTCGCCGCTAAACGTCTGAGTGTCGAGGCTTGGCAACCAGTTTATAATAATATCACTATCGCAGCGGGGTGCTCTAATGCGAGTGATACGCTTGATTGTCTGCGCACTGTTCCTACAGAACAGCTCAGCGCGATATTCAACAGCTCCATAACAGCGTCCGCAAGTTGGGGTATCCAGATTGACAACGACTTTGTGCAGAAATCCGCTACCGCCCAACTCCTCGCTGGAGAATTCGTCAAAGTACCTCTCCTCACCGGTAGAAATTTTGATGAGGGCACTCAGTACGCTACGAAGGGCATCAACACAACCGCTCAGTTTTTGAGCATGGTCCAGTCATCGGGTCTCGATAATGCCACTACAAACACAATCGCAGCACTGTATCCCGATATTCCAGCAGTCGGCATCCCAGCCGCGCTGGTAGGCCGTCCGTCACCTAGCGAAGCATCCCTCGGTGTACAGTGGAAACGATCAGCGGCCTACGCAGGAGATTTGCAACAACATGCGCCTCGACGGCTCATGACACAGTCGTGGGCAAAGTACAACGTAAGCAGTTTTTCCTATCGCTGGAATGTGTTGGTAAATGGGGTTAAACTCTCCTTCGGCGCTACCCATTTCCAAGAGGTAGCGTTTGTGTTCAACAATACTGCCGGTATAGGCTACGAGACTGTCGTTTCGCAAAATCCGTTCGAGGGCGAGCCGGAGTCGTTTGATGAGTTGGCTGTCATGATGAGTGGCATGTGGATTAGTTTTATCGTGAACGGTGATCCGAATACGGGGAAATCGAGCAATGTCTCCTGGCCAAAATACACACTTGATGATCCGAAAAATTTCGTCTTCGATGTTAATGCTACGAATTTGGGATATGTCGAACCGGATTATTATCGAGCGGCGGAGATTCAATATATTTCGGATCGTCTTGTTACGGGTTATGGAAGATGAAGTGGGAAGACGCGAGTTCGAATATTAGATTTGGTGTTTGCAGCTTTTGTATTGATACTTGGGATGGTGGTACGTTGACGCGGGCTTGAGATAGTCAGCTTGAGAGAGAGAAGGTTTAGGAAGTTGTGGGAATGGCCTTCTTGATTTGACTAGTGTGTACGATAATAATTACTTCATGACCTAATGTTATAACACAAATATAATGATTCCATAAGATGCACGTGATGATGTCGAAAAGCTGACATTGCGATCCCATTTCCAAAAACGTGGATTGATTAGTACAACCGTGTTATAATATCTCCGTCTAATTTCTTTCATTTTCACTTTGCATACAGGCTGGAAGGCTGGGGCGTCGAGTCTTATTAAATGACTTTTCATCTCTCATCGAAAACGTATTCAATAATTTACCCAGAAGGCTAGGCCAAGATTCAACTCAATCTACAAGCCTGAGAAAAGGATCTAAGTAGTGATAGTAATAATTGCAACACCATACGCAGCAACATTAAAAGTCCATCCCCCAGGCGCACTTCCAGTAACTGTACTTGTGACAGGCTGCAAGGTAACATTCAACGGGTAATTACTTGCAGTTGGAGGACTCGCGAAGGAAACCAGTTTGGCACTCGAACTAGCACCTGTTGCGCCAGGGATATCCACCGTAACATTTTGAGTCGCATTGCCATAATTTGCGATCTTGACGTAGTATGTTCCAGCGGTCGTACTACTCGCAACCCAATACAAGGGACCAAATCCAACATCAGAAGTAACGGGAAAGATCGTTTCGCCACGATGAACAGAGAACATTTGCTGAACGTAATAACTTGCGCTTCCAGTAAGAGATCCAGGATCGGCATTAAGTCCAGCGAGATCAGGCGACCATTGGGCCATGTCGAAATGTTCAAATAGAGGAGCGTATGAAGCCATCTTGACGATATCGGAGTTGCGTTCCATACCAATCATGTAGACTGCTTCGGAAACCGCGCCTTGAATTGTTGACCAATAGGTAGTAGCGCCACTATTGTCAGTTGTGCTGGCATATTCACCAACAAAAATTCCTGGTCCATTGCGAGGCTTATTGTCGAACTCGTTGAAAAGGGAAACGAATCCATTTGGCGAGAGGTAGTGGTGAGTATCAGTCCAAACACCAGCTGGAATTGGATTTGGAAGACAAGATGCTTGTGACGTTGAGGCTATGACTGTGATATCAGGGTACGCTGCATGAATTGCGTTGTAGATATCTGTAAATCGAGAGGCGTATGTACCACAACCGGCGCTTAGATTGTCCTCGTTACCAACCTCAATGAAGGGAATATCATATGGTGCAGCGTGACCGTAAGATTCACGAAGTGCACCCCATGTCGTTGATGTAGATCCAAGAAGGAATTCAAGCTCATCCAGGATATCATCAACATAGGGTGTAAGAGCTGCACCTGATACAACTCCGCCTCCATCGAGGGAAAGACCTGACCAGACGGCTAATACTGGTATCATACCTGCATCAGAGATGAATTGAAGATATTCCATCAATCCTGGAGGATTATCAGTTAAGAATTGCTTACTACACCAGAATACAACATACCTCAAGCATCTGTGTTTGGATAACCCCAATCACCTTGCCTTCCTGGTCGTTTTTCAACTGGACCAATAGTTTCATTCCACTTCCATCTGTTACCTGGCGATGAACCTTCTCTGTTCAATGTTAGCTTATGGTTTTCAATTTTTTCCATTTGAGACTTTTGTCCTACAGATTGTTTCCACTTGGGAAAGCGGAAGAAAGAGGGCTCGAGTGCTTGAAGAAAGTTTCCCACATCGTTTCTGATACCATTGTAACTGCAAAAAGTCAATACAATTCCCCAACTACGTGTATTATTTTTTTATCATACCGCTGGTGAAATGTGACTGGGAAAAGTTGAGGTAGACCAAAATTCAGCGCACTGCCGGCGAATTTGGCTCCATCAAATGTTAATCTCCAAACGTTATTACCATCTGGAGCCTATGTGGAGTGGTAGGTAGTCTCATAGTAAGTGAAAGACGTAGCTAAACTATTGACTGTAATGGTCTTGGTGGCATATACTGTTCCGCTTGCGACACCAACAAGGGATAATGTAACTGATCCAGAGTATGAGCCCTTTATCCAGAAGTAGTTGGCGTATGTGTCGTCATTCACAGGGATACCAAGGTATCCAGCATTCGAAAAGCCAACTTGTCCAGTTGTTCCGGATGGAATGGAAACTTTCAGAGACCTTGGGAGCGCTGAAGTGAGAGGATTGGCAGTATCAACTGTGAGATCTGTGCCTCCAACAGCAGCATAAGCTGTCAATCCAGGATTTGTTCCTTGAAATCCATTGTTTCGTAACAACTGGCCATGTATACCGCCATCACCTATATATTTTAGCTTAGATATTACGGTCTAGTCACTATAGGAAATATACCGGAGTTATTGATGTCCTATAATTCAGTCAGTTTAAAATTCTCATTACAATGTAGGTAAGATGTTCAAGAGTAGGAAGCAGAAGACCAAAAATGAAATTGCTGAAATCTTGGATAAAGCTGAATACAAAAACAGAGCCGAATGTTATGTTTGAATCGAGCCTGAGGGTTTCTTATTTCCAGACTGCAGTCCAGACTATTTGACTGCTTGAATTTTAACAGCTTACCTCAAACATGAGACCGTAAAGAATAGGGCTGGATGCATTGCCACCAGTTGTGGATACTGTGAGAGTAGCAGCATCTACTAAACGAAAGACCAAGAAAGAAGCGACTGCTAGAGCCCTAGACAGCCTTTTGAAGCCCATGATTGATGAATATGTACTTTCCAATGACTGGAGAATTCGACATTTTGTGGAAGAGGTGTATATATATATATACATAAAGATGAATCAAGGAGCTATTGGCTTTTCCCCTCACTTACACTGATAATTATTCCGGGCCATACACCAAAAAAGGTAGGTAAGTGGGAATCTGGCCCTATTCCATTCAGGGGTGTTATTACCCATATGCTTTTGATATCGATCACAAACTCGTTGATGATATATATGCAGGTTCTGCGATCCACCGTGTTTATTTATTCGTAGTGACACTTAGTGTCATCGGGGTGTAGTGTTTATTGGAGCGCAAGAGCGATTTGATCTTCGGTAAAGCTGTTGCAATACCACTGTCATTAAACTCGGCAGTAAACTGTGAACTGCCGGGCGCGCAAGTAAGTTTGACCCCTCATCCAGTAACCAAGATTTGTGAAAAGACAAGATGAGTGTGATGCCAATTTTGAATCAGATTTTTGTCCTCGAGATCTTATACCTATAGGAATGCACTTTAATGACCCTCAAATCCCGCCCACCTGCTCAGACTAATACTTACATGCAACAGGGGAGAGATTAGTCCACTGTGAATCCAACGTTCTTTCAATTGTCGGAAGTAGGTGCTCCTGAAAGCTACCTGTACCCATACTGTTTTAATTGTCCGCAACTTATGCCATGAATGTTATGGAAAGTTCCTAACAAATCCCAGCAAAATTCCTCAAAGTTGGTTGACTATACGAACAAGATAAACAGCGACGATGGCACGTCGACCCTCACTCAACATTAAAAATAGAAAAATAATTGGGCCCTTGAAAGTTACCCCGCACAGCTGTATGTCGCTGCTAATTTTGATTGAACGAACATGCTTTATTTGGACTCAAACCTGCAGTTCTAACTTTTTCTCATGAGTCGTTCTGCTTCTTACGAGGAGATGTATCTTCGTTGCTGCGAGATGATGCCCCAAATGGAGCGTAGAATTCATCCGGTCGACAACGTATTTCGGCAATCAGATATCCCACGAATATTCCGAGATTCGAGTGTTGTTCTTCCTATGATTCCGCGCTTGAAACATAATGAGATGTTCCCTCCCATTAAGGGCATCATCAACAACAACTTGTTCAGACTTTAAGTCCTACAGTACTGCAGATTCTTTCGATTAGGAGAATGGAAAGAATTCTGTGGAGTTATAGTTCGCGTTCACTGCGATGCGGTGCGATTTTCCAAGACATTGGCAATACTGAATTTGATGGCGGAAAGATTCAGTCGTGCCAAAATCTTATTGATTTCCTCGAGGTAGGAATGATTAAGGAATACTTCTGGTAGGTGTGGTGGGGAAGGGGTGGTGTACGGAGGTTGGAAGTAATACAAAACGCACCTAAATGTATCCCCACTTTGGGCCCTTGGACAAATCAAATCACATTGTTGCTTAAAAATTTATATAGTGAACTCGTAAATGGTGAAAACATTGTAAAAGACATATTATATTCCAATTTGTTAGTGTTGATTGGATTTTTGTTGTACACAATGATAGCATATCACGAGGGAGGACAGTGATTGGACAAAACTGTAATAGTGTCATATATAGAATCTTCAAAGAACTGATCTTCCTCCTATGGGGAGGAGAGGGAATTAAATACTGGACGAATCCGGGTTCCGCTTACAAGAGCGGAGGATCAATTGTACGGCCACTTTCCCCATGTCAGTTGTGACAGAGCGGGCATACCAGCTGCCGTCCCGCCGTTTGCTTACTCAAGTACCAATCAACTCCGACATGTTGCTTACTCAAGTACCAACCAATTCCCACGTATACTGACAAATGCTAAACCATCCGACTCCACCAATTCGTGCAGAAGGATTCAAACAATCAAGATGATCGCACAACTAAAGATTCTATGTACCCACAAAACCTGGGTATGTTCTGAGATATGTCTGCGAAAAAGGAGTACGTTAGGAGACTACGGGTCTGTAATGGTCATATGAGTGAACCGGTTTGGATGCTTACCCCTTGATTTGGGAGTCCCGACATAACATCAGGGTGAAGTAACCTGGTTTTTCGGACTCTCCATGCACAATTTGACAGGATTTGAAAGTTCAAGGCTGGGCACCTATACATGGATAACACGTACTTCAAATCATCGGAACTCCGTGGTTGATCGCAGGTATATAGCAGCTGGCGATGCTATTACATGTTTCACTCGCAGTTCAAGTTCACTATCTCTTCTAAATCTTTCATTGAGAATCACATGTCAAAATTCACGGAAATTAGAAAGAAAACTATAAATTATGGCTAGTCTAGAACAGCAATTCGAAGCAGCAACCTCAGCTCGAGAGATCCCTGGGGTTGTCCTTCTTGCCAGCAACGCTGATGGTAAGAGACTTCTTTCTCTCGCATATTTATCCATCTCAAAGGCTCTACAATACTGATATGTTATAGGAACATTCAAATACGAAAAGGCAATTGGCCAAGCAACCCCAAACTCTCAAATTGAGCTTGACTCGACCTTCATCATGGCATCATGCACAAAGCTAGTAACTTCCATCGCTGGTTTGCGGTGCGTAGAACAAGGACAGATTGGTCTTGACGATGATCTTTCTCCCATTTTGACAGAGTTCAAAGGCATCCAAATCCTTGAAGGCTTTCAAACTGGAACAGATGGAAAGGACATTCCTATTCTCAAGCCAGCTCAGAACAAGATCACTTTAAGGTACGCACCATGAGTTATAGAACCCCATAAATTCAAAGCAATTTACAAAAACTATAGACATCTACTTTCACACACAGCGGGAATCGGCTATGATAGTTGGGCACCAGAGCTCGTCAGATTCCGCGCCTCTCAAGGTATCGACTCCGTTCATACCCGTAACACCGATATGTTGAAGACTATCACTCTCCCACTTTTATTCGAGCCCGGGACATCTTGGACTTACGGTTACAGTCTCGAATGGGTATCGGTTCTTGTGACTCGTCTCAACAACGGCCAATCTTTGGAAGACTACGCTCAAACCCACATTTTCAACCCCCTCAATATTAATGACATAACATTCCACCGAGACCGCAAATCACATGTTCAAAAAAAGCTCGTGAAAATGACCTTTCGCAGTGGATTAGACAATCCCAAACCAATTCTAGCATTTCCAAGCAAAGGCAATGGGAAGGTAGAATGGACTGATGAGAATCTGTACATCATTGAACAAAAAGATTGTTTTGGCGGCCATGGACTTGCCGGTTCCGCAAGTTCGTATCTCAAAATCCTCTTATCTCTTCTGCGCGACGATGAGATTCTACTCAAGAAGTCCACCACAGCGGAAATGTTCAAATCGCAGATCTCGGAAAATGCAGTCAAGAATATGTGTGCTGGTTTCGTGGCCGCAGATTTTTTCCAGGGGAAGTTTTCTAGTCAACCACCAGGGCGAAAATTAAACCATGGATTAGGTGGATTGCTGATAGAAGAAGACGTCGAGGGAGGCAAGAAGAAGGGTACCTTGACTTGGAGTGGTATGCCAAATTTGTTGTGGAGTATCGATAGAGAGTCGGGATTAGCTTGCTTCTATGCCAGCAACGTGTTGCCTTTTGGGGATCCAAAGAGTCATGAGATGCAACAACTGTTTGAGAGACAGATGTATAAGAGATTTGGCGAGTTTCAAAAGACGTTGAACTGAGGCGGGTAGAGGAGTTCCTACGGACTCGTTTGTGTCCTCGTTTTCATTTAGAATATCCAGTTGTTATTATCCAATATGCTACAAATTATCAAATACCTTATATGTAGTCCTTCTCATTTTGGGACATGCATTTGACATGAACTTTGATCTTCAAGATTACTCGCCGCCATACAGAAAATAATACGCAACAGCTGCGAAATCTGGAGCGGTAACTTTCAATGCACTAAGGGTCAGGACCTCAACTGCAAGAATTGCTCTTCAAAAAATCTCTTTCCATCTCCAATCCTCATAATAACCCTCACAAAGCATCCCCACACATCTTCCACCCCTCTCCCCCACCACCCCATCGTATCCAATCACCCCCTGCCCACCAAATACCCAAAAACCCAGCAACCACACCTCTAAACCACCTTCCTCAAAAAGTTAAAAAGTTAGCCCCCCCCATCCGATTCGAATCTGACAGCATAAACCTGCGACTCCAACAACCTATCTTAAAGACAAATCGTCAAACTACTAACCCTATCTACTTTCCCATCCCTGTTTCCCCAGGTACAGGTACAGGTACCAAAGGGCGCGCCAAGCATCTTCATCTAATTCCTCGATCTACCACGGGAATGAGGGCTCTAAATATGTACTTCTTTTTGAAAACCACTGGTGAATACCGTTCCTAGAATACGATATGAGGTCTGGGATGTAATCATTAGGGTGAGCTAGCTACAGTGTAAATTCTGCTCGGCATGATTGATGCATGTATCAGAATGTCAATCGATCTACTACCACGCCCTTTGCGAATGAAGTAGCCATCATCTAGTGATTCCTTATTATTATCATTTTCCCGACTGGCGACTTCTTAAACACCAGCTGCCACCTACTATCCTGACCTTACCCTGCTCTGCTTTTCCTCTCTTCAGTATCTCATTTCGCAGCAAGATGCCAATCCTGTTGAACATTCCATCGAGATTCGTGACATTGTATCTGAGCTATACAATAACTATTCGCCAAGAATCCGGTGTCATTTCCCTCGTTTAGAATCGCGAGAATTTTCACACAGCCACCCACAGGTGATAAACGAAGACGATGCATGCGGAGAAGAAAAATAACTTGAAACCCACGATATCGGCGCCTTCAATTGACGACCATACTATCACCCCTTCCAATGGGTTTTCAGAAAATCCACCACCTGAAATTTACTTCCCGGACGACAAGCGAGACAATAATGATATTGATCCCGAGCAAGCCCAAGCAGTAGCACATCCCGAGACAGGAGCTCCTCCAGACGGCGGTTATGGCTGGGTGTATGTACTGTGTGTATTTTTGATCAATGCTCACACGTGGGGGATTAATAGTGTAAGATCTCTTTGCCGTCAGACAATATCCAATTCGCTAATTCGATGTTGTAAGAAATAGTCCTACGGAATCTTTCTCGCCCATTACCTAGAAACCAACACATTTCCCGGAGCGAGCGATTTAGATTTCGCATTTGTGGGTGGTCTTTCCCTCAGCATGGCTCAATTCATTGCGCCCGTCGCTACGATCACCACACGAGAATGGGGGATGAGGGCCACCTTAACGATAGGAATCATATTGCAGACGGCAGCATTATTAGGCGCGTCATGGTCAACTGAAATTTGGCAATTATTTTTGAGCCAGGGCTTGTGTTTTGGTTTAGGGATGAGAATACAGTCCAGCGCTACTGTTGGTATTATTTCTCAGTGGTTTGATCGTCGACGCTCTCTTGCGAATGGTATGGGCACGGCGGGGTCAGGAATTGGAGGGCTTATATATTCGTTGGCATCTAGCGCGCTCATTCAAAGGTGGGGTACTGGCTGGGCTTTTCGAATTTTGGCTATTGCATCAGCTGCTGCATGTGGCCTTTCCGCTACCATGATTAAAGATCGCAATAAAGCAATTGGAGCTATTCAAGTTGCTTTTCATACCGGCCTCCTGAAAAGACCAGAGTTTCTACTCACCTTAGTCTGGGACTGTTTGAGCGTCTTGGGTTATGTGGCTCTTCTCTTTTCAATACCCGCCTACGCAAAAACCGTGGGTCTTACTGATCTCAAGGGTCTATTCTTGGTGCTATGTTCAATCTTGGAGGAGGCGTTGGCCGACCCGTTATAGGATACATTAGCGATGATTTCGGAAGAATAAACACAGCACTTGTTTGTACATTCTTGGCTGGTCTTTTTTCTCTTGCAGTCTGGATCTTTGCCAAAAGTTTTGGGATCCTCATCTTCTATGCTTTGATTGGTGGCGCTGTTTCCGCAACCTTTACCACTACCGTTGCTCCGGTGGGCGCTGAAGTTGTAGGGTTACCACTCTTGCCATCTGCTCTGTCTATATTCTGGGTTTCAGTAGTCATACCGAGCACATTTGCCGAACCAATTGCGCTTTGGTTGCGAACTAAAAATGGAACCAATTTCCTGCATGCCCAGATATTCACTGGCTTTATGTACATGGGAGCAACCATTTCCCTTTGGCTGGTGCGAACATGGAAGATCTCAGAGTTTCATAAGACTGATACTGATGATGCTGTCAATTATGAGGCCAGGGTCCGGGGCAAAGTTGGTGTGCCTCAGGACTCCATGGTGGCCCAGAGAGTGGGTACAGTTCCCAGTGTGATGAGCAAGGTAAAGTCTTCTTGTTCAAAATGGTGAAGGTATAAACCTTGTTGAATTTAAGACGATACCACGGTAAAAAAAATCTTCAAAAGGATTTGTTTATATAGATACGTAAAAATTTACCAAATTGAAAGTTTGTATGTCCACTCTCATTGATCACCCCGAACTGTTATTCCTGGGATATCAAGAAAAGTGAGGGTCCTCATACACACCACTATACACATGCTGAAAGAGAGCAGAAATGACTTTATCGCTGACGAAAGGAAAAGAAGTCATCACGAATGGTGTTGCGCGTTTCGATGATGTATGATTACGACAACGTACGAATATCTCTCGTATGACTGTAAAGTCACTTCTAGGCGACATGATTCCTGTGGACGACCCAGAAAACTGAGAATGGGCGAGATTCACATGGTGGAACCACGATGAAAAGCAAATGTTGGTGATGAATTGGGAATCATGATCATGTATGAGCATGTTGAGAAGCTTCCTTGTCGGCACTGGCCGGACGAGAAATGCACGCTCAACGAGTTCATTCATCCTTCGTCGTACAACATGCAGCAAAAGCTAGCAGTTTTCTTGATGCAAAGGGAAGATAAAGTCTGTGATTGAACAACCGAGGGTGGGAATAAAATTCACAAAATTTTATGTGATTGTATGTTCTATGACCAAAGAAACTTTCCGTCACTCCTGTTTCCCCAAAGGACTGAGCAGCCAACTCAATTCCACCGCTTTCTCGGAAGTCACAATCTCTTTCAACCCCTCAGGAGATAAAAAATCATGATCACAATATTCAAACCCGGGAACAACAGTCTCGCTGATCAAAAGCCCATCACTATCTTGACCACCTTCAACATCTGGTAATAAGTAGGATGCCTTGTATTTACCACCATCTACAATCCATTGTAACTTTTCGCCAGCAGCAACATTGTGACCAACAATGAACGTCTCGATTCTCTTTTTCGAACCCTCTTCATCGGCGTGTATCAAAACATATCTGCCTCGGCCTCTGTGTAGTGTATGAACCGTTCTTCCTTTATTCCGATGAAAGCCACCTTGCGGACCATGCGGCGTAAGCAGATAAAAGATACTAGTCGATGAATTTCGCACGGTAGGATCGAAGCCAGGTCTTTGGGGAGCAAGATCTGTCGTAGAGGATTTATCGGAGCCGAATGGCGAGGGAATGACGTCTGGAGCACGATCTGTTTCGGCAAAGAAGCCGCCCTCAATATGTGGGAGAAGATTGAGTGCTTTGATGACTTCTTGAATTTGTGGGGATGAGTCAGGTTCCGACGAAGGATAAAAGCTAGGCTTTAAAGGTTGATAAGTTGAACCCATCCTGGAGAGATATGAATGCTAGAGACAAACACTGTAATGTATCAGGGACTGAGAATATTAAGAAATGAAGAATATTCGAGGAATTGAGGGGTTTTGATCGCCCCTCCCTTTCCCGTAGATCCTTCGATTGGCCCATAGTGGACGGCGATACAGGTAAGCACCATGTCATCAGAAATCGACCATACTGATAATCGCGTCAGAAGTGACAAGACTTCGTTCTTATCTCGGCCCTCGACTCATGAAGCGTCAGTCCGCAAAGTTTATCACCATGCTGACGTGAACGCATAGCCGTTAGATTACTTTCACCCGTTGCATTGCATATTTGAGTTCTGCGGATGAATCTAACCGGAATTAGATGGATGATCAGCACATATAAATAATGATACTTTTCTCCAGATGGAAATCATAATTTCGGGCGTGGGAAATATTGATTTTCGATATATCCTATTACCCATTCAGTATATAGGCATATACTTGAGTACAACCTAGGTAGGTAAGTAGTGAAGGGTCGTAGTGAGAATATAGTAATGGATTATAAAATTAAAACAGAAAGCTTCCATCCAGCCCTTGGAGGATCTATGAGTGTGACAGGAGTAAGTACTCTCTCTTTATTAAGCTTTTCCATCCTTTCGGAAATCAAATCGAACGATGATTTGTCGACTTTATGGTTGCTGCATAGATATATGCTTATATCCTAGTAGTGGTGTAGGTACCTTACAAGCTTACCTACTCCTAGCCAGTCACGTGAAAGCCTACCAGTCCATAGGAAAGCCATGAATCGATGACATAATGTCAATACAAGGCAACAAGGCATTCCAATATTCACGGAGTACATGAAAAGTCCCATGCTAGTCGCAGACCCCCCAGGAGATATTATTAGGAATAATGGATTTCCATATTTCCATATTTCCACTTCTTAACAAACTTATGATTTTCTGACAAATGAGGACCTTCATCCGAAGCTCTGACTTTCTTCTTGGTTATCTCTCACTCAATCAACTCACTCAACTCACTCACTATTCTGTTTCTCTTTTCTATCTACCATCTACCTACCCAGTATGAAGTAGTCATTTATTCTCCTTTCTCCAATCTTTCTATCTCTTCTGAAGCTTCTCATACGATACGTTCTCCAATTCTCCATAACTCATCTCATACCTTATTTCCCAACTATCCACTTCTGCTTCTTTCATCCACTTTAGCAGCCAGCATTGCTTGAAACTAAATAAGAAACACGACCTTGATCAGCCATTTTTCCTCATTTAACGATTTCACGACGGGAGGAAAAAGCAACTTACGAGTTCGTGTACATTCAATTGTATGTCTTTGTATAAACCTGTAATTATACCGAAGAAGTGCATTCTCAATTCGTCGAGATAACTTTCCTTGACCAACCAACTACTTACTTCAATTCAATTCATTTATATTCCATTCATTTCTCCTTCGACTTTACATTCAATACAATTTTTTAATAACTACTTTCTTGCAATCATATCATGTCGGGAATTTTAAGCAAGCGACAGCTTGCGCGGAATGAGCAGGCACTTCAAGAACTTGTGAAATTGCCAGGAAATAATGTTTGCGCAGACTGCCAGGCAAGGAATCCAGGTAAGCATCAAAGATCTATATCAACCTCAACATGCACTAATTCAAAGACGTAGGATGGGCAAGTTGGAGTGTAAGTCATCATCCGCCACTGGCGCACGACTCATTGAACGAGGAGTAGCTAAGTCCTGACAACCACTGACTATGGAATAGCTGGGAATATTCTTATGCATGCGTTGCGCTGCCTTACATCGAAAGCTGGGAACACATATCACAAAAGTTAAATCATTGAGTATGGATTCATGGTCGAAAGATCAAGTAGATGTGCGTTAACCAGAATTCTATCTTGGTACGTATGTGTCTAATGGTTTGATAGCATATGAAGAAGACTGGAAATGTCGCGTCAAATCGAATCTACAATCCTCAAAATACTCGACCTCCGATCCCGATTGATGCCGATGAAGCAGATTCCGCCATGGAACGATTTATACGACAGAAGTATGCCAACGGGCCGCCAGCCCAGAGACGGAATAACACTGGTAGTTCGAGCTCAGACGATCATCCTCCACCGCTTCCTCCCAAAAATGGGACCAAGTTCGGCTTCAGATCGGCTTCTTCCATTTTCCCCCTATCCTCAAAGGCGAAAAAAGACAATGCGGATGCGCAGGCAGAATTTGATCATTATAGCCAAGCGCCATCACCTCCGAGGAAGAATAAGCATTCAAGAATATTCGGTACTTCCCTTGACGCAACGGATGATCTCGAGTCGAAGTTGGTCAAATTGCGAGACATGGGGTTCAGGGACGAGAAGAGAAATAAGGACGTGCTAAAAGGCTTGGGTGGAAATTTAGAGAAATCTATTGAAACTCTAGTTCGACTGGGCGAAGGTGGTTCCAGTGCAAGAACGGCATCGTCTATAAATTCTTCTGGGCCGCGAACCCCAGCTAGCCCACCCGGTCTATCATTTGAGCGACCTCAAGCAACCAGTCCCCCTGTATCATCGGCCTCGAATAACCCATTTGATAGACTTGACAATCCAGTATTTCCTCAGGCACAATCTACACAATCTACTGGTTCCATGGCACAAGGCCATAATCAGATGATGGAAAGCAATCCATATCAAAATATTGCGAGCACAAATCCATTCGGGTTAATGCCGTCACAGTCACAACTAAATCTCAACCAGGCCTTTCAAAACATGTCGGTCTCTTCATCACAGCCTCTTTTCCCTCACCACACAGGGGGGCTGCCTGGTTCTCAGCCCCCACCAGTGCAGCAATTATATCAGCAATCTATGACACCCCCAGTTCCATCTCTACCACAACATCAATATGGTCCAGTCATATACGAAAATCCAGGTCAACAGCCTCAATTACAGCAAAATGATCGAAACAACTTGAATACTAATCCATTCATGCAACAAGCATCACCGCAACCAGTCGTAAATACCAATCTTCAGTCGAACCCATATATGCAACAATCGGTGATGAAACAACCTCTATTCGCAAGTCCAGTCACTCAAACGCCACAACAGCAGTATCCTCCCGGGAGTTACAACATGGGAATGCAGAATCCTCCACAACAAATGAATCCTTTCTTCAACCAGGCCAGTGTACAACAGCAACAACAACAACAGCAACAACAACAACAGAGGTCGCAAATGCAGTATGGATACCAGCAGCAACAGCAACAGCAACCACAATCACAGTACCAACAGCCTCTAGTTCAGCCCCAGCAAGCTCAGTATGATCAGTTTCGACAGCAAACTTACCCTATGATGCCACAGCAGACTGGAAGGTTAGTTGATAAGCGCAGTATTTTGGATCTTTACAATCACCCCCAATTAGCGCCTACTCAGATTCAGCAGCAGCAACAACCAGAACCTATGCAACAACAGGCAGCTCAAGTCGTGGAAATTCCCCAGCCCAGTGGACAAATGCCAGGCGGCAGTAATAACCCCTTCATGTCCAACGTAGCGGTAGCACCGACCACCTCCAACGGATCTGGTAGACAAATTAGTCGGGAGAGTATGATGATAGATGCTGGGGGTTGGCAAAACGGGAGACATAGTCCAGACGCATGGGGACAAATCAGTGGAAGGCGGTAAACAGAGGAGAAATGTAAATTTTATAGGGAGAATGAATGATTCTTGGCCTAGGAACAGCTTATCAAGAAACCATGAAATCAAATCTTAACACTGCAGTAAAGAACGGTTCTTTTTCAAAATGATATATCATGTGTACCTAGTAGTCTTTGTCCTATTATGTTTTCTTCCTACATGTCAGCAAATACGGTGAAAGCTTGCTAACGAATGAAACCTCCGGATCTCACGTAAAAAGGCTAGGCGGCTCCTCTACCCCGCCTCCAGCCCCGCAAAATGCACACGGCTTCCAGAAACTTGGTTTTCGTGGCTGTCATCCGACTTTTACGGGTTCCTAAACCTCTTTGTTCAATATGCGGACAGGAAAAATGAATAACTTTAGTAATGGCCCAATCAAGGGTTGTACTTTTTTATATAATGATTGGCACTGTTGGAGGCACGTCATCACCAGTTTAAAAAAGCTTTTATAAGGTCACATTTGAATGAATGTCGCCGTTTTCAATATTTCATCATCTTCATTATACTTCATCTCTACTACTCCATATGGACACTGGTTTATACCCTCCCATTAATCCTCAATTGACAGCCCATATATCTTATCATGAGTTTCAAATTGGTAACGTCAATACTTCTTTGTTTCCTCGGAAACATATGGATACTCCCTCTGAGTATATTTGGTACTACAGACTTCTCTGTAAACGCAGGATTGTCAACTTGGAATCAAAGTGATTGGTCCTTGACTACTACTACATATATACCGGGACAATATCAATCCAGATTGTCTCTTGCCAATGGATATATTGGTGCTTCTCTTGCTGCAGCAGGTATGGCGACTCATTGAGAATTACTTCTATTAGTTCTGATTTATAACTATTCTACAGGTCCATTCTTTGAGAGAGATGTCAACCAAACAGATGCAAATGGTATACCACCCTCCAATGGGTGGCCATTATTCGATGATAGAATTTCCTTCTCTACCATTTCCGGATTCTATGATGTAGAACCAGCGGAGGTCCCTCCTCAAGGAACCAATTATCCTTGGTTGAATCAGTATGGCTGGGAGTCCTTCATTAGTGGAATTCCACATCCAACAGGGATTATTTTTTCCTTCGGATCTAATTTCCTAGATGCAACGGCTAGCAACACCTCAATATCAAATTTTACTTCCAAAATTTCATTCAAGACTGGTGTAGCGAAATGGAACTATATATGGTCCCCAAATCAGAACTCTACCTTCAATGTTTCATATGCCGCATTTTTCAGTAGGGAAAGACCGAATGTTGTGGCCGTCAAATCTACTATCATCTCCTCCGCAGATGCCGAAGGGCAGGTCACAGACTTGCTAGATGGTCAAAGTGCCCTTCGGTCCACTCTATCCTCCAAAGGTTTAGATGATAATGAGACCACCATTTATTCAGCAGTAAATCCTAATAATCTACCGGATATCACGGGATTTGTTGTTTCTGGTGTCAACTTTATGAACAGTTACACGGATGCTTCCTCGAGAACCAATGCCAGTGGGGCATACGTAAGCTCAGCAAATGATACAACAATTGGACAATCTTTCAACATTAGCCTAAAAGCTGGAGAAACTGCTGTTTTCTATAAATATGTTGGAATTGCTTCGACAGACAAATTTAGCGATGCTGAAAGTGTAGCTCGAGAAGCTCAAAGGTCAGCACAGGAGTCTGGATGGGACAGCCTTCTGGCGGAACACATTGCAGCTTGGGCCAAAATCTTGACAGCAGACTCGGTCGACGATTTTACAGATCCAGTCACAGGAGAATTACCAGAAGACCCCAACGTTCAGGCACTTCACATTGCCTCAGTAGCAAATACTTATTATCTTCTCCAAAATTTACAACCTGACGGTAGTGGATTGAACGATAACAGCATTTCAGTCGGAGGATTATATTCCGACTCATATGCTGGCCTGGTATTTTGGGATGCTGATTATTGGATGGCACCCGGGCTCAATCTGGCGTTTCCAGAATGGAGCAAACAGATCAGCAATTTCAGAGTCAAGCAGCATAACCAATCTTTGGCGAACGCGGCATTCAATAACTACCCCAATGGAAGCTCACTTTATTCTTGGACTACCGGAAGATATGGAAACTGTACGGGTACAGGTCCTTGTGTCGACTACGAATATCATCTTAATTATGACATCGCATTCAATTTGATGCAGGAGTACAACATCACAAATAATAAGACTTGGTTCGATAATGGACCTAGACAAATTATTGAGAGTACTGCCATTATGACAGGGCATTTGCTGATGTATAACGAAACCACACAATCATATTGGATATACAATATGACCGATCCGGATGAATATGCTAACAATAAAGACAACGGTGCATTCACTATAGCTTCTGCTGCGACTCTTTTGGAATTAGCAAACGATTTGAGAGTTTCTCAGGGTCTAGAAGTCAATTCAACTTGGCAACAGCAGCAACAAAACATCGAGTTTCCGTCTGCAGCTTCTAATATCACCTTGGAATATCAAACAATGAACAATAGCGTTGCTGTGAAACAAGCTGACGTGGTTTTATTGACATATCCCTTGGACTTCAATCAAAATTATACTGAAGCAGATAAACTATTAGACTTAGATTATGTAAGTATCATTCCCCCTTTCTTGATTGTGATCTTACTTACATGGACCAAAGTATGCAAATAAGCAATCGCCTGACGGGCCGGCTATGACCTATTCTATTTTTGCTATTGATGCCAACGCATTGTCTCAATCTGGATGTTCTGCATACACTTACACACTAAATGGGTTTCTTCCATATTTACGAGCGCCCTGGTATCAATTTTCGGAGCAAGCTGTTGACGATGTCACAATGAATGGAGGAACCAACCCAGCATTTCCGTTCTTGACTGGGCACGGAGGAGCCGATCAGGTTGTACCCTTTGGTTATCTAGGTATCCGAACAGATCAACCAACTCTCTTTTTCAACCCTTCACTTCCTCCTCAGATCTCCCACATCAAAGTCCGTACTTTCCACTACGCAGGAGCGACTCTCTCGGCTACCATGAACACTACGCACACAAATGTTACTCGTTTCCCTTCCCCTAAACTTAGCGATCTTTACCAAAATACTACGCTTCCCTTTGTTGTCGGAACGCCCGGTTCTGCCGCGTCAAATACAACATCCTACAGTATTGCGATAAATCAAACACTCACAATCCCCAATCGTCTCTACTTCCAAACATTGACAAAACCTGACAATCTCCTCCAATGCTTGCCCGTAACTTCCAACGACCCATACTCAGCCGGACAATTCCCCGTCGCAGCAATTGACGGCGCATCATCAACTTCCTGGCAACCATCCACAAATGAATCATCTTCCCTTCTCATAAACAGCACTTCCATTCCTGCATCCCCCATCTGGAGTATTTATTTCAACTGGGGTCTTCGACCTCCCCTCCGGGCCTCCGTATTTTTCGGAAACGAAACTACAGATGAGGGTCAAATATATGGCAATGAATGGTCAATTGATATCGAGGATATTTCTCCAAGTCTCCCATATTCGCCGGGGAATACGACGCAGACTTCCAATACGGAAAGTGTGGTTCCAGTGGTGGGAAATGAAACAAGGTTGGTGGTGGAGGGAGGCGCGTGGAGTGGGAAGTATGTTAGGTTGGTGGTGGAGGGGTGTTGGGAAAATGATGGGAAGGGCGCGACGGTGGGTGAGTTTGTTGTTGTTGGGGGTTAGATGGATTGGATGGGTTTGTGAATGTAATGGAACGGGATGGATTGGATTGCATAATAATATTATATAAGTGGTATGATATCATTTAATGAATGAGACAAAATTATAACAATCATATTCTTGCTGAGAACTTTGTCCTTCGTGGAGAAATAGGGTACATATTCACAAGGTAAAAGACCTAGTCCCATGGAAGATAATCTCCAGATTTAGATTTTAGTTAGCTAATCGTATGGACTCCAGCGTGGTTTCTACAGCAAGACGAGAGACGATCAATACCATTGCCACGCAAACCTAGAATACAGGGGACACTTGCAAAATAATCATTACAAAAATTAACCTCACAACTCTCATGACAGGTTTTTTCCTAAATATTTTCATGAAGACCCGAATCAAAATCAAAAGATCAAGTCATTCCTATCATAAGGGAGATGAAAACACACGAATATCACTCCAGCATGAAATCTTTCTCAGATAATGAGACACTACGAGACGAAAAGGAATGAAAACATCAACCATTTAAATATGGTAGTGGGTTTCAGAGAAGTCAGGGTTTCCACGAATATGAATTTCTGCAGAGTATGAGAAGTGGGAAAATGATGATAAGATTCTAAATGTATGGAGAAGCTAATGAGGTGATGAAATGATGGGCGCGAGAATATAAGGTTACTTTGGTGGGAAAGGACAAGCATAAAAAGAGTAATGGTCGATGGGATTAGATATATCATGGAGATGGAAGAAATTTCTCAGCACGAGGAGTCTCTGCGGTGATATTGATGAGGAGGTGATTTCTCTTATTCTCCAGAAATTTATGTGAATTGAGAATTCCTATTTCTGTCACTATGTGATACCGTATCATGGGTATTAGTTAAGTAGCTTGTATCTGACAAATCCTTGTGAAAAATTGTAAATCTTCAATCAAAACACCTTGAAGTCTGTTAGGCGACATTTTTTGCAGGTTCATCTTGGGCCACATCAATCTTGGAAGGCATCTCTTCCGAGATACTGCCAGAGCTTTTCTCGCCCTCTTCTGGTTTCCTCCCCCATACAACATATATCTTATTATAGGCGTGAACATTTCGATTCGGGATTGATTTTCGAACATTCACCAGATATACCTGTCGGTTATCCTTATTAGACAACCAACAAAACGTGGAAAGGCATTGAGTGGGGAAACTAACCTCAATTTGCTCTTGTTTCCAATTCAAGATGCGAGAAAACAAAGCCATGCTAAAGCTTGATAAGCATGCAAGCCAGTTCTCTTCGGACATCTCCCCAAGGTTATGTAAGTGTTTGTCTTTGGGCCAAGGATTGACTGGCAGTTTAAACACCTTTTCTTGCACGTCCACAAATCCAGCTGCTTCGTACCAGCTCTTCAGATTCTCGGCAATATTCATCGATCGGCCGGCTTTCATTGCCGCTTTTTCGACAAATCCAATCCATTCCAAGAATGGCCAGGTTTCAGTCATCGATTCATCGTCACAATATGGAGTGAGTAAAATTTCTTGACTCTCCATATAGCCTCCTGGTTTCGTGTAATGGAACCCTCTTTTTATGATGCTTTCAAAATCCTTGAAGCATCCTAGCAACACACGAGTGTGGATATAATCAAAGTGGTTGGACGGAAGTACCCAATCGTCATCGCTAGCATCATCGATATAGAAATGGACATTTTCCGGGACAGATACTGGCTGGATTGGAGAAAGATCAGTGGCTTGAACTTCTGCCTTTGGAAAGGTATCGCCCATCTGAATTGCCCATTGACCTGTACCGGTACCAATATCGAGAATATAACGAGGATCGGACAGTGGAGCGAAGAAGTTGCGACCTGAAAAAGCACATTTTAGCATATCGAATTGTGCTTCAAGTCTGTCTTGTTCATTAATGTCATTTGGGAAGTGGTATGCTAGCCGGCTAGTTAGCTATTGACAAAGAGAGACATATTGGACATCAGTACTTCCTGCACGATAACCATGATAGGTTCTGCCATTTTCTTCTGGAAAATCCACAACACTGCTTGTCAAGGATTTGGATGATGACCTGAATTTGAAGTAAGCATTCTCGGAATTATTCCAGTAAGACAGCTCGCACTGACCCATCATTGGACTCAGGAGTTTCGGGTGATTGTGTATCGCGCTCACGGCGAGAGTCTGCATTCAAATCTGCACCTGGAGATTCATATTCGAGCAGTGCCTCGACATCTTCTGCATGTTGTGTTTGAGTCGTCGCTATTGGGGAAAGAGCGCATTGTCCAGGTTCTTGACACTTCGACATATTTGTGCGTGGCGAAAAAGTCTAATCGTGAGAGATGCAAAAGAGGCGGACCCAAATCCTCGGGTTTGTAGAGTGTATTTGGTACGTTTAATTCTGCGGAGAGAAGTTTTGTGGAGTTCTCGTATGGCTGCTGAGTGCTTGCTTCTCCTGCAAGTAGGCATGACCACCGCAGCCGATTGTGAGTTCGCATTGCTTCTGCTGGTTTGAACTCTCTATGCTCAATTCTCTACAATGATAGGCCAAATCAAAGCCAACATAAGACAGCATAGCGATTTGCCTGCTGGTTTTCAAGAATCGTGTTATACATGTTGGTAGTTTTGTAGCCCTATTTCATATATCTCATTCGCGAATCTAAATTCCGCCATAGTGGTCTGACTCAATGCCGGGAGTCAATTCAACCTTCGGAATTCATGTATTGGGATGCGTTAGCTAGATGCATGGGAGCCCAGCCTACTGGTTGGTATTTAGTTTGTAGTTGCATGCAGCTTGGCGTACGGAACTCGTGCCAGCTACGGATAAATGCATTCAGCCTGGACCAACAAATTGTTGGAGCTGCAACATTTATGTAATGGACCACGACACTAGTATTCAAGGTTATCCACACCTTGTAGCCTCCCGAACATTTGCAATAGGGATAAAATAATATGCATGATATCAAATGAGGAAGTGGTTTCCAACGACAAGCATTCAATTTCGTTTGGTGATCATGCGAATACCCGCCTAGGCTTAACTGGGCTCCATATCTTGATGAGTAGCCAGAGGAGGAAGATCTATCACCGACGACATGGCAATGGGAACCGAGACCTACATGCTTTCTGTCTGCTAGTCATACATAAGAGTTGTATAACCACTCGTGTTCGATTCCGACCCAGTCCAGGTCCCGACAAGACTTTAGTCGCGGGAGGAAGTATCCTTTGTGCAAAGTGAGCAGGGTTACCTCCGACTCCTCGGACTCTTTCCATCTACCGATACATATCGGCAGCTTTCTCTTGTCATTCATTGTGATTGAGGGGATTTGATGATTAACACAGGAGAATGGCACGCGCCAGACTTTCGTTGCAGGACACATAATGCACCATTTCAAACAATCCTCAATTAAACCCAATGTTGCGAATGCCCAATACTATTCAATTAATTGTAAGACACAATTCTATTCGAACTGTAAGCCGGTCCAAATGTTGATGTTGCAATAGAATCAAGTTCAAAGCATGAATGTTAACGATGGGTGGCGTGCTCCGTACCTAGGTTGAGACGTTCCATACCTGTGTGGCGCAACAATGTGGCTGCACGCGGTGTGGCATCAATTTACTCCACTTGAAAGAGGGGCGACTGGGAATTTGACCTAAAATGGAAATCTGCACACTTTGAGGCAGGAGTTTGCGATCAACAACTGGCAAAGTCATGAGATATGTTGTTATTAACAGTGACTATATAAGCTCCATGGTTTCGCTTCAGCGCTTTAGTCGTGTAATGTGACACGATTTTTCAACGCACAATCCGACTAACGCATATTACTACCTCCCACTATCTTTCATTTAACGATGGCGTTCTCGGTTGCATCATCATACGACAAGCTTCGATTACTCCTTGATGATGCCTCGAATGATGCTTTGCCCGCACCCAATGCCATCGCGGTAGCCACTCAATCCCTCGCCACAAGTCTCCCTGCGATTGGGCTCGGGGAGGAAGCTACTGCAGCACATCTTCTTTCAGATATAACTCCTGGCTTCAATGGCCCCAAGACTTCATCTAACTATTATGGATTCGTCACTGGTGGTGTCTTCCCGATTGCAGAAGTCGCTGACAATATTGTCACCGCCTTTGATCAAAATGTTCAAGTGCATTTACCAGATCAAAGCGTCAGCACCGCTCTCGAGGACAAGGCCTTGGGGATGCTTGCAGATCTGTTGAATCTTGGAGATGAATGGAATGGGAGAACTTTCACTACCGGCGCTACTGGGGCAAACACTCTTGGGCTGGCATGTGGACGGGAAGCTATAATTTCTCGACGGCTCGAAAACAGAGGAGAGAGCAGAGGCGTTGGAGAATTAGGGCTAATTATGGCCTGTAATAGAGCTGGGATCACGGAGATTCAGGTCTTGACTGCCATGGCTCATAGTTCTATATACAAATCTGCAAGTATTGTTGGGCTTGGACGAGTTTGTGTTAAGGATATTGGGACCAGTCTGTCCGAGCCATGGAAGATTGACATGGTTCTATTACAACAAGAGTTGGCCAAAGAGAAAGATGGAGTGGCTAGCATCGTTTCTTTGAGTGCTGGAGAGGTCAATACCGGAAGATTTGCAACTGATGGAAGGCACGAGATGCAAAAAGTCCGTGAACTCTGCGACCGCTATGGCGCCTGGCTACATGTCGATGGAGGTAAATTTAAAGGCGCGGTTATCTCTTGCATTTACAACTGACAAGTCTCTAGCTTTCGGGATTTTTGCTCAGAGCCTTCCAGATACTTCAGAATTTGCATCTCTGAGAGAAGTATCCGCTGGTATTCAGCTAGCTGATTCAATAGCAGGAGATGGCCATAAAATGCTTAACGTGGTATGCTATACAACCCTCGCTCGTTAAGCTGATTCTTTCAAAAACTTCTGGCTAACATTCATTCAGCCTTATGATTGTGGCTTTTTCTTCACAAGGACGGTGTCAATACTGTCATCTGTATTTCAAAATCCGAATGCAGCATATCTCTCATCTGGACCATCAAGCATTCCATCACCTCTGAATATTGGTCTTGAGAACTCGCGCCGTTTCAGAGCTCTGCCAGTCTACGCCGTACTACTGGCGTACGGTCGTGAAGGCTTGAGTCAGATGTTTGCTCGTCAAGTCAGATTAGCAAGGGGAATTTCAAAGTTTTTGGATGCACATGTAGGGTACGAACTGCTCGCCAAAAGCAAGTTTGGAAATGAAAGTGTGATTGAGAATGCTCACATCATCGTTATATTCCGAGCTAAAGATGACAGCACTAACAATGAATTGGTTAAGAGGATTAATGCAACCAGAAAAATGTATGTGTCAGGAACTAAATGGGAAGAAAGATCAGCCTGCAGATTCGCAGTTAGCACGTGGAAAGTCGATGTGGAAAGGGATCTACAGCTGATCCAAAATATCCTAGATGACGTCCTTCAAGCTCAACATTAATAGCATGAATGAACCTCCCTTGTACCTCTTAACTTCATAATGGCTGTTGAAATCCTGCGAGAGCCTACTCCTTCCTAGAACAATATCAAACATCACTCACAGATCTGCAATATGGGAAATGGAGTCGCCTATTGTATTATACCAGCTCGACCAGTATCATAAAGTAGGTTATGAGTTTCGTGCTAGATGGACCATCGTAAATTACTATCCGAAATCATGTCAGGCAACGCGGCTATCTCATCTTAATCTACGAATAAGATAAGTAAACTGCGGTTGCATCTATCTCAAGAAACGGATCTATGGTATTTGGCTGCTTTGAAAGAATTGTTGTCTTTATTCAAAAAAGAGCAATGGACTATTTATCTGTACGAATTTTGCGACTGACGTTTGGTTTCTCATCGAATCTCAAATTGCTAAAATCGAACAACACTCATGCACCTTTAGTCTCATCACTTTCGTACTTCTTCAAATATTCATCCTTCAATCCCGCAAAGTTACTTGCCACAAACGGAGCAAATAAATCCTTAAACCAACCTCGTCGATGACTTATCAATCCCAAGTCTTGCAGAAGACTGTCACAATACCCCACCAACTCAAACGTCATATTAATTCCCTCATCTCCACTGCTTAAATATCTTCTGCTATTCCATGCTGTGAATAGTGCAACTTCCTTTTGCTGTTCTTGGCTTGGCGGGAGAACTAATTTACCATCCAGATATGCCGTCGCCCACATAGACTGGCATTGTACGACCGGGAAGTAGTCTCCTACACTTACTTGACCGATGAATACGATGGAATTTCCGTCAATTTCCGAATCTGATGTAGGGAAGCGCGCGACGTGTTTGTAAAGGCGATATGGGGTATGAGTGACAGGACGACGGTAATGCGGGGGTAGATTTGCAAGTTGCGGAAATCTCGAGACAACTTTCTGGTCTGCTTCTGAGGTGAGCTGCTTCCAATGATCTTGGTGTTCTTCATGCTCGGAAGATGGGAGGTGAGGAAGACCAAGTGATTTTTTTTGATCCTCGGTGAAGAATTGCAAAGATGGGACCCAGCCAGTACCACAAAGTATGGCATCTGCCGGAACTGCATTACCATCTTTTAGAAGTATCTTGTGTTCTTCGATACTTGCAATGTCGGCACAATAAATTCGAACCTTTTCAGCAATAGCATCAAAGAGATCGACTTGATGGAGTAAGCCACCAGTACAGTTCTGCCAAAACATCCTATTCTTGAATTAGCAGGCTGCCAACACGAATTTCGGTGCATGATTCTTACGGAGATTGAGGGTTCAATTTCTCAAATCCTTGAAGATTTTTCCTTCCATTAAAATCTGCATCTTTCCTCGTTTCATTATCAACAGCACTCCAAAAGGCATTCATCATTTTGACTCCATACTTCGTCGAATGCAAGAACCACGTCCACTATGAATTTCCATTCAGAAAAGAGGGTATGAACGTAGCAGTAATGCGTGTCAATCCAACTTCGAAAGCATTCTTGTAGGGGCCCTTTCCTTTTGGAGAAAGAAGAAATCCAGGACCATTTGTATCAGAAGTCTTGATGATCCATGACACAGTTTTCCCTGCTTTGACAGCTGAGTATACCATATCAGCAGATGACTTTCCAGCTCCTAGTACAGTTGTTTCCTGAATATCTGGTGAGGTCAAAACCTTAGACGATCCAAAGTCATTTTGGTGAAGGATGGGGCCTTGAAATAAATCTTTGCCTGGAAGTAAGGGCATGTTGGGTATAGAGTTGAGTCCACTAGCAACAATTAACTTAGTAGTTTGCCAAGTATCTGAAGCTCCAGAAACCAAGTCTACGGTTTCAATCATCCATTTACCGTCCTTTCTCAAGAGTGATCGAACTTCCGTTGAAAGCTTGATTCTATCACGAAGTGTTGTGTCACCGTAACGATGTGTATCAACATAATCTTCAAGATACTCGGTGGTATATTTCGTTTTGAAGAATTCATAGTAAACATCTTCTTCAGGTGGTCTGGTCATAGGTAGGTCTGAGAATTCCGCGGTACCGACTGTCCATTGTGTCCAAAATGAATCGTATCCTCTTCCTTACAGAAGTTAGCATTGAAGTTGCTCTAGGGGACAAAATTATATGAGACTTACTGAAATTCCAAACACCTCCAACACAAGGGTCGCGATCAAGAATCACCAGACGACATTGTAGATGTATATCTAGATAGAATTTGGCGGCGTGTATACCAGAGATTCCTATTATAAAATGGGTCAGTACATAAAACTTGTATTGAGAGTTTGGGAATGTGCTATTACCTGCCCCAATGATAACAATATCAAATATTCCTTCTGAAGTCATTGTGTAATTATCGAAGAAGAAGCAGTGCTGCTTACTCGGAATGAATTGTATAAATTCATGCCAGTGTCATCAAACTGTTGGTGACAGGCATTCATGCATGCTGACACCCCGCCGAGTGCGGTGGAAACAACAGATTTCCAGAGATTAGTTTGGTTCCTTAAATTGCTAATCTCACGGATGAACCAGTTCGATTTCATGTGCTGGATCATGATGATGGAATTTCTCAGTTTAGTAGGCTTACTGTAAACGAAAAAACGAGCACACCAAGAATGTACCACATCCTCAAAACTCTTTATCAAATCAAGCTATCAAGAATATAAACTGTGTAAAAAAAACAAGAAGTCTTATGAATTGTGATACATTCTTGATTTATTAAGTTTTTACTATCTATTTTCAAAACAGTAGTATTTTAACAATATTCACAATTCTGGCGAGTTTGGTGTGCTAGGGTTTCCGTCCATGGTATGGTTTTGGTTCGTTCCCTAATTTAAATTGACAGCCGAACCAACGTCTTACATTTTGTTAGTGAGACAAGAAATATATACACATTTGGCCATATCACTATTCTGAAACGTTCCATTACTTTGACTTTTAACCATAATAGTTCTTAAAAACATGACTTCGGAAAGAAATCAACCTGAATTAGGAATTAACAATGGCACTACCGGCAATGCTGCCATAGTTTACTTAATCGGCTGTCGCGATGCTGCTGTGGGTATTGCAATAGTTTTGAGTATTTTTTTGGCTTCACTAGATCTGGTAATAACATTCATCTTTGAGAGAAGTAGTAGACGGGGTATTTAACGAGAATTTGATATCAAGCAATGTGGGCTCAATGATGGAAGGTAAGCGAGGCAGTAGTCCTGTTTGACGCAAGCATTGCTAGATGAGACGATTAGAAATCTCTGTGAACATCGCCAACGGAATCAAAGAGAGGGTGATAGTTCGAGATTCAGACAATTTGATTCCAGAACATCATTGCCACAGCGATGCCACACATCACTGACGAGTTTCATAGCCTCAACGATGTGGGATGGTATGCCTTCGCGCTATTCCTAACAGTCTCAGCAGCCCAATTATTGTGGGGAAAGGCTTTCAGATATTTTCCAATCAAGACTGTCTATTTGATCAGTATAGCCGTCTTTAAAGTTGGAGGTGTGATATGTGGTAAGCTCAGATATGCCCAACAGCGTATCACTCTTATATCTCACTAACAGTTTCGGGTGTTGCTAGAAACAGCACAAAATTGATAGTAGGACGAGCTATAACAAGTTTTGATGTTGCAGGAACATTTGGGGGATCATATATCACCATTGGAGTATCAGCACCACCCGAGAAAAGACCTGCGATGACGGGATTTATGGGGTCAGCATGTGCTATTGCGCCGATAATTGGTCCGTTGATTGGAGGTGCTCTCACTGATCGGGAGTTATGGCGCTAGTGGTGAGTTGAAGTGTAACTCATATCTTCCTCAAATGTGGTTCTGATCGGTAGCAGTTTCTTCGTCAATATTCCTTGCGTTGCACTTGCGGCAGCTTCAATAATCTTCCTCTTCAAAGTACCAGATGCAGTCAAACTAGCTGAGGCGACCTTGAAGGAAAGACTTCTGCAAATGGATATACTGGGATTTATTTTCATCACTGCGTCCATCGTCTGTTGTCTTTTAGCTCTGCAGTGGGGAGGTGCCATTCAAAGATGGAGTAACTCGGATGTGATTGGTACACTTGTTGGCTCTGCGTTATTTCGCGTACTTTTCGGGCTCATTGGATGGTATCAAGGCGAGAGAGCTCTTCTCCTACGAAGTACTTTCAGGAACCCAACCATCGCAAAGGGCTGTGCTTTCTGCTTCCTGTCAGGAATCTTCGAAGTTTTCTGAATTTTATTGATAACTTTGCTTATTAGAATTCCTAGAATCTCCGGCAGCTTCTATATCCTTCTCTACTATCTTCCGATCTACTTCCAAGTGATTCGGGGAGCTGATGCCACTGGATCCGGAATTCGAACTCTTCCTTTAATCTTGGGCCTCGGTAAGTTTTCCGACTCTATATAGAGTAGGCAGACTAACGAAACATTTTACCTAGCATTGGTACAAATCATAACAGGTATTAGTGTCGGCAAGATAGGCGTCATTAATCCATTCTTGATTGCCGGTGGAATACTAACTACTATCTCTTGCGGATTATTGATGACCTTACAGCCAGACTCTTCCTCAAGCAAATGGATTGGTTACCAAGCTCTGGCAGGTATTGGGCTTGGATTTTGCTCCACCGTGTACATCATTGTAGTACAGAACATTGTTAAGGCAGATGAGATAGCAACTGCTACGTCAATGCTTTTGTGTAAGTGTTCTCTCTCCTGTCTCAGCAATGCTTGACGATGGCTCCCTTCTTGATTCCTTTGGATGAGATATGTCTGTAATGTGTCTCGAATCATCAGCTTTGACACCCTGAGACTCAAAGACTTATGCAGAGTTTTGAGGAGATTCACCAAGCTAATTGCTTGAAGTTGGATAATTAACAGTCTTCAACAAATGATAAGAAACATAAAAAATAAAATAAAATATAAAGAAGATTAGAAACTGAAATCCTTGTTACAACACAGTCTTCAGTCAATGGGAGGCGCTCTGATTGTCTCAGCAGCACAATCCCTTTTCCAAAATGAGCTTCTCAACATTATTCCGCACACCAATCCATCAATTAGCCCCTCCAGCATATTCAGCATAGGGGCATCTCACGTTCAGACTAGTTTTCCGCCTGATGAATTATCTGGAATTATAGCTGCTTATATGAGGGGTATCCGAATGGCAATCGCTCTATCAATTGCTATGGCCGGAACAGCAACACTAGTCACATTGAGCCAAGGCTGGTTTCGAATGCAGCAGGAAGTGGGTAGTGGAGATGACATTCAAGATGGTATTGAGCTGGAACAACGGAGCGAGAGTTATTCGCGGAAGATAACGTAGATTTTATCTATTCAGATCATTCTCGGTAACAGGTTTTGACGAAGTCGGCTTCGAAGGTTTTGTGTACTCTTAGCCCGATGCTGGAAGTATTCCAACGGCTAGAGCCATGAAATTGGAGTCTATTTTACCACTAGGATTCCATTTTAACTTAGGGTGACATTGAGTTTCAAATATATGAAAATACGTAAAGCAGTAGAGCAAAAGTATCTGCTAATCCACTCTTGAGAATCTGTGATCCGAATCAGCGGCAAAAAGTTTCTGTGAGTAGGCGTCCTGGTCATCATGTCCATTTTGTGAAGCGAAACGAATGAGTACAGGAAGTTTAAGCAAGCATGACCGAACAGCGGATCATTGATATTATGGCATCGTGGAATGATACATAATACGAATACTCTTGAACACAATAGGAGGTATGATAATATACCAGTGAATGAAAGACCTTGCAGTTCTTCGCAGTCTTACGTACTACAACCGTCAGAAGTCGATGCTTGTCGTAGATGTGTAGATAAGATAGGATCCTCGTCCGATGAGCGAAGAGTGCATACAAGAAAATCAGGCTGCCGCACACGTGATCAACGTAATCCTTCAAGTTGGTGATTCATCCTTCGGGGTATTTAATAAGTACTGCTTCTTGCAATGAATGTTTAACATTTAATAAGAATGCTTGTCAAAGAATTTCCCATTGAATTTGAATATCGCTACTCACATCAATGAGTCACGAAAATCCCTACTCACGAAACAATATTCTCGCCACCTACTCTCATCCCTTCCACAACTCCAAACGCAAACCCCAAAGCACACCGCGCCACACGATAATCTCCATCATATAACAGACTACACCTCTCAAAATGTCGACTTCACAATCGAAATCACAGCTCGAAGCCCTCCCCACAGAACTCAAAGTACAAATCCTTCAATCTCTCCCAAGTATTACCTCTCTTAATGCCCTGGCCAACTCATCACCACAATTCTACAACATTTATCATAGCGAGGAATATGCACGCATTTTCCAAAAAGTACTAGAGAACGAAGTCGGAAGAGAAGTTCTAGAAGACGCGTGGTTCATGATTAGAGCTGCACGACACCTACATCTGCGAGCTGGGAATATGCTTGAAGACCTGGATGACGTATCGCAAGAGCGATTGTTAGAACTGTTAACAAGTGGAGGAAATCTGGATAACAGTGAGCAGGGTATTACACTGGATGATATGATTTGGTTTTCAAAGAAGCTGCCCGCACTCCAAGAAGTGACGATGGCATTTTTTGAGAATACGATAGGACATCATCCAATTACTGGGAAACCGATCCCCTCGTCAGACCCCTCAGCAAAACCTCCTTCCAAGAGCGAACTGTGTCGCATTCAACGCGCCATCCTCCGAATAGAGGCTTTTACCTATATGTTTTCACTTGAAGACTCCGATTCTTGGGCACACACATACGCTGAAGATCCACGTGGTCCATTCTCAGAGCAAGGATTAAATCGTATCCACCGACACGACTGGAGACGACGCCGACGTCTGTGTGACCTATCCGAGGAGCACCAAACCATATTCCTGAGTCGATATGAGGAATGGGAAATAGAAGAAATGCTTTGTGTACGAGATTGGTATCGCAGGGAATTTGGCGCTCTGTATGAGGAATGCGCGGAAGAGTGGGAAACTGTGTGGATTTATCAAGAATGGCTAGATGGAGACCCAAGTCGCACCCTCGAAGAAGCCGCAGATAGTGATTGGCTCAGGGAAGTTGATTGGAATGATTGGGAAAATGTGAGCGAATTGTGTATGAGCAAGGGATTTGAGTTGTTGGCGGAAGTAAAACGCAAAGAAACTGGAAAGGAGAAAGTGAACTTGATATATAGTGCCATAGACAGTGATGCGATCCATTTCATCGACGTGGGCTGTTTCCTGTCCATGACATTGGAAGAATGGCACTTCTCAAGGGCCGAGGATGAAACGAGAGAAGACGTCTCCATGCAAACTTTGCAGGAGTGTTTGAAAGGACAATCTGCATGGGAAGAGTCGGGAAGTAATGCAGCATGGTGCTGGGTGCGTAGACAATGGGAAAGAGAAGTTGCGAAGTGGGACAAAACAGGAGATTATCTGAGAAGCTGGGGATACGTAATGTGGGATGCTTGGAGGCTAGATGCGCTGGGTATTTTTGGACAGGACGTGGATAAAATTGGGAGGCATGGACCAAAGGAATTTGGTGGACGTCTATTGTCGGAGCCTAGGGCTTCCCGTAGTGAACTGCGGTTGTCGGACAGCGAGACAGATGAAGATAATGAGTAGGATGTAATGAAGTAGTGTCTCGATCTTGTACACGATCACGAGTAGCTAATTGATATTCCGTAGCAAGTGAGTGTTCTCGGGGAATTATTATGTATCTGTAACACACGATATGATTCTTTTCTCATATTTTCTATATGCAGCATATAGGAGTACCCGCATACTTGCAATATCAATCATCTGAATCTCATCCACAACACAACCCTAGCAACCACATTGGGAAACACCACACATCAGCAACTCTATACTTATCTACTCCACCAATCTTCAAATCCAACTCAACATCCTACCATTCAATATGAAAAAAAAAAACAAAAAAACGAAAAAAAAAACAATATCCTTTACGATTTCAACTCTTCTCATCAATATCTACTCGCTAACCACGAGAATTGACTCGAAAAGTATTCATTCATAACCGCAAACAACATTCTCAACATCCCCAACCCATTTCCCACAACTCAATTTCCGCACCATTTCAAAACTCTCACAAGAATACACACACACAGTCTACAATTCTAAATTTCATCAACTAGCTATATACTATACATCTCACTAAACCACACACCACATAATTGACTTCGTATTATATTATTCTCTCTCAACTAAGGATAGGTAAAAGATTAAAAAGACAATCAGATTAAGAGAGAAACCGCTAGAAAAGATATATAAATCCTGTTTGCGAGAGGATGGTACAATCTAGCATTGTATGCTGCCCTCTATTCTCTACTCTCTACCCCTCTTTCGTCCTCCCTCCCCATCAGTTTAGTTCAATCTAGTCCACTCTAGTCCGGTTCGTTCAAGTCAAGTCTAGACCTCAATACATCAACCCCAGCTAAGCAACAAGCTACATGCAATAATCAACAAGTTACAATCACCCAATCACACAGACACACACACACACACACACACACACACACACAAAAAAAACTCATTTGAACCAGCAATTCATTCAGCAAGTAAGTTGCTCATCCATCCACCCATCTACACAAGATATGTTCAGGGGATCAGGGTTCTCTACATCTACAATTCTCCACTACCATACACCATGTATCTATTCACCCAATACACTCAACCACTATCCCTCTGTTCACCTTCACTTCCACTTCCATTTCATTTCCACTTCCACCCTCACCTCCAACCCGAATCAACAAAGGGAAAAATCAACAAATGAAAAACTCCTCCCAGTTCATCCATCCCAAGCCAGTTCAGATCCCATCTTTGAAGACTGGCACAAAAACACCCCAGATATTCCCCATCCATCAAATCAATCAATCAATCCATCCCATCCTCCCATATGATTAGGAATTCGTAGAATACCTCCAACTCCCTACTAAAAGACAAAAAACATTTCTAACCTCATGCACCCCAATATTTGAGCACCTAGGCATGTAGAAAACAAAAGAAGAAAAGAAAAAAGTAAAACCCTTCGAAAAAGGATATAGTTAATACAAAGCAACCAAAATCTGGTTAAGCTTATAGCAAGCAAGAATAGATACTATTTATCTTTGTAAACAAATCCATATGCCTGCCTATCAGCTCGTAAGAAAAGACACAAGTAAAAAGTAAATAAGAATCGCCTTCTTTTTTCTTTCATAATAATCTTGACATGATAATCGTTCAATAGCCTGATCAGTGATCCCACCAAATATTATTCTTTCTTTTTTTTGATTTTGATGTTGTATGTTGTAGATGCTGTAGGTCTCGTGAATGTGTAAAATGAGCGGGTAACTCATGTGTCAAAGAATAATATATACAAGAATTGTAAAGGTCGTAAGGCTAGGAAGGCAAATCGTGAATCGTAGAGGTAGTGGTCGTAAAGTAGAGGTAGATATCGTTTGGTACGCCGTTGATATCCTGCCAACGCCGTAAACACATAATCAAATTCAAATTGATGTGAATCCAAATCCCGTCAAGTCCTATCCAGGATTGAGCGAGTACTTGGCGATAATGTTAACAGCGAATGCTCCTAGCAAAATCTTGAAAGATTTTAAACGTCCATCATCTCAGCATCATCTAGGACTTCATCTGCTGGTCCCCAGTTTCCTTCAAAAACAGTGGCACCAGCACGACGCCTATTACTAACCCATTGAAGGCCTGGTGATTCGAGCACTTCATGAATCAAAGGTCGATCTTGAGGACGTGGCGAGATCATCCATCGAACAAGCTTATCGAGTGTACATTCATGATTAGGATCTCTCATGAATTCTGGGGCTTCTTCAAGTTCACCTCGTCTAGAAGAACCGAACAAGTTGCTTGGGTCATGGGCGAATGATTTGGAGGATGAAGTGAATCGTTTCCGGCTGGCAGCAATTGGTGAACCAAAGTCGACTTCAAGTTCGTCATCGCTCGTCATGGAATCATCGCTAGGTACGATGGGGATACCATTGGCATCACGGGGCATGCTACTTGCTTCACTCCAAGTAAGACTTGGAGCTTCACTCATGTCTCCGGATCTTAGACGTTGCCAAGAAACTCCGTTGTCGGGCAAGTATACGTTGGTGGCAATTTCAAAAATGACCATGCCAAGAGCGAAAACATCTGCTGGTTTGTCGTATTGCCCAAGGAGAATCTCAGGTCCAATGTATTCACGGTCTCCCTCGCCTTCAATTGCATCGGAAGCAGGCCACGAAGTTGCCATGCCAAAATCACCAATCTTCAAGACACCCTCAAAGGTAATCATGATATTGGCGGGTTTGATATCGAGATGAATGAAGCCAGAATCATGTATATGTTGAAGGCCCTGTGACACGTTAGTTCAGTGCGATAAAGTTCGAGAAGTATTCAACTTGCCTGTCCGATCTCAAGCAGAATCTTCCAGATTCTGAAATCATCTACTCTACCCTTTCGTCCATTTTGAGAGAGGAATATGTCAAGACTACCTTCTTCACAATACTCGGTTTGAATGTACAAGTAATTCTTCTCTTCCCAGAAGTCGACATAATGAATGACATTATCAGCTTGACCAAGTGCCTTAATAACCTCAACTTCCTTGAGCTTTCTTGATCGATCCTTGTATCCTTGATATGCTTGCTTTGACTTCTTGACAGCAAAGACACGGTCTGGTGTAGGTGTTGGTGGTGTTCTACCCGTCATTGGAGAATCGACCGAATCACCAAACATGAACGTGGAAGCCTTGTGCGCACTTTGGGTGACTTTGTATACCTGAGAAAATTCTCCTGTTCCGATCAACTCAATTTTGTTGAAGCGTGATACGAGAGACTCATCCACATCTCGGGGTGGAAAACTACCAACGGGGGTGGTGCTGGTTTTGCCAAAATAATCTCGACCAGTAGTTGGTGTAGCTGGAGGTGGAGCAACGGGAGCGCTGTTGGCACCTAAGTGAGCATGACCATCTCTATGGTTGGAGATGGAAAGGCTACTGGGATCGGGGAACAACATGTTGTCGTGAGGTGTACAAGGCGACAATTTCTCGAGAAAATCTACACGCTCCAATGGACTGGCTGGAGCCACGTGACTAATTTTAGCAAAACCGGGCTTCCTTGAAGGACTCAAAAAGGAAGTAGTAAGAGATTTAGCCATCAACGGCGAAGGAGATTGTAGGCCCCGCAATGCTCGGGACCTGGAAAAGGATGGTACAGAAATGGAGGTACTGAGAGAAAGTCCGGCAGTGACAGGTGTTGGAGATTCGTTCATATCCATGGATGTATCACTGTCTCCCTCTTCCTGCTCGCCTGGACTCGTAGAGAGGTTTAACTTACTGCTTGATCTTGCCATCTTTCCTAAGCTAAAGCCACCCACGGCAGATGTTGAGGCCGGAATCGATCGATGACTCGTGGGACTACCATTCTGGAAATGAGAGAAGCTTGAAGCTTGCTTCGTCGGCGTTGGTGGTAAATCAAAGTCACTGATTTGGCTATCGGTCTTGAAATCTGGGGATCCAGCGTCATCTCCGTCGATACTTAGGAAGCTACCTCGTCTGGTTAAACCTCTTGGCTGGCCGAAACCACTTCCAAATACGTTGCTGCCTTTTCCGAAGGTACCGATAGCTGGTACACCATGGGGGTTGAAGGGAGTAGATGGGGTACCAAACGAATGGCGGATTTGTCTCGCCTTCGCGATGGCACTAGTGGGTACTGCAGCCGGGTACGTGCCGAAAATGTTGTTTGGCTTCTTACATGGGGTATCTGGAACGTTCGACTTGGTATTTCCACGAAGCATCTGGACTTCTTCGGGTCTTCTGTTGACCTTTGAGATAAGACCTGTAGACATGAAAGCAGCAGGCAATGGTTTCACGGACTTGAAATTTTTTGGAGTCGAGAAGTCATCAGGGGCATCCAAATTGAATGGCCTTAGAGCTCCAGCGGGTAAAGACTTTGAAAAATCAATCTTGGGTTTTTGGCTACCACCAAAGTTGACGGGAACATGCTGAACAGGTGAGTCCTCGGCGATGCTCGAGTTGGAGGAAGAAGTTGTCATGGTTCGCGAGAGTGGGTGAGGTTGATGCGTAGGGTGTTGGGTAGATTGTTGCGATTGATTAATCATATGCATCGAAGCATTTGGAAGGTTACCATGGTGGCTGAACGGACCATCACGGTTCAGGGGTGCAACAAATTGATCCAATGACAATCTTGGACGATTCTTCTGCTTACTGGGGCTAACAATATCCTGATTCGCAATTGCAAAAGGCTGTTGCTGTGCGGATTGTTGTGCAGCCAGAAGCTGAGCGGCATGTCTTCTGCCCCAAGAAGTCTTCTCGCCATTTCTTTGAAGTAATGTCGATTTGCGCAAAGAGGAGGAACGTCGAGGAGTAGAGGTGAAAGGAGATGCGGTATTGTCCGAAGTAAGAACTGTGGCTGATAACTCGTATTCGTGGTTTAAATCGCTGTGGATATCGAATTTTGTAGGAGAAGTTGGTGCCGGTGCCTGTTCAAAGAGATTTGAATCATAACCAAAGTTGGCAGAACCGTGAAGACTTCTGCGCTTTGCGACTGGACTTCCGAGAGTCGCTTGTTCCAGATTCATGACGGGATCGCTGCGCTTCA